AAGCAACATGCCACCATCTCTCCAAGAATCGCAAATTCCCAACCTACCAAGATCCTCTCAGCCATCAATGCATCAAGTTCAAACGTTGATCTTCTGAAGTGACGTATTGTAGAGTTGGAGGAAGAAGCGGTCGTATTGAGGGGCACCTGAGCCAAGCATCGGTGAGTTTAGAATAGCTCTCTCCTTGGGATTGGCACCATATATCATCTTAGGGAGTTCAAGCAGATGGGGCATGCACTTTCCCATGTGACATTGCCCTTTAATAGTGTCCAAGGTATCGCAGATGAGAACGTCCAACAAATTGAGGTGATTCTCTCATATGTTGTGGGGTTGCACTGACATTCTTTTTCTTAGTAGCATTTTCAAGGTTAGAAAGACTTGAATTTCCAAGTTCCTTCCCAACGACAGCTCTGGAAAGCGATTGGCAGCGAAGAGGGGGGAGCGGGGGAGAAGTTAGAACAAATTCGAGCCCATCTATATAAACAGGCACAGCATTAAACGTATATACGCACCTGTATTCTCTTTATGGTAGTAATAAATATGCTATTTCAAGTTTCTCCAAGTCTCTAAGAGTGAAAATATGCATAGTATATACAGCAAGCCACCCGAAAATTACTAGGTGTTATGAACTCGCTTTAAGATGTTGCTCATGTCATACTTTCATATGACATCAAGTAATTGTACTGGTACCTTGCGAAGCTTGACATGCATTACTGACATTGGAAACGCTCATAACCATACTTGGAGGATTATCAATTCTTCATGCTTCATATGGGCATATAAGGCTCACGCAATTATTTCAGACCTTGCCATGCATTTTGACCTTTGCCACGGGCTTATACGGGCATATATATTTTTGTCCAATTCGCTGATGAATGGAAAGAGGAGATCATTGCAGTGTTGGAACTTGAAAAGAGGACAATCCCATGACAGTGATCGGGTTTCGGGCCGGGTTGCTACGTTCCCACCATGACTCAAAACGACTCTCTACTTCGATCCTGTGAGCTTGCTTTTTTAACATATATCTGTAAGAACTCGCGGTTCACAGGTAAGCACAAAAGGAACTAATGTTCACGGCAATCGCGCTAGCGATGCCCTACTAACTACACAGCTTTTATACTACCAGAATACATAGAATGTACTAGAATAAATGCATAATGTATCACTAATAAAATGAGTAAGCGTCCCGGGGAATATGGGGAGAACAAGCGAGAATATTCATGCAAGCTTGCTCTTCTAAAAATAGCAATCCATATTCTAACAATATCTAACCTTATTGATGACAGATACAGTGATATTTGAAAGACTGAACCCATTCCAGACTCCTAATTTCCTCTGAATATGTCAGAAATCCCTATGGAGATCATCGAGCAGATAATCGACGAGCTCAGCGATGACCGGAAAGTACTGATCGCTTCTCTGTCTGTTTCCCATGTCTTCCACGATCGAGCTCGGTACCATCTCTTCCGAATCGTCATCCTCAGCATGGAATCGGATGTTCATCAGTTTATTTCCCTCTGTGACATCTCGCCAGTAATTCCGAGTCTGGTACAGTCACTTAAGATATATTGCTGCAGAACGATGCTCCAGATGCCCCAGCTGCCCTCCCTACCTAATGTCACCTCACTGCACATCAGTAGGCATCCCAATGATGTCTCGGACGTTGACTTCCCCACCACACTGAGCTTCCGCGCATGGCTATGCACATTTCCACACCTCACATCCTTGGACTTGGACTCTGTTCGAGTCTGTCGTCCCTCAATGTTCGGCACCTATGAGCTGGCTCAAGGTCCTCCTTTGGAGTTTCTCTCGATCACATACGGTGATTACAATGTGTATGAGGCATTTATAGGGAACGCGAATGAAAATATCAGTATTTTTGCTCTTCACGGTTTACGCAAAATCGATCATAAGATCTACATTCCAGATGATGCCGTTGGTCTACATAAAATCCTTGCCGCCAGCCGTGCTACGCTTCGAGAGCTCATCTTGACGATGGGACCGTTCTGTAAGCATTAAGTAAATCATTAGTTCATTTAATCACTAACCGTATTGATGATTAGACTCCATACAAACTTTTGGTAATGTCCATCTGGATATCTCACGAGTGCCAACCGTAGAATTTCGCCTGCCCCGCATCTCTGAGTTCTCTTTCTCCAGGACAATTCTCTGGCTTTCCTCTTGCATCCCTCCAAGCAGTAACTGTTCTGCCCTTATGGAGCGACTCATTGTTCACCTAAACCCTACCCTTGTGCCATCAGATTTCCTAGAGAGTCCAACGTTCTCTAGAGGTCTGACACCGTTGGACAATAGACTTATCGATCCTCTATTGCAATCCCAAGGTGGTTCAATTCAATGTGTGGCCTAGAAAGGTGCGTCAGACGATCTGGGATGCTATCTTGATAGCTTTGCCCAAATTGCACTCCCTTGGGTGACTAGCAGTGGTGGACGAGAACATATAAGCAGCATGAAGGATATCCCAAATTTTTACCATCGTCGATCAAGATCAAGGCTGTTGCTCGATTCGTGCCCTTTTGCCGCATCATCCATCCTGCCCTATGTGTTGTTGGCAGTGAAATTGGTCAACATTCGAGTCCACCCCAGACCCCAACGTATCCTGCAGACGAGACCATGACCATGTTGAATAGGTCAATGTATCATGGACGGTTGCGGGGCCTGGACAAGGAGAATACTGTGTTGCGAAGGGAAGTCTGGTTGACTGGTGGTGAAAGGCGAAGGATGATTTGGTCGTGTTTTCCCTTGCTCGTAAGGCATTCTTTCCTGGAAGGAAGGTATTGTCGGCGGTTTGCTTGACGTGTTCGACTCATCATAGATCCCTTTCGATTGTTTTGTCTACGCTTTTGTTTGCTTCCTATATGCTTTCTGTGGATCAATGCATAGGTCACACGTTGGACTGATTGTATTTATTAACCGTCTGAACAACCTAAAATACATGTTCTTCAGTTGGACAAGAACGGAGTATTTCTCATCTATCTATTCCCTTGCAGAGGACCACATGACAGCCCCCAGAAGAAGCGACCGCAACAAAAGTGTGTGGCAATGAATAGATAGATCCGGCCCTGGTAAGGGAAACGCGGAGCCGCTTCTGAAGGAGAATTGATTGCTTCCAAAGCGGTTCTCCAAATAGAACCCTTCGAGCACTTTCAGGCCTCTCACCATCACCCAGAAGGAATTCGATTTTCTCGTGATGGTGATCAACTTGTCGATGGTACACATAGAAAACAACGAGGATGGGATGACACATTTATTCGACGGGTGCACACATTCATAATACCGACGCGTACCGACTAGCCTGAAGTAGGCATTGATAATCAATATTTGCTTTTCGGATGCTTGCTCATAGGCAGATCCCGGAGAGCTCTTGGTTTCGGCTTCGGCATCTCAGCAAGTCTAAGAAAGGGTGGTCTTGATAGTATGATTTGTCCCGAGTGAACCAACGAGAAAGTCAGCACAGAGAGTACCGTACTCTAGGAAGTCGGACGGTAAGAAAACGGTCAGGAAACTAAAACAAAGACTTTACAGCTGGAAGCTCCCAAACACCCACGGCGCCGCAAGCGCTTAAGGATAGTAACACCGTGGCGATGGAGATTGTACCATCGTCTTTGAACGAGACGGATATGGATCTAAGCTATACGCAATGAGGCCGGGTACACACAGTTTTCAACAAGGAACACATACCATCGACTGAGAGAAAATCACCTCCACAAGCGCAGGATTCATCTATGTCAGCGACGCTGCCGTCAAGTCCATCGACCATGACCCCCAGCCCTGAGTCAACTGCACCACCGGAAGCGTGCACCCCCACACCGTAGTCGTCCACATGAATGCCTTCGGAACCCAGCTAAACGTGCGTTTCGTTAAGCTGTTATCGTATCTCTTCTCGATCTTCCGGAACGCCTTCGCCGACCGCGTGGAGCCTTTGATGCCCTCGACGTGCACAAACTCTTCACTCCTACTTGGGAGTCTCACGTATGCGCTGGCGTCGACGAACCAGGGTACGATGAAGGCTTGGGAGCGAGCTGCGTCGGATGCAGAACTTCCGGGACCAGCCGGTTTGTGTAGGTGAATGCTTCTAGAAGGACTTGGTAGAATACGGCTGGGGTATATCCTGCGAGACCTAAAAACATCCTCTTCTCTAACGCTCGTCCAAAACGCTAGATGATGGGGTGGGTAGAGCTCAGTTGGTTAAAGCTTATTGCGCAGCATCGTGCACAAATGTCTAGGTAGACATAGCGGTGGCAGGGATGCTTCAATCTCCAGTGCGGCAGTGGGAGTGGCCTTGAAAGCTGCACAGATGATTCGCAGGGCACGATGCTGCATCTTCTTGAGGGCTGCTGCAGAAGACCTGGAGCTGTTGAGCGACCACTAGCTACGTGACTGTGACAGGTAGGCCCGCGTTCACAGACTGTGACGTTAAAATTTATTGTCCGGAACAGGCATTGCCGTTTTCCCTTAGGGATCATAGGCGAAGCGTCGTAGTGCAGACGAACCGTATAGATTTTTTTGAACCTATGACCTCTCTTAGTTGCGACCACCATCATCAGCTCGAATTTTTACTTCCCTTCTGCGTTGATGTGCTCGCTCTGTGCATTATTTCTTTTCGATGGGCAAGTAAATTACTCTCAGCACCGCCACACATCACGTGGATGCTTTAGCGGATCCGAATTATCCGAATCCGTTGGCGTAGTGTGTCCTCCCACCTATTGCTAAGCTCTGAAGTGCTCATCGATTCACTTTGGTTAGGATGATCAACTCACATTATCGAATTTGCAAGAGAAAATACGCCCGCTGGAGCAGTTTGAATCGAAAATAGCAGAGAAGTTGGGGATGTCTAGGGAGGAGGTCGACTTCGACTCGGTTGTGGCTCTCCTCAAGAACAACGCGTTGCCTAACGAAGACTATTTATCGAGTCTGGGGAAATTATGCGAACTCCATTGCCTCCGCATTGAATACAGTCGTGTTTCGCAACTGAGCCTTCCATGTGGACTGGAAGTATATCCCTCCACGCCAAGTGTCACGGTAAGGCGCATCCATAATGATTGTCTTTGATACTGATTGGTAGCATTTTAGTACCCGCATTGTGTCGACACTTTAGACACTTCTCGATTCTACGCTGTCCTTATTGGCATCGACGAGTATGCATCCTTTCCGCTTAATGGTTGTGTATCAGACGTACGATTGATGAAGAAGTACTTGACTAAGGACCTCGGCGTGCCCCACGATCGCATCCAGCTGCTTCTTGGATCCGAGGAGCATATATCCCCTGAGGATCCAAAGTACCCTTCCCGCACCCACATCATCGACGCACTTCTCGGCATCATTACCAACCCTCAGATCAAATCCGGCGACAACATCATCATCTACTACGCCGGACATGGCTCATACTACCCACCTCAAAGCAGAAAACCTTTTAGTGTGAACGAATACATTGACACGCTATGCCCCATCGATCGCGATATCGTTAACAATGGCAAACCTGTCCCCGATATCAGCGACCGTGAATTCAATACCATCCTAACCCTAATCTCCCGAGTCAAGGGTGATCACATCACCGTTATTCTTGACTGCTGTCACTCTGGTAGCATCAGTCGAGGTTTGCCTGAGCCGGGAGCACACACTACTTACCCAATGGCGCATGCAACCCTTCACGACATGCTCGTCGCCGGGGAGGAGCGTTTGAAGGAGTATCCGGGATATCGCTCCATTTTGGAAGAAGGATGGCTCTCAGATATGGACTCCCACGTTGTCTTGGTGGCCTGTAAGAAGCATCAGTTTGCGAAGGCAAAAGAGGTGGACGGGACGGCTGGCGCTGTGGAGTACATTGGAATCTTCACCGACTCGCTTGTGCGCACTCTCCAGTCAGACTGCTACAAGAAGGAAACAACATACGCTGATCTGGTTCACTTTTTGGATAAGACGCCGCACCAGACACCGGTCGTTGCTGGGAAATGCAAGGACGCGCGTGTCTGGTATCAGGAATGAGTTACGATCATAGATCCCTTTTGTTTGCTTTCTCTACGTTTTTGTTTGCTTTCAGAATGTTTTCTTCGGATCAATGTACATTAAATCAACACCGGTTATAGGAAAAGTTATAATGTATCAATATCACCACGATGCTTTGCGTGAGACCAAGACGAAGCTAAGCTATGCGCAATGAGACAGGGTAGACACTATTTCCAAGAAGGAACACATACCTTTGACTGGGAGAAAATCACGCTCACAAGCACGAGATTCATCCATGTCGACGACGCTACCGTCAAGTCCATCGACCACGGTCCCCCTCCCCGCATCACCGAAAAGATGCCCATTACATTCACCTCCCATGCCGTACTCGTCCACCTGAACGTCCTCGCAGCCCAGCCGATACTTTGTTTCGTCAAGCTGATATCGTGCCTCCCAGAAAGCTGGGGTACATCCTCCAGCCAGGCGAACTGTTCGGAGGGGCGCTCCATTGGGAACATTTCACTTGGAGGTGCTAGACGTTCTGGATTAGAGGCCTCAGCGAGTCTTGCATCTTTCTAATCACCTGTAGGTAGTGATGAGGAAGACAGGCGACATGAAAGAGGGAATGCCCTCAACTGAAATTTTTTCGCTAGAATGGATGGTGCCTTCCTGAATCGAATCATTTACGCAGATGAAAAAGACAGAAGCTGGCTGCTCACTTGCGCCAAAATTATCGGAGACGGAGACACCCTAAACAATCTTCTGTTCGCGTTTTGAGTTCGGCTTTGGAAGTGGGCTCGACGAACGGATACGCAAGGAATTCTATGCATCGCGAGCTCTTGTAATTTCGATGAAGTTTGGTATAAAATAGCGGTAGGTTGGTGGTGGTCGCGGTCAGAGAGAGAATCCGGAATCTGCCGGCATCTTACCGGCATCTTATCCTTTACTTTTCTCGCTCATTTTTCTTTTCAGGATTGCTTGCTATGAGCTATATACTTTGACCATGGTCTGCAATCTGCGATAATAGGACGATCTATCCGGGATGACCCTTTTGAGCTGAGCGTACGACGCAACTGGCGAAAAGAACCTTCGTTAACTTCTTACAAGAAAAAAACGAGCACGTCCACCTCCCCATGAAGGCACTTTCTATCGAAATTGCTTACAACTTACCTCCTTGGGCGTTACCACTCGAAACAAGACTCAGGAATGATGTTTTTTCCCGTGGGGTATCTTTCAAATGGAAACTTGAATACCTAGTGGTACGTTGCCACCATATGTGTAAGGGATGCGAATTTCTATAGACTCATGATTGCATCATTCCTTTAGTTTTGTTTACCTATGCCTTCAGACCACTACATATGCGCCGTTTTTTGGCCTTTTTCATAACTTTATCTAGGATTTCTACCACCATGTCGTGTCTTTGACTCTATCTTCTTTGGCAATATATGCCCGAATCGTACTCAGTCTTGGGTTGAAGACCCGTCCCGTGGCAGATCCTTTACAGTATCTAAACTAGGTCGACTGAAATGTTCATCCAGTAATACCACAATTTTCCGACGTTGCATGCACGAGATAAACTCTGCTGGTCGTTTGCAAATGGAAGTCATAATACTAGGACGACACCAGATGAATTCGTCGACTCCAGTTGCGGCATCTCATTTTCATTTTAACAAATAGTTGTAGTGGTGTTTCTTGCAACGAAATTAGGCAACAATCATACTCGTTGTATTTTGGTGCGGGGATGGTTACATTTCACTGAGGCAGTCAATGATCTCGTATTTCCTCAAGTGGACCAGCTTTGGTGCGTTCCATGAAACTCTCTTATCTCCGTTTATGACAAGTCGTGATTTTAGCGTTTTCAGAAATCTGACGATTGTTTTTGTCATTGATGTCGCCCAGTCATTCCTCACCTTTTTTGATATGTTGACAATCTAAACGACACCGGCGGTCAGAATCGAGAGTCAGATGCCCTTCCACGGTGCGTGCAGCATCCAGAAACAGAATTCGGAGGCGCAGAATCGGAGCAAAAAAGTGAATATACTCTTTACCATGGCAAGAATCTCTGAAAGGTCAGTTCACGCCCAGTAAAGCAGCCGATATGAGTGAATCTCAGATCCAGAAGGAGTCCTGCGTATACCTGTTGGACATCATCTGACGTTGCAGGAATAGCACCATACCGGCATCTGATGAGGTGATTGTTTGTCGAGCTCAATTTCATCAATATAAGCCGATACGCAGCCAACGACCTTTATCCATCACTGCCACTTCTCAGACAGTACACAATGCCAGTCGCAGCGCCCAGCTAGGATTTTACAAATATGTACCGGAGACCAAGGTTCGTTGTCGTTTCCTGCTAATCACACACCAGGCTGACTAACATCTATGATAGGAAGATCTCGACTGGGCAGACCTCGTCACCGTTGATCTGAGTTTGTACGGTACTGCCAAAGGCAAGAAGCAGCTTGCAAAGACACTTATCGAGGCCGTTCACGAGAAGCACAGCTGGCTGGTGACTATTTTGGGGTGGTCAAAATGCGTGCAAAATGCATGAAAGTGGTATAAAGTTTTGGCACCGGATTTTGCCACATGAAAATCAATAGTTTTAACTAAGCAATATACAACTAAATTATATAATCTTGCTGGTGTTTAATCCCTGGGGAATATAATCATTTTGCAGCAGCTAGAATGAAAGCAATGTTATAAATTTACTCGCACTTCGAAAACCTATTGTTTTGTTGTCTGGCAAAATGCAGGATGTGATCCGCATTTTGACTGATCCGGAATGCCTTATTTAGACTGGTGGGCAGCAAAAGGCTGAATTTTGTCAGAAGTCTAAATAAGGCATTCCGGATCAGTCAAAATGCGGATCACATCCTGCATTTTGCCAGACAACAAAACAATAGGTTTTCGAAGTGCGAGTAAATTTATAACATTGCTTTCATTCTAGCTGCTGCAAAATGATTATATTCCCCAGGGATTAAACACCAGCAAGATTATATAATTTAGTTGTATATTGCTTAGTTAAAACTATTGATTTTCATGTGGCAAAATCCGGTGCCAAAACTTTATACCACTTTCATGCATTTTGCACGCATTTTGACCACCCCAAAATAGTCACCAGCCAGCTGTGAAGGGGTTCTTCTATGTCAAGAACTTCAATATATCCCCGGAGCACATCGATCGACAGTTCGCCCTTGGTAAACAGTTCTTTGAGCTACCGGTGGAGGAGAAATCTGCTTATACACCCGACATGGGTGAGTTGGTCATTTAACTGCATGACGGAGGTCATTAATAGAAATTCGTACCATTTAGGCAACGGCAAAGTCAACGGCTACATCCCTGCCAGTCGCAAAATGTATGTGTCTTCCAAGCAGTCTACTGGCTGTTATTTATGGACCTCCCTACGCTAGTATCAATGTTGACACGGGGACGAGAGACCGTACGGAAATGTATAACATTCCAAGTGAGTTCTATTTGGTGTATCCGGCCTAATTCTGATTGAGTATCAGAGTTCAATGGCTATTTCCCCCAAGTGCATCCGCCAGTGGTGGCTGAGAACCTCAAGGAAGTCGAGGAATTTGCTAGGGTGGGTGCTTCTCGACACTCTAAATTTAGCGCTCAGTATCGACACACTTTCTTCAGTCTCTCCACAGTGAAGTCTTGGACCCTCTGTTTGTTTTACTAGCCATCGCCCTGGACCTTCCCAAAGATGTGTTCACTAATATCCATAACTACGAGGAAAAAAGCGAGGTGAGCTCCCAGGAGCCAGCCTGAAAATGATATATAGGATCATCTGAGATACATGAAATATTCGAAATTCACCAAAGAAAAAAATAGAAAAATAATGAACTGGTCGTATGGACATACAGGTAAGTCCAACAATACCGGCTAGGACTGGCATGGTCTAACTTTTTAACAGACCTTGGCAGCTTTACGCTTCTTTTCCGTCAACCAGTTGCCGCACTTCAAATTCTGTACCATTCTATTGATGAATGGAAGTGGGTCAAACCCCAGGATGCTACTCTCACAGTAAATTCCTGCGACGTACTCTCATTCTTGACAGGAGGATATGTCAAGAGCACAGTCCACAGTTTAGTGATTTCTCCCAGACTTTGGCGCCATTTCTTAATGCATTGCCTTCTAGGATGACTGTTCCTCCCAAAGACCAGCAGCATGTTGATCACTTGGGGCTGCTTTACTTCTCCAGGTACGTCGAAATATGATCTGGGTTTCTTGCCGACATTGGACCTGTCGACTTTTGAAGGCCTCACGACAATGTTACCCTTGCAACTGTCAAGAACTTGCAAGTGCTAGAGTGGGAAGGGCACTCTCAGAATCAGTTTGAGTCGAGCGGGAACAAGGTACTGACTATGGAAGGTTAGGCACTGAATAAAAATTTCAAGCAATTACTGGCCTTGTCTACTTGCACAGAGTGGACCTTTGCCAAGCAAACATGGCAAAGGGCCAAAGGAAGTCGAACTGGAGAATTCAGTACAGCAACTATCCTTCTGGGTTTCAAAGAACAAGTCTACGTGTAGCTGACTACCACGGCATAGAGGAAAAATCTAATCAATTTTGGTCCTTAGCATTAACTTTTCTACTGGTACTAATTAAACGGTACTTAGTATGCCTGTTATTGTTTACCCTCTTACCTGACATGATTTACATTTGGCAGGACCTCTAATGTGGGGTCTCGCCCATTTGATCAGTTGCGATATCCCAGGACAGAACCTGAATTTGTCACATGTGCTAATATGCATTGTGTCTCAAAGCGGCCTTGAATGGATGAGTTCCCTACTTTCATTACCTCGACTCGGACGATGTTAAGCACTCATTCTACTTGGAGCTCTCTTCAACGTCTGCCGGTAAGATGTCCCTCTGATCAAGTCTGAGAATATTGTGCACCACCAATAATCTATACTCAATTTCTGAAGATTTCCAGATTTCTAGGTCTGGTGGTGCCGGTGATACCCTTAGCGTTTCAGTCAATTGTTACTCTAGGTCAGTAGTAATCGACTGTTTCTTCGAAAGAATAACGAAATTCTTATGGGCATTAGGCTATGATTGATATACCCCAAGAGCTCGTTGATCTCATAGTCGATGAACTCAAGGATGACCAAAAGGTGCTCAGTGTAGCGTTGACTATGTCGCCCTCCTTCAGAATTTGAGCCCAACACCACCTTTTCTGACATGTAGACGTTTATCCCCCCACTGGTTTTGCGAGATTTAACGAATTATGTAAAATCTCATCGCTAATTCTTTGTCTTGTTCGTTTGCCACGCATAATAACCTGGCACAAAGAGATACCAGACTCGGAGAAGCTGCAATTACACACCCCAATTAACCTGGAAAAGATCTCTTTATCTGAGTACGACAGTATCTCCGTCCCTCCTTGGGACAACGCCTCTGCAATCGGCTCTCAAATATCCTACTCCACCACTTTGATGAAGCTCGATTGCATTCACTTCCCTTCTGCACGAAGTTTTCACAGCTGCATAGAATCCTTCCCAGCTCTCAAGATATTATCTATCAGAAGGCTCCTTATTCAGGATGCGAAATTCATTGAAAACGTCAGCTCCAACCCAGGACCTCCCTCAGTTAGAATACATGCCTTCTTATTGACTCTAGGCCAGCTTACAGTATATTATTAGTTAATTATAGGTGTATTGAGGTTATATTGGCACGGATAATGAAGAGATAACTAAAGCAAAGATGAAAATCTTTCTATATCAAGTTAGATAGGAAAGCCTCGAAAACTGGAAAACTGGATTAATTGGCCATCTCCACTGATACAGCTCAGGTAAATAGAAGTAAACTACTCCTACCGACCTCGATGGCTCGTTGTGAGAAGTAATCACACTGCAAACAGAAAATGTTCAGCTATACTGAAATTATCACGTGACTCAAGAAACTTGACCACAAACTAGTCCCGAAATTGGAGAAATGGCGGGCAAGATCAGTTTCAGGACGAGTTTCTGGTCAAGTTTCATAACTTTCCAGTACACCCGAAAATTTTCCATTTGCGGTGTGTTAATGACAGTCATAGAAAATTTCACTCTTGATCTATGTTCCGGGCTGTTCCTGTTATGCGATGACGTGCTTACTGGCTGCTGCCCTAGCCCCCAAGGTGACAGCCAGTATACAGGCAAACCATATAAATTTCTTTGAACATCGGCCTTATCTTCATTGGAACTACCACCATCGTTTTCAATTTTTATTTCCCTTCTGCGTTGATGTGTTCACTCTGTGTATTATTTCTTTTCTATGGGCAACCGAATTGTCCTCGGCACCGTGGCATATCACGTGGCTTTACCGGACCGGAATCTGTATGTCCTTACTCTCTCCACTACTAAGCGCCAAGCTCTAAAGTACTCATCGATTCACTTTTATTAGGATGCTCTACTCAAATTATCGAAACTAAAAGATGCAATATTTCCGCTGGAGCAGTTTGAATGGGAAAAAGCAGAGCAGCCGGAGATGCCTAGGGAGGATGTCGACTTGGACTCGGTTGTGGCTTTCCTCAAGACCAAAGACTTGCCCGACGAAGACTATTTATCGAGTCTGAAGAAATTAGGCGAGCTCCATTGCCTCCGCATTGAATACAGTCGTGTTCAACAGAGAGTTCCATATGGACTGGAAGTATATCCCTCCACGCCAAGCGTCACGGTAAGGCGCAACCATAATGATTGTCTTTGATACTGATTGGTAGCATTTTAGCGCGCGCCTTGTGTCGACACGTTGGACACTCTTCGATTTTATGCTACCCTTATTGGCATCGACAAGTATCCATCCTTTCCGCTTAATGGTTGTGTATCAGACGTGCGATTGATGAAGAAGTACCTGACTAAGGACCTCGGCGTGCCCCACGATCGCATCCAGCTGCTTCTCGGATGCGAGGAGCATACATCCCCTGAGGATCCTATGTGTCCTTCCCGTGCCCACATCATCGACGCGCTTCTCAGCATCGTCACCAACCCTCAGATCGAATATGGCGACAACATCATCATCTACTACGCCGGACATGGCTCATACTACCCACCTGAAAGGGGGGAAACTCTCATTGTGAACGAATACATCGACACGCTATGCCCCATCGATCGCGATATCGTTAACGATGGCAAACCTGTCCCCGATATCAGCGACCGTGAATTCAACACTATCTTAACCCTAATTTCCCGAGCCAAGGGTGATCATATCACCGTTATTCTTGACTGCTGTCACTCCGGTAGCGTCAGCCGAGGATTACCTGAGCCGGGAGCACGCATCACTTACCCAATGGTGCGTGCAACTCTTCACGACATGCTCGTCGCCGGGGAGGAGCGTTTGGAGATGTATCCGGGCTATTGCCCCATTTTAGATGAACACTGGCAGCCAAATATGGAGTCCCACGTTGTCTTGGCGGCCTGTAAGAAGCATCAGTTTGCGAAGGCAAAAGAGGTGGAGGGGACGGCTGGCGCGGTGGAGTACATTGGAATCTTCACCGACTCGCTTGTGCGCACTCTCCAGTCAGACTGCTACAAGAAGGAAACGACATACGCTGATCTGGTTCGCTTTTTGGATAAGACGCCGCATCAGACGCCGGTCGTTGCTGGGAAACGCAAGGACGCACGTGTCTGGTATCCGGAATGAGTTACGATCAGATCCTTTTTGTTTGCTTTGTCTACGCTTTTGTTTGCTTTCGGAATGTTTTGTTTGGATCAATGTAGATAAAACGTATGTTGTAGTGAAAGTTTCAATGTATCGGTATCATCATGAATTTGTCTATAGTTTAGTTTACTTGCATATGTTTTCTGTGGATCAACACATTGCGGTGAGAGTTGTAATTTGTTTAATATTCATGGTTGATCGCTATTATGGGTCGTCTCAATAACTTTACGTATCTGCTCAACGGTGTTCAGTCCCATGGATTCGCATCGCAACACCCAGAAAACGTGACCACGACAAACGCGTGGCAATGAACAATGAAATCGAGCCTTGGTAGGGGAAACTGAGGGAGCAGGACCAGGGTTGATGGCTTCCTTGGGAAATTGGCGAGAAAGAACAAAGCAGTTCTTCAAATAGAACACTTGGAGGACTTCAGGCTTCTCACCATCACCCGGAAGGAATTCGATTTTCGCTCGACAGCTATCAACTTGCCGATGGCACAGGCAGGAGACAACAACGATGAGTCGTCATTTATTCTCAACAACGCATCCATTCGTAATATGTACCGACGAATATCGATTAACTTTAACTGGGCAACAATAATCAGTATCTGCATTCCGGATGTTTACTTGGAGGTATATCCCGGAGAGCTCGGCTTCGGCATCTCAGGAAGATTACAAAAGGGTGGTTTTGGTGGTATGACTTCCCCCAAGTGAACCAACGAGAATGTTAGCACAAAGAGAACGGTTCCCTAATGAACCTAAGAGTTAGAAGTTGCCACGAAAATAAAATGGCGGACTTCTTACAGCTGGAAGCTCCAGAGTCTAAAGCCCACACAGCACCGTAAGTGCTGAAAGATAATAACATGTTTGCAGTGGAGATTGTACCATAGTCTTCAGGCGAGACCGATATGGAGCTGAGCTATTGGCAACGAAGTAGAATACACAGGTTTCAACAAGGGACAGCTGTACTCGTCCACATGAACGCCCTCGCCGGCCAGTTCGCTTGGCCGGAGGGGTGCTTCATAGGGAGCATTTTACTTGGAGGTACTAGGCCTTCCGAATTGGAGGCCTCAGCGAGTGATAAGGGCGGCCTTGGGGGAAACAGGCGGCGTGAAGGAGGAAACGTCTTCAAGGGAAATTTTTTTCGTTGACGTGGATGATGTCTTCTGACAATTTATTTACGCAAATTAAAATGATAGAACTAGCTGCTCACCTTCACCAATATTCTCGGAAACGAATGGGTATGTGACATCTCGAACATCCTTAAACTTTACTCGACTTTGAAGGCGTAACGCGTTGACTGGACCGGACCACAGTTACACGTCGAGAAAGTTTGTGCATCGCGAGCTCCAGGGATTTTGGTGAAGCCTGATTATGAAATGACGGTAGGCTAGCTCGTATGTGAGTTGGTCGTGGTCGCGGTCAGAAGGAATCCGGAATTTGCCGGCGTCTGTTATACTGTTACTTTCTTCTCATTTTTTCTTTTCAGGACTGCTTGCTTTGAGCTGCGTTAACCATGGTCGGTAATCTTCCATAACAGGACGATATATCTGGTGTTTCCTTTCTCGCTTTAAGCTAGACGTACGACGTGTTTGCGCTTCTGGGCCCAACCGGCGAATAGAATCTTCGCCAACGAGCACGTCTAACCCCTAGGCCCCTACGAAGGCACCTTCTTTCAGACTTACCGCTCACAGATTTACTCCTTACCACTCGAACCAAGACTCAGGAATGATGTTTTCTCCCATAGCACATCTCTCGAGTGGAGATGTAGTGGTATGTTGCTGAACTGGATCGATTGAGATGTTCTTTCTAGCCAAGTCGCAATACTTTGCACACGTGAATCTTCTAAGCTAGTATCCACCAATGTACTATGAAGGTATCATATTCATTAAGCTGTCTAACCTAGATCTGTTCCGTTGTGTTCATTGCACCCGTTTCTGTCTCCGTTGTTTATCAGTTCACTGGGACACTTGAGGGCCTCATATTTCTTCAAGTAGACTGAATTTGGTGCGTTCCATGAAACTCTTCTCTCCATTGTTGACAAATCGTGGTTTCAGCTTTTTTGGAAATTTGACTACTGTTTTCGTCGTTAATATTGCCCAGTCACTCCCCACCTTTTTTAATATGTTGACAATCTCCATGATACAGGCGACCAGAGTTGAGAGTCTGATGCGCTCGCGCCGCATTAGATATATGCACAATTGAGAAACAGATTCAGGAGGCACAGAAACAAAGCAAAAAATGGATATACTCTTTACCATGGCAGGAATCTCTAAAAGATTTGTTCGCACGCCGTCGCGCCGTAAAACAGCTGATGAGTCAGTCATAGATCCAGAAGGAGACCTACGTATACCTTTCCACCATCATCTGACGTTGCAGGAATAGCACCATACCGGTATCTGATGAGGTGATTGTTTGTCGAGCTCAATTTCATCGATATAAGCTGATACGCAGCGGACAGCCTTTACCCATTACTACCACTTCTCAGACAGTACCCAATGCCAGTCGCCGCGCCTTAACTAGGATCCTACAAATATGTACCGGAGACCAAAGTTCGTGCTGTTTCCTGCTAATCGCACATCAGGCTGACTGACGGTTATGATAGGAAGATCTCGACTGGGCAGACCTCGTCACCGTTGATCTGAGTTTGTACGGTACTCCCGAGGGCAGGAAACAGCTTGCAAAGACACTTATCGAGGCCGTCCGCGAGAAGGGGTTCTTCTATGTCAAGAATTTCAACATATCCCAGGAGCGCGTCAATCGGCAGTTCGCCCTTGGTAAACAGTTCTTTGAGCTACCGGTGGAGGAGAAATCTGCTTATACGCCCGACATGGGTGAGTTGGTCATTTAACTGCACGACGGAGGTCATTAATAGAAATTCGTACCATTTAGGCAACGGCAAAGTCAACGGCTACATCCCTGCCGGTCGCAAAATGTATGTGTCTTCCAAGCAGTCTACTGGCTGTTATTTATGGACCTCCCTACGCTAGTATCAATGTTGACACGGGGACGAGAGACCGTACGGAAATGTATAACATTCCAAGTGAGTTCTATTTGGTGTATCCGGCCTAATTCTGATTGAGTATCAGAGTTCAATGGCTATTTCCCCCAAGTGCATCCGCCAGTGGTGGCTGAGAACCTCAAGGAAGTCGAGGAATTTGCTAGGGTGGGTGCTTCTCGACACTCTAAATTTAGCGCTCAGTATCGACACACTTTCTTCAGTCCCTCCACAGTGAAGTCTTGGACCCTCTGTTTGTTTTACTAGCCATCGCCCTGGACCTTCCCGAAGATGTGTTCACTAATATCCATAACTACGAGGAAAAAAGCGAGGTGAGCCTTTCTATCTTGGCCTATTCCCAGGAGACGACCTGAAAATGATACATAGGATCATCTGAGATACATGAAATATTCAAAGTTCACCGAGGAAGAAAATAAGAAAATAACGAACTGGTCATACGGACATACAGGTAAGTCCACAAGTATTGTGGCTAGGACTAGCGTAGTCTAGCTTTCCTACAGACCTTGGCAGCTTTACACTTCTCTTCCGTCAACCTGTTGCCGCACTTCAAATTCGGTACCATTCTACTGGCGAATGGAAGTGGGTCAAACCCCAGGACGCTACTCTCACGGTCAATGCCTGCGACGCACTCTCGTTCTTGACGGGAGGATACGTTAAGAGTACAGTCCACCGGTTTAGTGATTTCTCCCGGACTTTGGTGCCATTTCTTATTGCATTGTCCTCTAGGGTGACTGTTCCTCCCAAAGATCAGCAGCACGTCGATCGCTTGGGGCTGCTTTACTTCTCCAGGTACGTCGAAATATGATCTGGGTTTCTTGCCGACATTGAACTTGTCGACTTTGAAGACCTCACAACGATGTTACCCTCGCAACTGTCAAGAACTCCAAAGTGCTGGAGCGGGAAGGGCACTCCCAGAACCAGTTCGAGTCTAGCGGAAACAAGGTACCGACTATGGCAGGTTAGGCGACGAGTAAAATTTTCAAGCCGTTACTGACCTTGTCTACTCCTACAGAGTGGACCTTTGCCAAGCAAACATGGCAGAGGGCCAAAGGAAGCCGAACTGGAGAATTCAGTACAGCAACTATTCTTCCGGGTTTCAAAGAACAAGTCTACGTGTAGCTGACTACCACGGCATAGAGGGAAAATATGATCAATTTTGACCTTTAGACCTTATAAATGGTACTTACTATGCTTGTTATTGTTTATCCTCTTACCCGACGTGATCTGCATTTGGCAGGACCTCCAAGGTGGGTCTCGCCCAATTAATCAGTTGCGATATCTGGAACCTAAATCTGTTACCTGTGCTGATACGCATTGTGTCCCGAAAAGGCCTTGAATGGATGAGTTCCCTACTTTTATTACCTCGACTCAGACGGTGTTAAGTGTTCATCTCGCTTGGAGCCCTCTGCAACGTCTGCCGGTGAGATGTCCCTCTGATCAAATCCGAGAATATTGTGCACCCGCAATGATCCTTCCAGAATTCTAGGTCTAGTGGTACTGTGTCAGTTGATACCCTTAGCGTTTCGGTCAGTTGTTACTCTAGGTCAGTAGTAATCGACTGTTTCTTCGAAAGAATAACGAAATTCTTATGGGCATTAGGCTATGATTGATATACCCCAAGAGCTCGTTGATCTCATAGTCGATGAACTCAAGGATGACAAAAAGGCACTCGGTGTAGCGTTGACTATGTCGCCCTCCTTCAGAATCCGAGCCCAATACCACCTTTTCCGACATGTAGACGTTTATCCCCCAACTGGTTTTGCGAGATTTAACGAATTATGCAAAATCTCACCATTAATTCCCCGTCTTATTCGTTCGCTTCGTACAACAACCTGGCACAAAGAGATATCAGACCCGGAGAAGCTGCAACTACACATCCTAATCAATCTGGAAAAGATCTCTCTATCTGAGTACGACAGTACCTCCATCCCTCCTTGGGACAACGCCTCCGCAATCGACTCTCAAATATCCTACTCCGCCACTTCGATGAACCTCGATTGCATTCACTTCCCTTCCACACAAAATTTTCGCAGCTGCATAGAATCCTTCCCAGCTCTCAAAACATTATCTATCAGAGGGCTCCTTATTCATGACGCGAAATCCATTGAGCACGTCAGCTCCAATCCGGGACCTCCCATCGAGACGCTCACAATCAAATCTTCCGGTATGAAGAACAATCACGAACGCGTCTTCATAGGTTCAAGGACGGAGAAGATAGGCTGGCAAAAGCCTTTTGGCCTGAGTGCCCTACGCAAGCTTCGGATGGTCTTTTGCGGGCTGAGACTTGTACCCAAAGTACAAAACATCCTGGACATAACACACAACACGATCCAGGAGTTTTATCTCCTTCTAAGTAGGTCGCATAACTTTCCTCGTAGGCTTTAACATGTACTCATTTTCCTTTTTTCATGTTCTCAGCCCCAGAGGCTCGCTATGACCAAATGCCCGTGAAGGGTCAGCACGTACTCATTTTCTCTCGTGTCCCATTCGTCACCTTCGACCCTACCACGTCGGACACTTCTTGGGAAATGAGGTACCTCGTGACGTGCTTGCGGAAGGGTGTTCCTACGCGGCTCAATGTCAGTCTAGATTACAGTGAAGATACGTTCCACCAACTGCATGTTGAAGGTACATGGATGGCGCTAGACAACGTCATGCGAGATGGCGGGTCTTTGCTCTGCGTCACAATCGAATTCGATGGGGACATAGACAGAGAAGCGATTAAGAGGAAATTCGCCCTGCGCTTGCCGAGGATGTATGCTGCAGGGCGATTGGCCGTCGTGTTTACGGACGATCACAGCATACCGCTCTAGTGGCTGAACTTCAGTTTCGAGTGTCATAGCGTTGATCGTACTGGCCTACCAAAGATGATCGAGAAAACGATGGTGTCGGTTTGGTCTCTTTGGATTTATTAGATTCACTGTCCCTTCACCGTCGAGTACCTCCCTAGAGTCCATAGAGTACAGGGCAGAAGGTAGTCCTACAAGATGTGTCGGAGTAGTTGGTACCTCCCTCCATAAATATACGAGACTACCCATATCCATCCACTATTCCCGACAGCGTTCGACATCGTGGGAGTATCCTTTAGGAAAATCGAAGGGCGCTCACTGCAGGGTCCAGGAGCATGAGAGAACAGCGAAAATAACCTAGACATACGATGTGACCTGCTGCCCAGGTAAAGCGAGACTTATAGAGCGCCTTTTTCCGCCTCATACTCGACTCGCACTCTTCCCTCAGAATATAGTCCCGGCATCGCTGAAATGACACTCTTATCAACCATCGTTTCTCGACTTATATGTCCTCCAAGGGCGATCATGACCTGAATCGCACTAAAACGCGGGTCATCACAAAGCGCCTTGTCCATCTTTGTCCAAGAACTCGTAGTGAAGAGATTGTCTACGATTATATTGATCTGTTCAACCCTCAGGGGATACGAGCCTTTCTCGAGGCACGTCAAAAGCCACTCCAATCCCCAAGAAGCGGATAACAAGTTTCCCCGTAACCGCAGGGTTATAATGGGTACATGGGAGATATCCAGAATCTGTTTGTCAGACGATCTAGATGAGGGATCTGCCGGTGTAACGCTGAGTTCCTATGCGGAAAAATGGCAATAGACCGCAGATTTGGAAATCGACTCACAGTAAAAGGTGGGTCTGAGATGAAACTCGCGAAGTGAGTCCCGACTCTCATTGAGCAAACGCTGGATATCCGTGACTTGTTCGACGACAAAGCCGAAATAGTGGAGCTCGCGCAGTCTGTGTAGGGCGAACGGTCTTAGATGGGGGTGCCCGTGAAAAAACGCACAGACGCCGTCGGAGTTAATGGATGTGATGGATAGGACTTCTATCGGCGGGCCGGAATCATCACGGGATGGCTCAAGTAGATGAGAATTATTTGATCTTGTTGTAATCGCAGCTACGGTGAGGAGGGATAGAGATCTAAGGAGTGGCAGAGCCCCAAGTAAACTTCGAAAAGTTTCTATCGAGGAGAATGTGATGTTCTGGATCGACAGCGACGTAAGGGTATTGGGAAGCCAGGAAAACTTCCTCCTGAAGGTCCCCAAATCCTTAGACATGACCCGCAGAGAACCATTGAGATGGAGGGTATGAACGTACGGAAGCCTTGGTAGACTGATCGCAGATTCGGGCAGGGTAACGCGAAGGGTTTTGACCAAATTAGGGATCGAAGGTGATGTCGCGCATAACAGGCTGAATTCTTCAAAATCACCCTCTTTGGCCAAGGGGATTGAAAGGAAAAGATGAAATTGGGCTCGACAGCGGAAGAAGCTCGAGACGGACAGGCAGGCGAGGAGGGCGCGGCGGTCTTGGTATAGTTGGTCTATAATGGCATCGACGAGCTCTTGAGGAAATTTGACCATGCTGCACTGCTTACTAGCTCAGTCATGTTCGGTATCAGACATATATGATGGAGACGGCGTACGGAAAAGGTAAATCAAATTTTTCTTCAGTTTTGTGTCCACTGGTTGGAATCCGAGAGCTCTAGCCCAAGTCGAAGTATCAAGACCAGTGCCAGAAAAAGTGCAACGAACCTGCTTACCAAAAGAAAACTCTATATTGTAGTTATTGGTGCGAAGCGAAGAATGCCGGGATGTGTTGGGACGAAGTTTGTCTGTATATGAAGAATTAAATTAAAGTCAAGAAGTGAAACGCCAGAGTAGCAAGATAAGACGAAGACAAGCGAGGGAGAGCCCAAGCTCAGCCGAAGAAACCGCAAAGAAGACTGAGAAGAGAAGGATCGTTGATGTTGGTGGCAGGAAGTCAAAAACCAAGCGAGAGCAAGGGCCGATTATATAGTAGTGCTAATGATGTTCCGGGCCGAATCCGGCAGTCACATTTTCTCTCAGGCGCTTCGCCCACTCGGCGGTCCAGTGGCATTCACTTCCGGTGATCTGAGAGTATCAGTGATATAGTATATAGTGATGTTTGCATCTCGCAAAAATTATTGTTCGCCGGCGATGACGGGTGATGATCGACAATCCAAGGGACCCACCCCGGACCAGTAACTTTGACAACTGTTCTATCAGTTCAAAAATCAATTATAGGTTTTCCGGGTCTTACTTATGTTAGTAGGGCTCAAAGACCGGTGAGGTTCGGTGCCCCCCCACGGGAGCTAAGGAGTTGATAGGAATAATACTTACTGCTTTGTGCATAGTGCCGCAGTTTGTATAGGACTCGCTGAAAAGTTGCGGTACCTGATGACGGATCATGATCTGTCTGACAGGCGATATGGAGTGTATTCAAGTGTCTATTCACTCTATGATACTAAGAGTGCGTAATGTCCTGTAGGAGGGATATATGGGCATCCGCACCACGACGCATTCATTAAAGTTTTAAACGCCAACGGTCCGTGTGAATTCTTTTGACAAGTGGTATCCTCGAGAACGAAAAACCCATCGGGAGTGGAGCATCATTCTAGGAACCATGAAGCTTCGAAACCCCAAGCCAAAATGAACAAGCGAGAGGAAACATGCTGATGATCACGAATCCTTTATAATTGAACACCAATCGAAGCGAAGCCGGAGATCGTAAAGATGGCCATTGGCTTGCAGCTCCACGGGTTACTGAAAGACAATAATATCAGCACCCGGCGAATGTACAGAGCCGGCACAAAAAGACCGTACACGCTGAGACCCGAAATCGGACCTGAATACCAGGACCACAGAATCTTATGGTAAGCCGTCTCGATATGATGCGAATCCGTTGAATTCTCGCTTAGAAAAGTTCATCCGAACCTGAGCGTGGACGATGGAAAGGGTCGAGCGCATGCTCAGGTAACTAAATGAATGGGTGGCAATTTGAACCCAGAGTTTTGTTAATAAACAATGATGAGATGTTTCAGAAGGGAACCATCGATGTTCTGAGGCTGTAGAATGAACTGTTAGACACAGAGATGACTATAGCAGCGGATGTACTGCGGTCACGGCGTCTACTATTGAGTTGTGCATTCGCCCTGGTAGGGTTTCCTATCAAACTGGAATATCATATCTTCATTTGATAGCTGAAGGATGTAAATCTCATTCGAGAATATAGAACTACTTACAACCTTGTGCATTTGCGTCGTAATAGGTTGCCTGCCAAGCCTTGGCAACAAAAACCATTCCGATTTTGCAAGCAACACACAGGTCAGATTATCTCTCCAGATCATATGTTGACTGATGGAAATTCCACTACGAAATCATGTTACTCGGATAAGCCGTCTCGATGTAATGCAATGCATTGACATACGAACCTGAGTGTGGACGGTGGAAAGACGCCCTGAGAAAGTATAAGTATATTAGTTGCCAGCTGTCAGTCAAACATACTTACGCTCCCTGAAAAGAGTTCAGAATTCCGTACAATAAAGTTCTTTTCGAGTGATGTTTCAGAATACCGGGATCAACAAAACCCAAACAGAGTCAAGATGACTACAGCGACGTCGGACATTCGCATTGTATTGAACCTATGTAAGCAACAGTATCCATTCCGATCTCGCAAGAAAACCCAGGTAAGAATAGACTAGTTCAAGCAGTTTCCCCAGGTCATATTGCAGAAGACAAGCACCGATACTTTGATGCGCTGAGTGTACTCTCTGTCAGTGGATAGTGCGGCGACTCTGAGAAGTGCTCGCAAAAAAGGTGGGTCAACCAGGGGTACCTAAATCCACGGATCTCAGCCTGGGTACTTCAAGCTTCAAGGCGTAAGCGCCGCGGTTTCTTCATCTTAGACGGGGCAGAAAACAGCGCGCAAGAGAGGTATCACGAAAAGCAAAGAGGTCCAGTGCAAGAGATATCCGACACCTAGCAACCACAAAAAGCAGGGAAAGCCCCACATTTTGGAGGGCGAGCGCCAATGCAGGGAAGTCGATACACTTCGACTGGTTTCTCCGTCATTACATGTAATCGCAGCGGCGATCTTGAGGTGGTAGTAAAAAACAAGCTTTGATTTGATCGGACCGATCAGCCGAACCCTAGGATTTCGTATTCAGGTTCAATTCCGGAACAAGTACAAGGACAACGAGCCACCATATACAACATCGCTAGCTAGATGAATAAAATAAAAAGGACCAAAAAAGGGAGAGAGTAATACAGCACAGACACAGCAAGACAGCAACAACCAACCAACCAACCAGAGAAAAGGAATCACTCCGTTCTCTGCCTCTTCCCATCCCCCTCCTCTTTCCCACCCTCATCCTCACTCGCCCTCTTCTTCCCAGCCCCACCTTTCAACCCCTCCAACTCCGCCTCAGCCCTCTGCCTCCCCATCCTCTCCTCATCCCACATCCTCCTCATCTCCTCCAATTGCGCCTGCAAATCCCCCATCGCCTGATCCATCAACAGCTTCTCCAGCGTCCACTTTTCAATATTCCGCGCCTCGTTCTCTTTCAGGTGATGGATGTACTGCACCGCGCGCGAGAGAATCGCGCCTTTGGCTTTTTCGCCAGAGCCGTTGGGGACGATTCGACCGAGCTCGTTGATGCCTTCGTTGATGTTTCCTCGGCGGCGGCGTTCGACTTCTTTCTGTATAGCGGAGTAGGAGTCAAATCAATCTCAGGCTATGCTAAACCGGAAGATGGTAATACTCACATGGTTATCCTTCCGCTGCCTCGTCCACTCGTCGCTGCCCATCGCCGCCCCACTCTTAGACCTCCTAGCACCAAGGTTGGGATTCGGGCCTTGAGGGATAGTAGAAGGCGGCTCTTCAGGTTGCGGCGCAGGAGCCTCCCCCTCCGCCTTCTTCTGCGGTCCGAGATTAGGTGGTCCGCCGGGGTGGGACGACGGGCCGGGGTCGTTGATCGAAAAGGCGGGGTTGAACCCGGATTGTTGGGCGAGGTTGGAGAGGGCTTGGGCAGCGTCTACTTTGGTGCCTTGGGGGTTTGCGTTCTGGGGGGAGGGAGGGTGTTAGGATGGAGGACACGATCACGTGGGGGATGGGGATGGGGAAGGAGGAGGGAAGGATAAGTGACGACGCTTACCTTGAATACCGGAAGGTCAAGGGTGGTTAGCAGTGCTAAGAGTTGGTCCCTTCCGATTCCGGGAATCGTCGGTACGTCGACGGCTGGCTGAGCCGCAGGAGCCGCTTGGGCTGCAGGCTGGGCTGGTTCTTGAGTAGCTGCATTCGGAGCCATGACGGTCTACGAAATGGACAAGATTCTTCTCGAAAGCTCTTGCTCGAGGACGTCAAAGATATCTGAGTCGTCAAGAAAGTCAATATCACCGTCGACGGCGTATTCAATGGGGCTTACTTACCCGAGACTGGGGCCGGATATCAACCAAGCCAAGAATGTGCGCAGAAATGGAGGTAACTGACAGTAAATGTCTCCAATGGAATCGTATTGCAAAAGTTTTGCTCGCTGTCGTCGACGATGAGCAGGAAATACTGGTCGCGTCGCGGTAAAGTGGGGGGTGCTGACTTGGGGAGGTCGTCACATGGGAATCACGCCTTTTGTGAAAAACCACGGGAGGGGACCTCGAACACCACTTGAATCTTCTCACGCCTGCCACTGCGCCACTTCCCACCTTTCCGGCTTTTTCGGTGGTTCTCGTGTGCTTCTGACATTACAAAATTGCATCAGAACAAAGCGTAGTGTAAAATTATGGTCCGCAAAAAAGTACGGAGAACACAAACAGAATAGATAACGAGAAGAGAAGGAAAAACTCCTAACGAGGTCTCCGAGGTCCTGACATTGATTCTCCGGCATGACTCTGCCGATGTGGCACGTGCCCCAAAACAATGGAATCTCGACTTGGGTAGAGCAAGTTACCCAGGGCCTCAATTAAGTCCTGGCATGCCCGGCGAACTATGAACAAAAAGGAAAAGCGTAGGCACCCCACAGGAAAGTGGAACGGGAACGGAAATCTTCAGATCAACGATAAGGCAGAAGATAGAAGCAAGAGTTGCAAAGTCACCCTGAATGGTGCCAGGACGCTGTAACGGGCGAGGAAGTAGTTCCAAGGAGTCGCTAGGGAACACGATAGAGTGAGAACAGTCGGAAGCGTCTAATTGATGGTGGCGCAATGGTGATCTACAGCCAAGGATGGATCGCGCTTGCACTCGACGAATCGGCGTGCTTGTCAGAAGCACCGGAGGGTAGAATCAAGAATTCAAAGCGAAGTCGGTGCTATACGGTTCAGTGAGAGACCAATGGCTTACGGGCATGGCAAGCACCGCAAGGTTTCCGGTTGGCTTGCAGTCGAGGACGACAAGCTTCGGAACACAATCCTAGAGCGAGGGACGGCTGTCGTATTGAGATTCACTGCGACTTCATGCTAACCTGACGCTGCCATCGAATGAGTACCACAATAAGGGTGCAAAAAGATCATATACGCACAAATTATACAATAACGACCGCAAGGTGTCGTCGAAGGCTCCCCTTCAACTAGACGACCGAGACACAAGAACCCTTCCTGAGAATCACCAAGCGCATATAAGCACGAAATCGCGTGTCCTCGAAACCCTGGCTGGGCGGACGCCCGCCACCACGATCCTCGTATGCGGTTGTTGAGGTCATATTCGAGCAAGGTGATGGTGTTAGAGGCAAAAGACTCGGATGATGAGCACGACACGGCTACCGCTCTCTGGTCTGGCGAGTCCGAGTGTATCCTTTGTGTATCCTGAGTCCTAGGTCAATAACTAAATATCGAGGGAAGAAAAGCGCACATACACATAAAATTGCGTGTCCTCGAAACGGTTGGTCGAAACCACGGATTTAATCATTTGATTAACCTCCTTAACCAGCACGATGCGTAGTACAAGAACCACAATGTGTGCTTCGTGTGTTGAGACTGATGTGATGGTGGTGATCAAGAAAGAGGATGACGTCACAGCCACCGTCGTGCTCTCACCATCATGGTTACAACAGTCAACTCCCGCTAGAAATTTACATAACTCTTTGCCATTTTATTCTCGTAGCACGACTGCACTTTCTCAACACTTGGATGGGCTCAATATCGATAACCCCAAGGCTCTTTGTGCTGTTCTTCCGACCCGTCACCTAGAACACAGACTTATCTTTTCCGAGCTATTCGCCTCCGACGTCGACGCCTTGTAGCCCGTGATCATAATTTTCACCTTCCATATGTCCATTCCTGTGTGCTCCTCACGATCTGAACAATGATTTCCTCATGATTGGGGCCTCCCTGTATTTGCCTAACGGAGGGGGATGATCTAGGTTAGCGGACCCCTCGAGTCTTCATTGCTTACTATCATCACGTCTGCGAGCCCCGTCCTGACCTCTCTGGTTTCTCCTGTCCCCGCTCCTTCAGAACGTCCTGTTCCAGCCATCCACGTTTGCCTGAATAATCATTGCGCGCGCCGTTTATCTTTCTTCCTGAACGTTGACGAACCCATAATTCAGACGGTGATGCGGTCGTGTTAGCAAATAACGCAACGGTTCGTCTGTAATCAGCTCTGGGTTGGAGGTCCATTGTAAAGCTCTTTTGACCGCTTGATGAGGCAGAAATAATATATTACTGTCCAGGGCGTCGGGTAAATGCCAGTCTACTGTTCATATTTCCTTAACTGCTCAGGAGCATCCCGAGCCTATCATCGTTTCCCGATTCAAGATCATGACAACAGCATCTTCAAATTCCCCTGGCCCTGGGAAGATTGGACCCACATTGACCCACAGCGGCCAATATCCGGCGACAATACATATATGTTTCAACAAATCGGTAAACGTCACAACAAGGGGCAGTCCAGTCGTGCCTGTCAACAGGAACCGGCTGCAGCACATGGTGGCTCTCAGAATTATTATCCGGAATAATATACTTCTATCGATTGGTATCAACAGTAAATTTGAACTCTATAAAGGCACATAACCGTCTAGATCTATGTCATCCTCGTACACTACAGTCACTATGGATACAAGCTATCCGCACCAGCGGACATGTCAGAATTCTATATATCTTCTATGCAATGAATTAGAGATTACAGATCTTCGAACAGCCTCTTCGGATCCATCTCCTCAAACGAGATCCTATACACCTTTTCAAAAAGCGGGTATCCCTCCAAGCGTCCGCGAGCCTCGAGGAACTCGAAGACTTCTCGCGAAGTCAGCGTTCCTTGGAGTTTTTGACCATTCAGGAGCTCCTTTTCGAGTTGTTCGAACGATTTTCCCGAGTCTGGTTTAGATTCTACTTAAAATCAGTCGGGGAAAGATGACAGTGCGGAACAACCGGACGAACCTCCAGAATACTCTGGTTTGCTCTTGATGAACGCCTCTGCACATTTCCGATTTCTCCCACCAAATGACGTCGTAATAAGATCTGCAACACCTATCCCATTTCTCAGCAAAGGGAACAAAAAAACCAAAAAAAAAAACAAACATCACATACCAGCAGAATGATGCGAAAACGTCAACGGCGAACTGCCCGGGAAGAACTCCAACGTGAACGTCGACATCTCCAAGAGTCCAATCCTCAAAATCGCGGCTTTAGTATTACCCCCGAGGCCCATCCCATCTACAAATCCTGCCGCAAGCGCAACAACATTCTTCAGCGCTCCACTCAGGCTGACACCTGCCACATCTTCAATTGGGTGTACCCTAAAACTCGGGCCGTCAAACACAGCATGCCACAGCGCCGCGTCTTTCGCGCTCGGCACGCCGATGGTCGTCTCGCAGAACTCTCCCCGCCCGACGTCGAGTGCGATGTTGGCACCGCCTAGGGCGGAGCAGGGGATTCCGAGCTCTTTCTCGATGACGGAGGGGTAGGTGTGGATGTCGGCGGTGGGACCGTCCTTCTGGATAACGACTTCGACGCCTTTGATTGCTGAAATGGCGCGCGCCCTGGAGCTGATTAAACCAGGTTCCTTGAGCTCTTCGAGGATACTCGGGAGGTACTGGTGCGGGACAACGATGAGAATAAGCGTCGCATTCCGCACGGTCTCCTTGAGACTGGGCACCGCAACGAGGTTCTCGGGAAGATCGACATTAGGTAGGTACCTCTCATTCTGGTGCGTCTGGTTGAATATCTCCGTAAGCTTGCCTCGTCCGGGTACCTAGCAGGAGGAAACAGTCAGTAAACAGAAGAAACCGAGAACCGAAAACCCCAACCTCATGCTCCCTAACCCATATCCTAACCTCAGGATCGAATCCCTCCCGTTCAGCCGCGTTTAAAGCAGCAACACGCGCAAGCGCAGTACCCCAACTCCCAGACCCGACGATCGCGATTTTCTCTAGACGCGCGGGACTCTTCGTACCGCTTTTCTTATCCACGACGTACTCCTCTGGCTCGTAGGGCTCAAACTTTGTGATAAAAGGAGCCATCGCTGCGGAGCTCGTCCTGCGGACCATCGGCTTGGGCGGTTCGTCCTCGTCAGAGGAGGAATCGGGAGGTGATTCGGGGGTGGAGACTTTGCTCTGTTTCTTCGTAGCGGCGTTGGACATGGCTGTGAAGCTCATGCTTGCTCCGCTAAGGGTGTTGAAGCCGAAAGGCTTGGAGGGAAGTCCGCGTTTGGATTGCGGTGGTTTGGAGAGTGGTCGTAGGAGGGGAGAAGGCGGGCGCGAGGAGTCGGGGGAAGATGGACCAGACATGGGTGTTTGACTGCCGTTGAACGTTGGAGACGGTGAGGGCGACCCAGATAGGGAAGAGGAAGGAGAGGAAGGCATGGTGTTCTGGTAATATGCAGGTTCGACTCTAGAAATAGGCAAAAAAAAGGAGTAAAGAGAGTGGGAGTTGGAAGCAGTGGCGCCAACGTCTTCTATATCAGAAACGAGTTAAAGAGACGGTAAGAGGCCGCTTCTAAGTGGTCATGGCGAGTTAAAAATAGGCGCCATTTCCAAAACCGCATTTCGTCATAAAGCGGCAGTCGCATGTGTGCGTCCTCGGTCCTTGGCATTTGTCGGGTATGCCCCTTTCGGCATCTTTGCTCCAATCCCATCACCCTCATTTTACATCCCATCGTGGAACCGGCTTGTCAGAAATCTGTTGTGGAGCCCATATATAGACGTGATAGGAAATACACTGCGCCGGAATGGGTGAATCGGATGGAGACGGGGAGTTAAAAAAAATGATTCGAAGGAAAGGAGAGCTCCACACATCGCCGCAAGTGGGCGGATTCGAAATGAGTAACCAACAGGGATGCATCATCACAACAGGAGTGAAACGTGGGTGGGCTCCGCGATCTGGTGTATATTTTCAAACGAGGCTGCATATAACTTGAGCCTTGCGCCGCTGCTGTTTGCTGTAACCTTCATCTTGCTCCCATCATGACTTCCTCGCCGGTATCAACTGTTCTAATGAAGACGAAAGCCGTCCTGTTTGAGTCAGTATGCTATCGGTACCAACTAGTCATTTGTACTCACCGTCAGTCAGCATGGACGGAACCCTCATCGACTCATCGCCAGCGGTAACCGCAGCCTGGAACCTCCTCAAATCAACAGGCTACGATTTCCTTGACCTCGACGATATCCTCCGGTCCGCACACGGTTACCGTACCATCGACGCCCTCCGAAAATGGTGCAAAATCACCGACGAGGAAAAACTTAAATCCGAAGTCGTGAGATTCGAAGAAGCCATCCTCGCCAATGCGTCGAAACCTGGCGGTGGTATTATCGCTCTTCCTGGGGTAAAGAAGCTCCTGGACGGCATTCAGGGTGGGCGACCGGACGAGGATCAAGGTTGGAGCGTTTGCACATCTTGTAGGTTTTCGATGGTTCTTTGAATATCTGATTCTGAGAGTGATGGCCTGGTAGCAACGACATTCTACGCTTCCAAGGCGCTTCCTGCAGCTGGTCTCAGGATTCCCAACCACTTCGTCACCGCCGAGAGCGTGAAGCAAGGAAAGCCAGCCCCGGATCCGTATTTGCTCGGCGCTAAACTCAACGAAACCGCGCCTTCTGATTGTATGACGTTTCATCCCCCCTACAAAATTCCTTGACATTGAGCCGTATCACAGGTATCGTCGTTGAAGACGCTCCAACCGGTATCCGTTCAGGAAAAGCAGCAGGCTGCTTCGTACTTGCAACGTGCACCTCCCACACGCGTGAGAGCCTCGAAAAGGAGCATCCACACTTTTTGGTAGAAGATTTAAGCCAGTAAGTATCATCCATTCAGACAACTTTGGTATACAGTCTTACCTCATTCCAGCGTCCGGCCCCACCGTAACGAGGACGGCTCCATCTCTTTACTCATCACCCAACCTCCCGGTCGCGATTATCCGGACTCTGCTATTCCCACGCCGGAAGACACGCCTCTCCATACTCCCACTCTTTCGAGAGAGGCTTCGCAGGCTGATATCCATATGGATAAGGGATCCCTTCCTGACCACGCTGTGTACACCATGGCCCGTGTTGCCGGGGAAAGTATCATCCAATGAAGAATTGTTACGCCGAGAAATAGATCTAGAGATAGAACTTAGAGTGTATTCTGATTCCAGATATGCATTGATACGCGCCGAGCGTTGTAATTATAGATACTGCCAGTAAAATATAGACGTGCTTTTTTGGAATAGTTCGGAAGTAGATCCTAGTGGCCAATTGTTATCGCTCGAAGGGTATTCTTGTAACGAAAGGTTCCATTAATGTTCGTACGCCACGCTGTGAGGCCCGTTAACTACGGACTACAATGGAAGCAAACATTGCGTAGCGAAGAAAATGACGAATCGTTGGAAGAGGAACGAACAAACAGGGTCATGAAAATGACGTAGTTCGGCACAACTCGGATGATCCGAGGTTACCCGACGAAGTTCGTCCAGATCCATCATCCATGAAGCTTGAAGAGGTACACGGCCGCTTGGATACCGATTTAAAGAACCACACTGGGTCTAATCCTAGAAATACACCCATTTCAAACGACGTATACCAAAACTGATCACCATTGTCGTACATGGAGATTTATGGGGCACTGCGGAATTAATTTTCTACTTCTACTTCCATCTTACCGTGGCGCAACCATGTCAACGGAATATGGATGATGTTCAAATTTCATCAGGCTCGGATTTGGGATGTCCCGTTCGGGAGCTTGAGTTTTGAGCCATGATAGACTCGATGCAAATGGGAACAGGATCAGCATTATGCAGACGGCCTAGATGTGCGAGGTCACTCTGGCGTAGACATATGTTACAGCAGTATTCGAGAGTCAAAGTGTACTATTATGGTGGTATGTAGATTACCGATGTTGAGGCGTCAGATGTAAGAACGGACATGGTTGCAGTACGTCTCCTGCGAAAGAAACCATCATTAAGCAGCTCCGCAAGTGGTTAACCGCAAATATATGCTCGTACGTATTGCACTTCAACTGTAACCCTCTCAATGACCTGCAAACTAACAGGGTTCGGTAAAGATATGGTGATGACCAGAGTAAGGAAGACGTAAGGAGTAAGCACAAATAGTCCAGTTAGTGCGGCGTAGGATAGAAATAGCAACCGAGGGGCGACCGCGTGAAGATGCTGGACATTGATAATTATGTACAGAAAAAGATGATAAGTGAGATGTTTTCTCACCCTAGTATCCAAGCTGTATCTATATAACCTCTTTCCAGCCCGCGAAATGAACAACGGTCAATATGGCTTGAGATAGATCTGAGCCATCGTCTTGGCTTGAATCATCTCCATGTATTAGATGAGATCTGGTTAGCTAGTTGAAGTAACTCTTGTATGAACACCCTTACGGCAGTTTTAATTTCAAGACTCGTAACCCGCACGAGGCTTATTTATTATTACCGTGTTAACTGACGCCGAAGCACCAAATGGGGGGACGGACACTGTTGCGAGTCACGTACTAGAATGAGTGAATGAATGAGGAAACTCCACTTACCGCAAGGTTGGGGGTACTAAAATTCCCAACCGAATGGTGGCCTCCAGAAGAAGCTAGACGCAAAGGAGAAGCACAAAGGGCAGGAAAAAATTTGGCTAACAACGAATGGACTCCTCTGTGTGCTGGGGCTGTAAATCGACACGAGGAAATTTTTCCTCCCGTATTCGATCAGGTAAAAGTCTACGGCGATCAAAAGCCTCGACGTGACTCAGAGGGGAATGAAAAATCGAGAAACTAAATGCGTCGACGATCCAGAGTGTGCTCCATTTGGCGCCGTAGGATAGGAATATGCGAGGAGGAGCGACCGCGTGCAGGTGTTAATTTGGGATCTACATATTGCAACCAGCTTTACAAACAAGTGGTAAACTTTCCCTTAAGATGGTTTCTCGCCCTAATGACCGACGAGAGTTATGTCTATGTTCAAGATCATGAAGCTCTTTCCAACCAGCAGAATCAGATTCTTCCTCCTGAAGAAATTTGACGAAGAGAAGCCGAATCGGTTAACCTTGTGAGCTCCTCAACACTAAAAACTGCGACTCGCAAACATCCAGAAAATATTAGAGCAGAAAATAAGAGCAAGCTCGAGAAACTGATGAGAGTGCATAGAAGATTTGTGGACATCGCTGAGCGCAACATGCACTATTGCAGTCCTAATTGTATATCTATTCTCCAATTCCAGCTGGGAAGTGCGGCATACACGTCGTACGTCAAGCTTAAGTGGGAGAAGGTCGTCGGTCGTCCATATATCGTCTCGTTATCACAGATGGTCGACAGAAAGCAAGCAATCCTGAAAGGAAAACGGGCGAGATATAAATCACTTGGCCATGGGATGGATCACGGACTGTCGGCAAGTTCCGTTTCCTCTCCGACCGCGACCACCACCAAGCACACACGAGCCTGCCGTCACCTCGTAACTAAGCGTCACGGAACTCAAAAGAGCTCGCAATGTATCGAATTCCTCGCATGGCCACAGTCCCACCACGATGCGTCGCGCCTTCAGCTCCAAAATCGAACTCAAAACGTGAAAAAAGTTTGAGGATGCTCGACATGTCTTCATTTCCGATATACTTGGCACAGGTGAGTAGTCAGTTTTTGTCTCCATTGTCCTTGTGAATGATTTGATTCAGAAAGGCGCCATCCATTCGAGCGAAAAATTCTCGGTCGAAAACAGTCGCGTTTTATCCGCCTTTGTGTCGCTCGTTTTCTCTATGGCCATCTTCTTCCACGTCCTCGTTATCTGCAGATAATCAAAAAGCTGCAACTCCCCCCGAGGCTACTACCGGAACAGAAGTCCCAGCATCCCCAAGTGACATACTCCCTCTAGAGATGGTAGATACCGCGTCTATTATTGCGCCCCTTCATCCAGGCGACCTAGCATCTCTAGGTCTCGCAGGATACACCCCAGCAGGATTCTACCAGACCTTCCTAGAAACATTCAACTACACCACCGGCTGGTCCTGGTTCTGGACCATCGTCTTCGGCGCAGCCCTCTCACGAATCCTCGTCGCTCCCTTGTTCATCGATGCGAGCGCATACGCGAGGCTCCCAAGCATGGGCGAAGAATTTGCACGCGTCGAGGGCATCAAAGACCCTGCACGGTCGGTGAAGGCGTTCCGGAAGATCGAGGAGAGGTACGGTATCAGCTTGACGAAACACACATTCGGCTGGGTTCCGAGGGCATTCATATGGACGAGCATGGCGTGGGGGGTGCATTCTATGTGCATGCTTCCGGTGGTGCAGTTGACGCAGGGAGGGGGACCGTGGTCGATGGATTTGGCGGCGGTGTCGCCGATGTGGATGAATGTTGCTCTCGTGGGCGCGATTTTCTGCCAGTCGAAGGTACGTTTTTATTTCGAGACTTTTTTTGTAGTAGATCTCATTGTGTATAGCTCAGCTCGATATCGGTCTCGCCTGAAGACGATGGTAAAATCTCCATCGCAAACGTGTTACTACCCTTAAGTGCTTACAGCGCCGTGTGGGCTTTGGAGCTTCCAGTTGTAAATTTGCCATCTTAGTTTCATGACCGCTTTCTTACCGTCCGGCTTTCTAGGGGACGGTTCTCTCTGTGCTGTCGTTCTCGTTGGTTCACTCGGGTCAAATCATACTATCAAGACCGCCTTTTCGTAGTCTCCCTGAAATGCCGAGGCCGAGACCAAGAGCTCTCCGGGATTTACCTCCGAGTAAGCATCCGAAAAGTAGATACTGATTATTGTTGCCCAGTTAAGGTTAATCGGTACACGTCGGTATTGTGGTTGTGCGCATCCGTCGAGAATAAATGTGTCGTTTTGCTCTTGTTGACAACGTCAAGGAAAATTAGAATTCTCCCTGGATGATGGTGAGAAGTATGGAAGTGCTCGACAAGAACTATTTCTTTCTTTCTCGCTAATTTCCCGAAGAAACAATCAATTCAAGTCCTACCTCTTCAGAAACAGCTTTACCTGGGCTGAATCTGAGCGTTCATTGCCATGTCCTTTTGCCGTGGTAGCTTCTTCATGAAGTCCTCTGTGATGGAATATATGGATGGGAAATACTCTGCTCTCGTCCAGAACGGAATACCTAGCACTGAAGAACATAGACCTGTGTTTTCGGATGGTTCATAGATACGTACAGCGTGCAACTTATACACCAATTCACAGAAAACATATACAAAGCAGCTAAAAGCGACCTATGATCGAAACATGAAGTGAACCATAGGGCAGGACAGATAATGCGATGAAGAATGAAGGACGCGAATCGGGCAACAGCCTCGATGTTCATCAACGGTGGGAGGATATGTCGGGAATGAGTAGGGTTGATCTTCTTTCTGCCTAGATAATCTCTTCCTCCACTACCATTTGCCCAGCGGCATGAAGTTTGGGCATGGCCGTCAAGATAACATCCCGAATGGCCTGGTGCACGGTCACATTGAATTGGACCACCTTGAGATTACAATATCGAGAATCGGCGAGTTTTGAGTCCAACAACTTCAGACAGTCATGAAGATCTGCATTCTCTAGGAAATCTGATATAAGAGTAAGGTCCAGGTGAACAAAGAGCCGCTCCATAGATGTAGAACGGCTACTACCCGGGAGGACGCAAAGGGAAAGGGTGAACAGGCTGCTCATGAGAGAGGACTTAGAGATGCAGGACGGGTGATATTCAACGGTTGGCACCTGTGAGAAATCCGGCCTGAACGAAGCTTCCATAGGCTCTGATGACCATTATAGTTGGAATGAACCAATGGATGTTTAGTGCTTACCAGACAGATTCATATATATGTCGAGCCCTCGAAGCGTACCACAGGTGACGGCAAGGATTTTACGTAGACCCCTGACATCATCTGGAGTGAAAGCCTTGTACTGGATTTTGTGTAAACCATGAAGAGCAAAACTCCCAACTTCCGTGATTGGCATGATTCCTATAAACGCCCAGTACACACTGTAGCTGACACTTGCGATCGAGAGAAACTCCAAAGGAGGACCTTGTGCGAGTGCATAGGCGCCGAACACCACGGGACGATGGACTATAACAGAGATCAGGGATAAGGATGTGAGGTGTGGATATGCGCATATCCACATGCGGAAGCTTCGTGTGCTGGGGAACAAGATGTCCTCTAGCGTAAGGGAAGTAATCGAGAGAAAGTTGGTCTTCCATACATCATCGAGAAGCCCCCTGACGTGCAGTGAGGTGATGTTAGGGAGGGAGGGAAGCTGTGAAACTGAGACAAGAGCAAGCATCTTAAGCGACTGTACCAGAGTTGGAATCACTGGCGAGATGTCGCAGAGGGAAATAAACTGATGAAATTCTGATTCTGTCTCGATGCGGACGGTTTGGAAGAGATAGAACCGGGCTCGAGTGTGGAATGCTCTGGAGACAGATAGAGAAGCGACAAGTGCTTCCCGGTCATCGCTGAGCTCATCGATTATGTGCTCGATGATCTCTGTGGGGATTTGCGACATATTCGGTGGAAATTGGGAAACAATCCGAGTCTGTAATGGATTCAGTAGAGGAAGTTAGGAGTCGCTGAGTCGTAGGAAAGCACTGGCAACCCGGCCCGGGAAACCGGGTGCCGGGACCGTCCCCTTTCTGACACCCCGATGATCCCCTCCCTCTCTTTCCGTTGTTCTCCAACTTTTCCCCTTGCAGAATCCTGCTGAAACTGGGGAATTCAGTGGTACATGACGCGGTTATTCTATTGAAAATCAACCTGTATTGTACGTGCAACACTGGTATGTGTCTTTAGTTCGCTTTTTGGCAAAGCTAAACATTGCAGACTGGTAGGTTTGCCTGTGAAAGAGGCTCTTTTTCTCTCTTTTGGATGATTGCTAGGTATTTGTGGCTCCAAATCTGTGATACAAATGAATATATTGCTCCTGGGAACCTACAAGCCCGCCTCAACAGGGTCTCTCTGGTTGATTCATTCTGGCTCCTCAGCGCTTTTGGTGGCTATATATGCTCTTGATGGACTGGAGCATTTTGAGGAGAGCAATAATCACCTGTTGACTGTACTTTATGCCTGGTCAATGGCCATTCCCCTGCTCCAGAGGACGGAAAAGGTGGCGCTCAATGGCATAGGTTAGCCATGTGACCAGGACGCGAAGACGACGGTGAACGCATGCCACTCCGGTCTTTTACGGGATTCCCTCCTTCATGTCGCCTGACTTCCCTCCGGCCGTCCTTATCACTGCCTACGGGTGATCAGAAAGATGCAACACTCCCTGAGGCCCCCAACCCGGAAGCTCTAGCACCTCCAAGTGATATGCTCCCTATGGAGGGCCCCTCCGGCCAGGCGAACTAACCCAGCTTTTCGGGTACGATATCAGTTTGACGAAACAGTGTTAGCTGGGCTGCGAGGGCATTCTTGTGGACGAGGATGGTGTGGGGGGAGAATGTTATGTGCATGCTGGGGGGGCCGTGGTCGACGGATTTGACGGCCGCGTCGCCGACATGGATGCATCTTGCACTTATGGTTCTCCAACTTGAAATGACATCCAAAAAGCGGATACTAATTATTATTGACCAGTTAGTAAGGCTAATTGATACTCGTCGCGATCGTAAATGTGTGCATCCGTCGAGTATAAATGTGGCCCTTGCTGTCTCCAGCGTGTGCCATCGGCAAGTTAATCACTAAGATTGAATGCCTTTGGATGATGGTGAAAGTCGTCCAAGTGTTCTATTTGGAGAGCTGCTTCATACTTTGTTGCCAATTTCCCGAGGAAGCTATCAATCCGGGACCTGGTCCTTCAGAAGCAGCTCCGCGTTTCCCTTACCCAGGCTGAATCTGACTGTTCACTGCCACGCGCTTTGTCGTGGTCACTTCTTCTGGGGGCTGCCATGCGAATAGATGGGACTGAACACCGTTGAGCAGATACGTCACACAACATCACTGGCAGGCTACCATCAAGACCAATGTTAGGCTGATACCGGAACATACAACTCAGACCTGTCATATGAGGGCGTTGCAAAGAGATACCTTACTGTGTTCTCGGTAACCATGCACATGACAAAAGTGCAGGTAGACCAGACTTGTAAGATCTAAAATGCCAGGGCTGAATGTTAACACCTTCGAGCACGCAAACATAGCATCGAGCGCTGTAGATCTGTGTCAGTACCTCGCAAGAATTGCAAAAAAAAAAAACGCGGCCCACCAGGAAGAGATGAGATGATACAATGCTGCATAAGATCATTAGCAAGGCTTCGTGTTCAGACTGTGAGACACGTACCGTGCATAGAGGTATCTATTATTCACACAGAATTTACCGTCACTGGTGCATCATCCGGGACATGGGAGAGAGCAAGCGGAGAGTAGCGAGTACCAATCATCGCACATAGAGACACCCAAGGACCCAGCATCAGAGGTAGAATTCAGAAGGCCGCAAAAGACTGGGAGGCACTGCCCAGGCCCGAGAATACAAGATCAATTGGACGAGACAGCCGCAACGATGAGAGAAAGAGCAGGGATGGGAAGAAGTCAGAGTCTGAACTCGTGCGATATCAGCGTGTTCGACTCAACTTAGCGCAAAATTTCACTCACTCTAAACACTTTGTCATCTGTGTAAACCATTCAATTCAGAAAGGCATCCTCTAATTCTCTGGTTAAAAGTTCCACATTTTATACTTCTTGCCCCCCGTTTTCTCTATTGCCGTCCTTTCTATCTGCTGGTAATAACAAGCTGCGAGGCTCACTGAGGCCCACCGATATAACAGAAGATATGGCATCTCCGAGTGAATTACCTTCTCTAGACACCACGTCTGTCATTGCGCTCCTTCATCTAGGTGACCTAATCTCCCGCAGTCTCGTAGGACATATTCTGTCAAGCTTTCCTAGAAGCATTCAATTACACTCCTGGCTAATCATTGCATTTCAGTGAAGCCCTCTCCTGAGCCCTCGTCGCCCCTTGGTTCGTTGACCGAAGCACATACGCGAGACTCCCAAGCATGGACGAAGAATTTTCGCGCGTCGAGGGCATTAAAGACCCTGCGCGGTCGGCGAAAGCGTTCCGGAAGATCGAGGAGAAGTACGATATCAGCTTGACAAAACACACTTTTGACTGGGTTCCGAGGGCGTTCATAGGGACGACTACGGCGTGGGGGGTGAATGCTACTAAACTTCTCTGCTAACAGCACATAGGGCGGGATGGATGATGCGGCGAAGGGCACGAATCGGGCAACAGCCTTGATCTTGATCGACGACGGTAAAATCTGGGATATCCTTCATGCTGCTTAGATGGTCACGTCCACTACTGCTAGCCGCCCGACAGCGTGCAATTTGGGCAAAGCTATCAATATAGCGTCCCGAACCGCCTGGCGCATCTTTCCGGGCCCCACATTGAATTGAACCACCTTGGGATTGCAATATAGAGGATCGGTAAGTCTAATGTCCAATGGTGCCCGACCGCTAGAGAACGTTGGACTCTCTAGGAAATCTGATGGCATAAGGATAGGACTTAGGTGAATAATGAGTCGCTCCATAAGTGCAGAACGGTTACTGCTTGTAGGGGTGCAAGAGGAAAGCCAGAGAATTATCCCGGAGAAAGAGAACTCAGAGATGCGGGGCATGCGAAATTCAACGGTTGGCACCTGTGAAATATCCGGATGGACATTACCAAAAATTTGTATGGGGTCTAATCATCATTACGGTTAGTGGTTAAATGGGCTAATGATTTACTTAATGCTTACAGAACGGATTCATCGTCACGTGGAGCTCTCGAAGCGTAGCACGGCTGATGGCAAGTAATTTATGTAGACCAACGGCATCATCTGGGTCCTTGACCTCGTGACGGATTTTGCGTAAACCGTGAAGAGCGAAAGTACTGATATTTCCGTTCGCGCTCCCTAGAAATGCCTCGTACACGTTGTAATTAACGTCTGCGAACGAGAGAAACTCTAAAGGAGGACCTTGTGCCAGCGCATAGGCGTCGAACATTGAGGGATGATGAATTCGAACATAGCTCAAGGACAAGGATGTGAGGTGTGGATATGCGCATATCCATGTGCGGAAGCTCAGTGCAGTGGGGAAGCTGACGTCCTCTAACATAAGGGAAGTAGTCGAGGGAAAGTTGGACTGCCATACATCATTGGAAGGCCCTCTGATGTGCAGTGAGGTGACGTTAGGTAGGGAGGGCAGCTGGGGCATCGTTTTGTAGCAACGTATCTCGAGTGACTGTACCAGACTCGAAATTACTGGCGAGATGTCGCAGAGGGAAATAAACTGATGGAAATCTGATTCCATGCTGAGGGTGACGATTCGGAAGAGATGGTACCGAGCTCGACCGTGGAAGACATGGGAAACAGACAGAGAAGCGACCAGTGCTTTCCTGTCATCGCTGAGCTTGTCGATTATCTGCTCGATGATCTCCGTAGGGATTTCTGACATATTCAGTAGAAATTAGGAAACGGTCCTAGTCTGTAATGGGTTCAGTCTTTCAGATATCACTGTATCTTTCGTCAACAAGGTCAGATATATGTCAAAAAGCAAGCTCACGGGATTGACATTGTAGAGGAGGTTGGAGTCGTTGAGTGGTGGCGGTGGTGGTGGGAAACCAACAACGCCGGCCCGGAAACCCGGTTGCTGTCAACACTGCGATCTTCTCTCTCTCCATCATGCCACAACTTTTTCCCCCGCAGAATCATCTCGCTGAAACTGATGGGATTTAACGCCACATGACGCGGGTATTCTATTGAAAATGACCCTATACTGGACGTGCAACACTGGTACGTGTCTTTAGTTCGCGTTTTAGCAATGCTAAACATTGCGATAGGTTTGCTTGTGAAAGAAACACATTTTTCTGTCTTGTGGACGATGGTAAAGGCCTCTTAGCTCGAAAACTGTATTACTGAAGAATATCGTCCCCCCTGTGAAGGTATATACAAGCCCTCGACCTGAACAGAGTCTCCAAGATGAATCAATCCGGCTCTTCATCAACGGAAAGCTAGATGGTATCCAGACTCTTTCGGGACCTTGGGAGCTGCATTATGACGTATGAATTCAGTGTTCGTACGGATTTTTTTCTTCCCGTCTATCTTTTTTTCTGACTTGCTCATGCACGCTAGACGTTCCAGAGCATCTGAGTGGAAATTTTCCCGGATAACCACGAGAATCAATCTGTGTGCGTAGCTTTTACTTCTCCTGTGCTTGAGAAATTGAATTTCATTTAGACTCAAAACTCGCGGGCCGCATTTTATCACTTCAGACTCATGCTAGCAAAGCCGGTGTCACTTTTCCTAGCCATGTATGCTCGTGGTCTGGAGCTCTTTAAAGAGGGCAGCATTACAATTTCAACATACTCTAATCAAATGGTCATTCCCTCTCTCTTCAGAGGACGGGACCATGCGGTAGAAGTATTTGCAGTACTCGATGGCGTATGTCATCCAGACTTACCAGGACATCAAGACGATGGTGAGCGCATGCTACTCTGACGTTGTGACGATTCTGTTTTCAAGTGAGAATAATAGCAACTATACTCTAGTGAATTCATTTTAATTCGTTCTGCAGGCAAATTTTCGTGAAAAGTCGAGCGTATACCGCCGTATCCTTGTACAAGCCAGTCTTAGGCAATGTATCAATGTCTGTGTGCACTATGCATGCGTTGGTCTGCGGAGAGCTGCTTTTTTGATCAAGTGATTCTTGCCCGACGAAGTTGGAGGCCTGAATCCTAACTAGGAAGCTTCTTATACGCGCCAAACTCCGGCGGCATAGCGCATCCATATTACAAGTTATTATATGTTCTCGCTTTCTTACGACCTTGTTCGTGTCCGACTCTCCCGATATCCTGCTACCCCTTGCCCTAGCTCCACATCGCTGCTTCCCGAGTCAGAGGACGCCGGTCATATCTTTGGACATCTCGGATAGCCATCCGTAACCGGTTCAAGGTTTCTTTACCGATGCAATGTAGGTGTTCGTGCTGCTACTATTTACCGTACCCGTCTCACTCCCATCGAACCAAAGGCCTTGTGAATATTTTGATGCGATCTGCATAATCCCAGGACACGATGAGCCAGAAGAAAGCCTCGGCTCGTCTGTGTGAGTCAACATGGCCCAACGAGTCGGAAATGAACCGCTCATTATGTCAAGCATTGCGCCCTTTGCCCATTCCGCGTACAGCCTGGGGGTCCCCCATTGCCGGTTGTACGGAAGCAAGCAAAAGGCCCTGTATCTACCCATGCCAAGACGCAGAAAAAGAACTCAGCATCGCCTCCAAGGGTAATATTTCGCTTCATTTCCGGTAATCTTGCCTCGACATTCAGAGTCCGCCTTCACAGAGTCGTAGACCGCCACTGCCTTGGGCTAGACGAGGCTCATCGATCTTTGAAAATTTATCAGTGATTGTTTCGAAACAGCAGACACCAGCAAGTATTGAGTCAGACGCGTTATCGATGTGCCAGATATATCTTATATATCTTTCGGCCGACCAGAATCTCGCAGCAGTCAGTCGCTGTTCTTTTTGTTGGTGGCGTTGTGGAGCTCATAAATGAAATCTGTCATTTCTATGTGTATGGCGGGTGACTCGATATCAAGACAAGATATATAGCTGAAAGCTCAGGTATGTGCCCCATATCTCTTCTCATCTGCCCACTCTCATGTGTGTCATAGCTATCTGCTCTTTTTGCGGCGCAAGCTTCTATCGCGAGGGTTGCACATGCCCGTACATGGTGCCAGGCGGCTCCAGGATAATCTGCTCGAGCTGCCAGCGGTACCCACAACGGGTCAACTTGTTACTCTCCGACCCTGTGGTCGTCAAGACCTCTGGTAACCGCATTGATTTAGATGTTTCTCGAGAGTACAATGAGAGGCCATTCGGTGCACATGCCGTATTTTGGGGCAATATCGATAAGATGGGCACAGCCTCGGAGTTTGGGCAGACCCGTCCAGCTCGATGCGGTCTTTCGTGGCCGCGGCGGCGGTAGAAGGCAAGCCCCTGGATACCTCTCCGCCCATCTATCCTCACTATACCTTGTATATAACAGGCCTCTTTGATTGCTCAGCCATAGCATCCGTTTGGCAGATAGGTTCGCATTTTTGGTTTATCGTACCATCAGCGTCTGACTGCGTAGAACGACCTTCGTAGATCTCTCGGTTTTGTCAGTGGCACAGATTCGATGACATTACGCTCTATGATAATCCGTTGTTCTGATATCAGCAACCATATCTAGTCTGTACTTCACCCTTCCGATTCTCAACGTATAAATTTCCCTTTGGTGTCATCATCTAGCCTGATTCTCTATCCCATGCATTTCGTTCTTGTCTCTTCTTTGCTACGCATTTCTATATCTTTCATTTAGTCTATCATCGTCGTCTTTCCAATTGATTCACAAAGTAGCGATTCTACCAGAGCCACTTGCCATCCGTACGCTTTAGAATTACCAGGATTGGTAGCGCGTATGTTATTAGATATTCAATGTACTTCCGAGTTCGTTCCCAATCCTCCCTTTACCATTTCTGTTTTTCTTTCATCAAATTACCATCTCGAATTATATCGTGTTCAAAATTTTGTTTCGGGGTATCGAGGTACTAACTCTAGTTGTCGATTTCAGATTAGTTGTGGTGGTATTGCGATCCAATTGTCAGTCGATATTGAATATGGTCCTTCCGTCCTTTGTTGTTGTTTTCCCCGTGTGCTCACGTTCATACATGCTGCTTCCTAGAAGTAGAAAAGGGATATATGATAATAATATAGACAGTGCAAAACAAATGGGGAGCCGCAATCTCTAGCAAGTACATCATATTATAGTCTGCCCACTGATGAATCCCCATTGAAAGGAAGAGAAAGGTGTGAATCTATCAACCGACGAGGCGGGATATTCAGACCGTCTCCATAAAAGTCGTGATCAAGCCGTGCCTTGAGCTCTCGCACTGACTTGGCTAGCTCATCAGCGGTAAGAGGTGTCTCGGCGTTCGTACGATGATACTCGAGAATTATGAGCTCGATGTGGAGATCATAACAAGATAGAAACACTCACCGTTACGGGATGGCTCGCGTACCAAACAAAGTAACGCTGAAGCACTGTAAAATGATCATAGAATATATCCGCTTGCTCGACAAGCTTCCGGACCCTTGCTTCGTCCTTGGACAGAAACTCGTTATATAGAGACAGCACCCGACAGCGAGGTTTAATGCCCATTATGCCTTCTGTGAAAAAGTGTAGGATGGGCACAGAGTCCCATCAGGGTAGATTCTGGTATGCTGCGCTCACGCGAGGAATTTCAGCATTCAGGCCTTCCGATACCAGATGTCCGTATGCGCTGATATTAGCAAAAAGCTCTATCATGGGAGGGACACCAGCTGCAAGGTCGTCGAATGCGACACGGATGTCGGCGAAGAATCTATCAAGCGAAGTTCGGGGGATTTGGTCGACCTTGACAACATATTGCTCTCGTAGTCGAGGACTTGCTGTCTCCAGAAGAGCTTCATGGTCGGCTGCTGTCTTTAGGCTTTTCACTGCGGTCTCGAACTGGAGTAATAGCCCATGCTCAATAATAGCGTCAACTCTTTCTGATAGCCGCTTACCGGATTGAGTACTGGAGACACCCCCTAAGGCTTAAAGGATTCGAAAAATTTCTCTATGAGGTAGTCACGGTAGTGAAGCTTGATTTGATATCGAAATCGGCATAGAGTGTGAAGGTTTTCCACAAATGCTGCGCGGTCCTCGTCAAACTGAGTGTTATAATAAAGTGCATATTTTCCAGTGTCACGGAAAAGGCTGTTTTAGTGCGTGATTCGTCAAACGCGTGCGGTGAAAAGGATTGAAGTCGACGCGCCTGCTGTCAAAGTCAAAGTAGTCTCCTGGAGGCAACCCTGCTTCTTCAACTAAGTCAACCATAACGTAGACGTGTCGGAGGTGGAAGCTGAGGATCCCAGCTGAATCTACAGCGGTTACGCAGTTTCCCTCAGTGAAACAAGTGTGTTGCTCCGAGGACGACTTCTCTGTAGATGATGTTGTGAGGATTTTTCTGAGTGTCCAAGAAGCAGAATTGTAGTAAGAGGACGAGGAGAGCGGTAGGCATAGCAGGTAAATCAGGGCAAATGCTGCAAAGCCCCCAAGGATAAAAAGGCAACCTAAGCATCCCAAATGTGACCATGCAAACAGACAGTACCCATGAAGACGACGGGCAGAGGTAATTGGCTGACGTGTGGAAGAATCCTTACTAGTGAAAGGCATAGCTAGAATCTGGCACTTCAAGTTCTTTTGGTGGTGGCGGCAACAGATGAAGATGGTTGACATCAACGAGCGCCGTGATCCTTCGGACCGGCCAACCGGGCGTGCTTTCCGTTCGGTCAACAAGCATCACACTCTGCTACAGCCAGACTTCCCTCCGCGCGCCCTGTTATGGCCTTTCCGGTCGGAAGAAATTGGTATTCTCGAGGCCTTAGACTGGTCAAGACTTGCCTTGCATCCTTGTTGTTAGGAGAGAGCCTTGTCGGGAGTCAGAATGTAAAAGACAAAGACTGCCATAAAAAAACAAAAAGAGCAGATCTCGGACTTGTCGAGGGCCGATGCAGAAAACAAAAGCAACAACAGGGCGCAAAAAGAAGGTCAGGCCACAAAAAGGGCACACTAGTCTTGTGACAGATAAATCAGATAGCTCGAACACCAGCCAATAATTTTTGGTACTTCCTAACTCCCATGTCATCTCCAGGAATAGCAGTCAAACAAGAGCTTCGAACTGTTGGACCGGTAGATTCTTTACTATCCGTCTCTCCTCCGAGTTCACCAACGACCCCTTCGTCTACTCTACTAGAGGCGCCTTCGCTGCATCTGCGTGTTATACTGCCTGCACTTGGCTCAAAAATTTAGACGTCTTTTCTTCTTCGCATTGCTAGGAGGCCTATGTGCACTCACTATCATATCTCAGTTGTGTGCGCCTTCCTCTTCGGCATACTGTATAGCTGTGTCAAGGTGGCGCTCGTTTTATCCTTTGCATACCGGTCAAATTACACACACTGGTTGCATTCTTCACGGAGACTGCTTAGATTCTGCTACCGCTTCATGGACCATTCACTCGCACCTCAAGCACGCGCATTATATGGTGAACCTGATCGAGGGAACGGGTTTGCCTCCCATGCATTTTTTCAACTCAACACCGTATGCTTCGACTATCTCGATTCTCGCATAAATGCATATTTTATATCTAATAGTGTCCGTCGGAACTTCGCAGATCGCGGACTTTCATTCTATCTCAACGACGACCCCAAGCGGCAACGATTAATAGAAGACTTACCGCAGTTCTTTCACTTCCGACGGCTCATACAAGACCAGCATCAGCCATACCTAATAAAGAAGATCTATTCTCATTTCGGCACGAAGCCCATTTCATAGAGCAGTAAGTACCTCTTCATTGCGAATATCTCGCCATTCAGGTTCATACAGTTTAGGACAGCAATAACGGGTCTATCCAAAGCAATAGAGCGTGAAAAGCAGCTCTCCAGGGCAAGCCAGCAACGGCGTGTCGTAGAAGTTGACGAGATTCTTCGAAAAGCGCTCAACCGCTTGTTCAAAGAACTTCAAAATATATTCACATAGCTTGCAGCTGATACGCCGCCTTTCTTACAGTATATTTCTACTGTGCACGCTCAGTGTCAACGTATCTCCTCCGAGCTGGAATCCGAGGTAAGGTACCTCGTGTCGAGAAAGCTTTCCGCCAGATCCCGTGGTGGGATTCACATCCATCTGTAGGCCTCTTTGCACATGGTATCTTAGGGATAAAGCCCCAACGCAGGATAGTTACTAAATACCATGAATTCTCATCGATGGATGCGTCAAACATCCGTTATTTTGTGGAACAGGTAGCTATCCTCCATGATCATCTAGAAATCCTGCAGCGATACTTCCTTTGGTACTCAAATGGACCTATCCTCATGGTTTGTTTTCAATCCTTCATTTAAGTTTCGCGCTCAAGCATTATCAATAGGATGATATCGGGAATGCTCCCATACCGACCCCAGCTGAACTTTTGAAACTGGAGAATGAGCTTGTTGAACAACTACACGCAGCTCAATGGGATACTCGTTACGCTCCTATCCCACCTCATCGATTAACGAAAATGAATCCGTCTTTACCGTTTATTCTTGATCATCAGTAAAAAATTATTTCCAGACCGACTTTTTTACGAACGAGTCACGATTCCTTATTATGTTTTGATTTGACTTGTTGGGTATTTATCTATATGAAGTTCGCTCACTGGCACCATCTCTTGTTCTTCCAAATCTGTCTCTGTAGATAGTGATTTTTTGAAACGCGAGATTGACTCTGCCTTACTTGCAACAGGTACCGACGGTGTTGTGTCTTTTGTTCATCTTGCATCCTCCTGATCACAGAAATATTCCCCCCCTCAGATGCATGATGCTCGTATGATAAAACGACGGTAGAAAGACATAAAGACGGTAATTAAATTGCATCATAATGTTAAAAACAATGTCACGGTCCTAGGCTGGCGCCTCCCCAAGTTTCTGGACGTACGTCCGAATAGCCTTTCGAACAGCAACTGGAGAACTGTCCTCGCCCATATCTGGTACATTTGATGGTGAGATTTCCTCGAGTTCTTTCTAATGACATGGTTAGACATCGGATTCAATTGCAGGAAGAGCCAAACCTTTAGTTCTTCAGAGGCTTCGTGGATGTTTTCACAGCAAGTTCCGATACCCATGAAACGCTCCTGGGCCTCATGAACGTTGAATGCAAGGAACATCATTCTATCCCGATTCTCTTGCAGGCCCTTCGAAATACCCACGAGTGTCAAGAACCACTGTACGTGCGTCTGATTCGTTTCGAGGAGACTGCTCTGATCTCGCAAAAAAAGATCAAAATTGTCGAGCTCCTTATTCAACAAAGAAGTGATGTTCACAGCTTCTCTGACAGCCTTCTTCAGCTTGTCGAGAGTAAAATCCACGGATCCCTGACTTTTTCCCAACTGTTTTCGCAAAGTGCTGTCACGAGACGACGTCGGATAAATCCAAATTGGGTCCAGGACATGCTCGAGACTGTTCACCTTGAAAAGAGTGCGCGGCATTCAGACAGGAATCATCAGCAGAGGAGATAGGATACATACCTCTCTGAGAAATGTGACCTTTGTGTTGTGCCCGGCACGCCTTGATGCAATGAAGGCGCGTTCCAGGAGGCGCGATAACCTAGCCAAGCTAGCAAATCGGTCTGAGATGGCATATCGAAGAGATATGGGTAGCTGAGAACCGTATGCTGTTCTGCGAGACAGATCGCTGAAGGTCGCAGAGTTCTCACTGATCACATCCAGCATGGCGCCCTCGGAGAGAATCTGGATATGACCATGCAGATTAAGAATCTCCTGGGCTTCATGTTTGAGGCGTACAGTCAAATTTGTTGTATGGAAGAACAACACTTTCGATTCTTCACTGGGAAGATAGGGCATCGAAAGGTCACAGCTGACGATAAAGCACTTGAAGCCAAGCATGGGGGGTATGACTGTGCTGAGCAAGCTGGTGAAACCTGCCGCCACACCGTCGATGCTGGCTTCAATGCCTGAGCCAATTCCTGAACAAATAGTGCTAATGCCAGTGCTAGTGCTAGATATCAGGTCGCTTATAGGCTTCAAGAGTTGGAAAATGAGGTTAGCCACATAGCAAAGCAAGATTGTGGCGCCGACTATGAGCCCAAGGTACACCCAGTCACGAGCGTCACCTGTGATAGACACAATAGGCTGCCGGAGAATGGTAGTTACACGGCCGTGAAGTGGAGGAGAATTCTGTTGATCGTCTGTTGATTTTGAGGAAGGGCGCGCCATCTGAAGGTAGAAGCTGAACTGTCGCAAGAGCTACCTCGTCAGATTATATCCTAATCTACTGTATAGCTTACTTCGGGAACTTAATCAGGCTGTCTAGATACCTGAGAGTCGTCTCCACGGTCTCTGTTTCCATGTCCGTTCGCGCTTTCGGGGCTGTGCCGAACTGGTCGAGATTGGTCACTATTGTTGCTCTAATGATAACTGGCACATTCCCGTATGGTACTTGAGCGATTGTTAAGAGAAATCCTTGTCGGGAGTCGGAATGCAAAAGATAAAGACAAAGACAGCCGAAAATAAACAAGAAGGGAGGAAGCGCTCAAGTCTTGGCAGGTCCCGGAACGACCTAGGGCATAAAACAAGGGCGGTTGAAAAAGGAAGTTAGCGTAACATGTCACACCTGTACCGTGACAGATAAAGCAGATAAACGTTTGGAACAACCATAAACCCCCCTCCTTCTTAAACAACAGCGAATTTTTGGTACTTCCTAACCACCATGCCATATCCAGGAAAACCAGCTAAAGAACTTCAGACTATTGGATCTGAGGAGACGTCTTCTTTACCATCCATCTCCCCTCTGACACCACCAACAACTCGTTCGTCTACTCATCCAGAGGCGCCTTCACTGCATCTACATGCTGCCTATGTGTACTTGGCACGAAATTTTCGGCGTCTTCTCTTCTTTGCATTACTAGGTGGTCTGTGTGCATTCAGTGTCATATCTCAAGTGTGTGCACCTTACTCTTCAATGTACTGTACATCTGTGACAAGATGGCGTCCATTCTCTCCCTCGTACACCAGTCGAGACACACATAGCAGCTGCATTGATCGCGGAGACTGTCTGGGTTCTGTTATTGCTGCCCGGACCATTCATTCGCACTTGATGCACGCGCACTACATTGTGAACCTGATCGAAGGAACGGGTTTGCCCCCCATGCATTTTTTCAACTCAACACCGTATGCTTCGACTATCTCAATTCTCGCATAAATGCTTATTTGATATTTAGTGTCCGTCGGAACTTTGCAGATCGCGGGCTTTCATTCTACGTGAACGACGACCCCGAACGACGACCATTAATAGAGGACCTACCGAAGTTCTTTCACCTTCGACGGCTCATACATGACCAATATCATCCGTACCTCATAGAGAATTTCTATGCCTACTTTGGCACGAAATCTACAAGGCCAATTCATAGAGCAGTAAGTACCATGTCATTGCGAATATCTCGCCATTCAACTTCATACAGTTTAGGGCAGCAATAACGGGTCTATCCAAAGCAATAGAGCGTGAAACGAAACTCTCCAGGGCAACCCAGCAGCGGCGTGTCGTAGAGGTTGACGAGATTCTTCGAAAAGCGCTCAACCGCTTGTTCAAAGAACTTCAAAATATATTCAGACAACTTGCGGTGGACACGTCACCTTTTCTGAACTATATCTCTACTGTCCATGCTCAGTCTCAGCGTATCTCCTCTGAGCTCGAATCCGAGGTACCTCGTGTCGAGGAGGCTTTCCGCCAGATCCCGTGGTGGGATTCGCATCCATTTGTAGGCCTCTTTGCACATGGTATCTTAGGGATAAAGCCCCAACGCAGGATGTTCACCAAATACCATGAATTCTTATCGATGGATGCGTCGAACATCCGTTATTTTGTGGAACAGGTAGCTATCCTCCATGATCATCTAGAGATCCTGCAGCGATACTTCCTTTGGTACTCAAACGGGCCGACTCTCGTGGTTAGTTTCGATTCTTCATTCAGATTTTTTTGTACTCAAACGGTCGTTTAGAACGATGCAAAAGATACTCCTGTCCCGACCCCTGCTGAGCTTTTAAAACTGGAGGACGAGCTTGTTGAACAACTGCACGCAGCTCAATGGGATACTCGTTACGCTCCCATCCCTCCTCGTCGATTGACAGCAATGTATCCGTCGTTACCCTTTAGTCCTGATCATCTCTCCTCGCCATCTCAGTGAAATACATCATGCTTTTCATCTATTTATCTTTTCCACGTGTTTATCATCTTTGCATACCGCATCTATCTTATTCCTTTTCTTGCTCTTGGCTTTTTTGTACTTAGACTACGCACCGTCATATATATGTGATGATGCCCTAGCGACTAGATCCGTCGCAGGCCGCGTCATGTTGATACCAACCCAAGTACTCGTCGTATTTAGGCGCAGTTTTCAATATCAAATACCAAACAGTTTGCGTACCAACGAAGATCATGTACATTTTTGTCATTGTCGTAAAGCATATTCACTCTTTGTTCTCTTGGAGCTCTGAAATCTGTTTCTCGGTACTGCCTATATCCAACACTGTAAGAGAGCGTCTAGCATCTCGGTTCTGGAAGTATAAAGTCACTAGTGCCGCGCAAACTGGCAACACGATATTGAGACAGGGTGTAAGAAATGAATTATTGACTTACTCATGCCTACATTGATGAAGATAGTGGCCACATTTCCAACAAATACGCTAAAACCACGTCTCTGTCAGAGCACAGATCACGATGTTATAAAGCGCACCGAGGCTGATCCACTTGGGGAAACAGAACACTAATAAGACATCTGTAAGCCGATTAAGAATGGAGACAAGCGGAATAAATAATACATGGGAAGCCAGGCCTGGGATACGCTTAATGAGCTCGGTACGTTCATAGGACTTAGATAAGTACGGACCTCGAAAACGTATGCAAAACTGTTACAACAACCGATCACAAATGCCCTCTCTGTCGAACACTGTGAGACGGGTACCATTGACCAAAGCTCGACGGCTTACTCTCGCTATCATATCCAGTGAGCTCGTTGGTCCAGGAGAGAACGATACCGGATAAGCCGTTGGTGACTTGAGTCTATGTAACGAAATATTCAAAGAAGAACATGACCCTGTACAAGATCAACTTGCCATATAATAGAACGCCCAGCGTCTGGCGATGTTTGTATAGAGCGGCGTGGACGCAAGCACAATACAGACGATGATGTTCAAGGTCTGAAAAATGGTGTAAGCGCAGTCTAATCGCGTAAGGAAATCGCACGTACCCCAGCGACTATAACCGGAGGCCATCGTTTCTCGATAGCGTCAGACCACCAGGCCCATATTAAAGCTATAACCAAGGGTCAGCCTGGTCACCAATCAAGGGTTAAGAAACGCACTGGCGATAATTTGTACGACATTGATACCTAAGGGATATATGTTGATTTGACTGACTGTATATTTCGTATGACCTTCAGTGTTGAAGCTCTTGAGCCAGAATATCATCGAGTTCGCAGGCCCGCGGCTATTATTATACTAGTCCGGAAGGGTCACTAAGAAGAGATAGATAAAGGAGAATAAAAGCTTACGAAAATGAAGACTACACGTAATCAAATGCATTAGTTCAGAATCATTGCCGGTGGCTTGAATACCAACGAGTAACAAGCACGTAAAGATGCCAGCTCTTGAAAAATCCCTTGACCTGGATCGACGTACTCAAAAAGGTACAGAACGAAACAAAAGAGCCGACTTTACCTTAGCCTTGGTGAACTTCGCGGGCGGCTTTCTTCCAATCAGATCCATCCGCTTCTGGGCCATTACCAGTTCTTTTTCTGTGTAGATGAACGACGGCCTCGTGCTATGCGGTAGATCTACAAAAGGTTTGGGTATGGACGTGGGCTGAGCTCTCGGAGGAGCATAACTATGCCGCACCTGGCATGACGAGGAAGCCAAAGAGACCGATGGGAACCGTAATAATTCCATCAATGATGAAAAGCCCTGTGGGATGACCATCAGACAACAGTAAGCTTCGAGATACGAGTGACATACATCTCCAGCCAGCAAGGCCGCCGACGCCGTTCAAGCCATTGTAGGCAGCCTGATGGGCGTACACGTATGAAAACGCAGATGGGCCGTTAAGGAAAAAAACCTACGGCCTGTAAGAAACCACTGAATATTGGGCCAATCGCAGCGGATGTCTGGCGACATCGATACCGTCAGCGGAAGTACCGTTCCACGAGATAAAGATCGCACATGAAGTATACAAGAACGCTTGGCTAGTTCCTCGCTTTGGTACCAGCTACCAATCACGTATGACATGGCGGGATAAAACGGCCCTCCAGACAAACCTGCCACCACAACTTAGTAGTCATCCCCAAACGAACACAAGTGGTGATTTTACCAATGAAAAACCGCAAGACACAGACTTGGCTGAAATTCTTGGCAGACGCCAGAACTATGGTGAGAATGCTCCAGATAATTTCCAGTGCGGGAACCTGATGCGCCGGTAAATCGTACGCACGACAAACATATTGAAGCTGCCCGTACCCAAATTGATGGTCTGATTCTGGTGATGAGCAGACTAGATCATGGTGAGTAGTCTGGTGAGCGTGAGTGATTTGTTACGTACTTCGAGGGTATTTGTGAGATGACATAGCCGATTGTCCAAGAGGTTGTGATAATGTTGAATTGATTTCCGTGTCTAACTGAAATGAATATTGCATAACTTTGTTAAGAGTAACGCCCTCACAGGTGTAGGCTAAGAGGAAAGTGAGAGGTTGAAGTAGCAAAAAGAATAAAGAGCGACGAACTCATCTTGCATCCCTGAAACATACTTTCAAGCGCACTAAGTTCAGCTGAAATGCCAATACGATAATACGGGGTAACCTACGGCATTCTGCAACAAGCGAAATTAGGGTAGGCAATGATCATCGATCGTAATCAAGCACGTACCGTTATACTTTGCTGATCTAGATACGTGCTAGACAGGGACGAGTAAGTGGAGGAAGATGCCAAGTCTTTTGAAAAGCACTTATTTGCTGAAGTACGACAAAGTCGCATAGGTCAGAAGACATGCGTCGAGCTTGGCGAGAAATTTCCTCTCTTCCCGTGGTTTATCCCACGTGTCCCTAGTATACATTGTCAATCCAAGAGACGAATTTCGTGTCAGGACGATTGGTACATACCAGATGTAACTGTAGAACGATCGTTTCTTGGGTTTCAATGGTTCGGGATACATTGTTTAGGTGGGCTTTGACTCTTCCTAAGTTTCTGCAGTAGAATATTTATCCCATTCCATCCGACTTGCTGGTATTTCTGGTATTGACCCTTCCCAGCCAGGGGAGGCCATCTCGTGCACGGAATCTCCGCAAACCGTGGTATTACTAACAAAACGCCTTAGTCAACATCCTTCAAAAAGACAAAAATAAACAGCTACAGGCTTCCGTTCCATAAATACACAAAGCGAGAACCAGCAGGGAGCAGTAAAAACGTACGGCTACAGTTTTTTTATTTTTGCCTCAGTTTTGATTCGAACGATAGAGAATAGTTCTGCCCTGCGGAGGGTCAGGAGGTCAAAGATGTAAGTGCGCAGCAAGTCACACATGAGAGTGGCTTCGCAGAAGGAAGAGGAGGCAGCAAAGGGAAGACCGTTGGAAGACCGCGACCAAACCGTGACGGAGGAAGATGAGCCGTCGGTCGGTCCGGCACTTGCCGCCGGCTCGTAGAATCATACCACCCTGCGGCCACTCAGGCTATTGGGGACTCTCCGCGAGTTCTCTACAGATCTTTTCAGTTTTGTAGGCTCAGGCTCTTTTAGCCTTATCCAGAGTTTTTTGTTTGCTGCTGCTCAGTTGTGCGGCGTTTGCTTTTTAAAGGTCTCAGTTTCCTTTTTCCAACAGCTCACTTTATGTTTGGCGCGGCGACCATGATTGAGCTTCACCAGGAGCTCATCATGCCAGGAAACCGTGAAGCTTTATTTGCGGCGCTACCTACCTCTCGCCTATTTAGAACTCGAGTACTTCCTTGTCGGAGCCGTCGCGGCTGGACTTGCTGAGGTCTATACCCGAATGATCTTTACTCTGAATTACGCACGGGGTAAGTATGAGATATTATGAGGTCGGAGAAGGGATAAACATACGAGCAGAACAGGCTCCAAAGTAGGTGAAGAAAACAAAGTGGTTATGGTTCCCGTATCGTAGCTTTGTAGGATTCCTTGATCGAGGCCAGGATGAAGCAGTGGAATGTAATGTCAGAGCGGATGGGTTTCATTCGAAATTTGTAGGAGCCACAAGCTGATCGTCATTACAATGCTTTCCCTGTTCTACTGTTAATGAACAAAATCAGCAGCTCAGACGCTCATACATTTGTGGTACAAGGCTGATGAAGACCGATCAGTATGAGCTCAAAACGCCCGTTCTTTGGGGGTCCGTTCAGGCCTGAGGCCGCTGCAATCGACTCCGCTTGACGAGTTCCCAAGAAAAGTTGAATAAGCGTCGTGCATGTGCTAAGAGAACTGCAAAAATCAAATGCCTAACTGCGAGGAGATCTACGAATGGTTCTGAATCAGCATATAGCCGAATCATATGAGCAGGGATTGTACCTGCTTATTGGATATTGGTGACCTGGTACCCCCGTATTGTTCTGTCAATCTTCGCGACGAACATTTCCACAGGATACACATCTAAGGAGACATGTTAAATTGAGACACCATACACAATCAATTCATATCGCGTACTTGTAAACTGTAAGACCGCAGGTCAGTCTACCACTTAGACAAATGCACAAAGGAGATACTCACAAGTCGTCATGGGCTCATCTGCAGAACGAATTTGAAGCTGACTGAAGTAAGAAAATCCATGTCCACACTTTGCACATTCGTCTATGCCACGGTTCACTGAGTTTGGTGCGTCGAACTTCCATCAAATGAAGATATACATGCAGTTTTTGCACCACTATTAAGCTCAGAAGAAACGTCTTTCATATCATCGACCTTTTTTGAATTTAAAAGTGTTCTAGACGTATGCTAAGATGCCAAAGTCAGTAACACGCAAGACTCGACAAGGGTAACCCAAACCTGTTTGGAAATTGGAAACTCATACGGACATGTTTGACAAACCTACTTGTTTTTGCCATCAGAATCGCCAATTATGAGAATGTTCGCGCAGGAGGGACAGAAGAGCATGATGGTGATTCAGAGAGACGGAGTTGTTGTAGCCTATTTACGGCACTTCTGACAGTCGGTATTACGTCCAAGATCCAAAGAAGTCCACGTAGCACAAGATCAGCCCAAGATTCCATTACTCCAACTGCATTAAATTATAGTCGAAGGATGCGCGATATATCGAAGCATCAGGAGCCTTCGTTGGGGGCACCGCAAAGCGAGAATCAAGTCAGGAAAAGCTTTACAAAGGGAGTTCAAAAATTTCCATTCAATGACGCCTCATACATGATGGAAACCTGCAGAAAAGGTCAGTCAACAATCTAATATGGTCAAGAATAATGGCACGTACAACTTTCACTGTTTGACAGCACCCGTAGAAGTTTGGTTCGTCGTTCGACGTTCAGAACGTTGAACATAGACGTTCACTCCGAGTCGGAACATTCGCAGGCTCCAACCGAAGCATCGGAAGCCGCCGGCAGAATTTGCCAAGCCGGCCCTCGACAGCCAAGCATGAAATTGCACCGTCTCTTCATCGACAACAAGGCTTGCATGAACGGAATAGTCGCCAAGATTAACGGGGTCCGACTTCTTTGTTTGCTCATGACAGTTGAAGCCGTTCGAATCTATCCGCTGAATCAAAGAGTCAGTATCTGACAGGATTGCCATTGACAAATCAGAAACCTCTAAAGTTCCGCTTGATAAAAAATCTGACCACGTGAATGACATATCCAACAATCTTCCATGCAGCCACCGAGCACGTCAAGCCCAATCGACAATCCTCCCAGCTCACTGCATGGGGAACCACAGATTCGGCCTTGGGGATGGAGATGGAGATCGTCGTACTGGTTTGTGACATTCGTGGTATGGCTAGGTACGTTCTATAATTGACAGCCCAGTTCCGAATCCCGACTCATCTCACGATGACCTGGCCTCCATGGCAAACCAGGCGTAGCCACGGATCTGCTGGTATACTCAATGGTCATCCCGGTCGTGCCTTTCCAACTCGAAGACCTTGGCTACAAAGATGTAGCTTCTCTAACCGGTTGGCTACTTTTTGCATATGTATGATTCATCCTCGTTTCCTTGTCCGTTCAATCCAACTGATTACCCGGAAATAGTCCGGAGGTCTTGCAATAGGTAACATGCTTGATTCCGGAAATAGCTTTCGTCACTAAATTAGGTTGCAGCTACTATTCCCGTCGCGGTGTGGTCCGAAAAATACGATGCGCGAAAGGTTCCTCTTGTCGCGGGAGTGTTCATACTCATCGGCTCGCAAATCATGTTCATGGAAGCTCCAGCATACTGGCTCATGTGTCTTGCTCGAGCCCTCCAGGGCATAGGATCCACCATGGTATGGGTTGTCGGGTTGGCTCTATTGTGAGTTATATTCATAGATTATTGTACTATGACGCACATACCATTTCGTAGATGCGATGAAGCGCCTCCAGAACTTGTCGGAAGTCAGTAATTCCCGTTAACCTTTCTCAACTCTAATGTCAATCCTAGGACAACTTGGTATCGCAATGTCCGGTCTCTCTCTCGGGTACGTAGCGCGAGACTTACACTTGTACCAGATCATAATTTCCTTCCAGTGCCCTTGTCGGTCCACCCGTAGGTGGCGGGCTATACACTTGGTTTGGTTTCCGTGGACCTTTCATCTTTGGCATCATCGTCGCCTTTTTGGATCTGGCCTTCCGATTCCTCCTTATCGAAGGCAAGAGTGCTAGCAAACCCCGATCCAGCGCGACTGAAAAGCCTGATAATGAGATCGCATTGGAGGCAAACGATAATAATCTAACAGACATTGGAGACGTTGCCGGCGCGCAAAATAAGGTTTCATTCGTACAGGTTCTCCGCCTGCTGTTCCGGTCGCACCGTGCGCTTGCAGCAGCTTTCCTTACATTTGTGTATGGGTCTGTGGTTTTCACGTGTCCTTCACTCAGGAGCATAATCTCACGCATTTCATAGCATCGTCTATAGTAGCCAGGAGCCGGTCATTTCCACTCATTTGAACAGTGTCTGGGGCTTGAACTCCTCAAAAGTTGGTCTAGTCCTTCTGGCCTCTGTCATTCCTACTCTTTTTGGTGCGTATCTTTCGCCTACTTATGCGCACGCGGTTCTACTTTCCATGGCAGCGTCCCCACTATCGGGTTGGTTCTCAGACCACCAAGGCGCATCTGTGGTCATCATTGTCGCTTTGATCCTCGCTGTGCCATGGTATGTTGTAATGATAATAGATGGGCACCTGGCATTGTTTATTACGGCCTTTGCGTGCGCTTGTGAGTGGTCTGAGATAGGTTTACTGCATTTCTTCCTCTAATGGATGGACTTCAGACTTCTTTGCAGCTGGAGTCCTGTCTCCGCTGACTGTTGAGCTTGCTTCTGTCGCCCGCAGTATAGATGGCATTGGATGTACGTTGAACCACAGTTCGCTCTTGTTGTCTGTCGCTGACCTTGTGTATGCAGATGCGCATGTCTACGGGGCTTTCAATCTGGCGTATGGGATCGGCACAACAGGTGAGTTCTCTTCAGTCGAAACCTCCTAGCTTATCTCCCCTTTTAGTCGGACCTGTTGTGGGCGGTCAGGTTGGTTCCGGTTTTCGTTTTGGCTACAATTGCTTCGCTGAAAAATTGCTATTCTAGATGTACGACCATATTCATAAAGGATGGCTGGCAATCTGTCTGCTGGCAACCGGATTACTTGGGCTTTCCGTGGTCGTGGCTTTCTTCTACGTGGGGGACAAGCCTATTGCTCAAAGCTTTATCCGACACATTAGATTACTGTAGAGTATAATCCTGAATCCGAAAATATAATATGGCGGAGACCAGTCTCCCATCCCCACTCTTAAAACACTGGAGACTCGAAAATAAATACTGCCTACGGCGAAAACGCGACCGAGTATACTAGCCCAAATCAATGAATCACAGCGGGCACATAAGTGTATGCTTCACAGCGATCCATTGCAGAATTCCAGGAAGAATAATTTGCTAATTTGGTACAATTGTACACGATGATTGTTGCTTGTCAATGTCTCGGGGGTGATTTACCTCAGTGGTGATAGAAGGCTCGATGCTTTCGCTGCAGCGAGGCCGATCCATGCTCCTTGCAATACACCAGACTGCGTATGAACCATAACTACGTTTCGACAAAACTTTAGCTATTGGGTATGAAGCGATCAGAGATACGTACATTTGGGTGGACATTAACAGCGATATGAGAATAACTAGTATAACGCTCAGCGCGACATCGAAGGTTGCATGGTCCGGAGCCAACTTGATGCCCCACCACACGATAAGGTACGTTGCAAAAGCCATTTTACAGATACTACCAACGTGAGAGTCAGCTGAGTACTTGCCGCAAGAAAGAAACTCACAACGATTGCACGGCAGAAAACTGGAGTGTCGGCTTGACGATCGATTTAGGGTACTGAAGCCTGTAGATAAATAGTCCGATGAAGACCGATTGCTCAGTCGTCGCTTGGAACAACCAGATGAGACCGGCGACTGCGATGGCAGGATGGGAGGTCACTTGAAGTACAATTTGGAGGAATACGATGGCAAGGAGTGTCTGTCATGGGAATAATGATAAACCACTCTGCTCTGGGGATCATAGGACAGTTATACTCACGCAGATGTGATGAATGATAAGAGGCCAGCGCATGATAGGGCGATAAGTGAGTTCGAAAATATACAGTCCAGATATAAGGATGGTCGCGACATGCAGAAGAGAGACATTGAACACGGTATACCTCTCCAATAACATTGGGAACGCAATCAACTGAATGATGAAAGCTACGAGTGTCCAGAAGGTGCTTAATACGTCTAAAGAGGTCGCGATGAGTGAGCGGTCCTGGAATTCAGTAGAATGTACTCACAAGTCACGGTGTTCCGCTGATGTTCATGCGAGAGGCTACGAAACACTTTTGAAAAGCGACCAAGAACGGCCGCTACGAATTTAGCGCAGACATACAACAGGAAAAAGTACACGATCGTTGGGATTGAGTACTGATATGGCCATTATTAACCACGGAAGGCTTGATCAGAGATATGACCTACAAATGCCACAGTAGTGGGATATATTACCCCAAGGCTGATCTCCGTGAGCTCGTCAACTGTCTTGTCAGAAAGACCCTTCGTGTCATGGCCCGAATAACTGGAATTCGTCGCAACAAGACCGGAAGCAAAAGGAAAATCGGTGGTGTCATTGGCGTAGTCGCGGTCAACTATGAATACCATGAGACCAGACGCCGACAACTCTCAACTAAAAGCTTACTGCAGGTAGAGCCGCCAGAGGGGCCAATATTGGCACAGTACTCATCGGGCCTGAACATCACCACGTTCTTTTGGATGTATCTGCACATCCTGTTATTCTGGTCGGCTTGCCAGATTTGTCCAAATGAAACATTATGCAGAACAAACTGCGTGCATGAGTCATACGAGTCGTATTGTTGGTTATCGCCAGTGCAATACTTCGTCGACACAGTACAGATATCGCGCGCGACCTGGAGAGAGACTAAATCCGTGACGTTTGAAGCTGTATAAGTTTGTTCGAGTTCTTTTGACATCTGTGGAGCTAATTTGGGAATGAGGTACGCCAACGCTTCAGGTAGCCGACGGAAGGCGACATCGTAGAACTGGATCTTGAGCCCTCCATTGAAAGATAACCACAAGTCTATTTGAACCGGAAGAGTGTATGCAATAGTCGGGTAGAGCATAGACATAGTAATGCTGGCGGAGACGATAGAACCTTGGATAGCGAGGGACTGAACCCTCGTTCCTGTGGGTACGCCGATGAGTTGCGTCGTGTTGAACTGAGCAGCGCTACTGAAAAGGCCGTAGAGGTGTTCTGAGAGACTATCAGCTGTACATCGTTGACAGCTACTGAGGTTGAATGACCTGTATTTGATTGAATACCTGTGATAGCTGCGAGAAAATTCGTTGAATGAAGCGGCACATCGAAAATGACGTCTTACTGTTAATCAGATCCACTCGTCCCACACAATCATCTGCGAGGACTGAGCTATTGCCCGACGCGATAATTCCGTCCGTGTGAAGAAATCTGACCATATTTTAGCTATATTTTATCGCGATAGGAAAATGAACTCGTCCTGACCCTTCTATGAAGCCGTGAAATGCGTCGAGGTAGGCAGCCGGTTGATGTGCCCTACATTTAATACTCAGCAACGCAAGGGGCGCGGCAGCAAGTGCAAGACAGGTCCACATCGCGAGTTTCGGGAGGCCAAGGTATGGAACAAAGTGAATAGACCACTTTCGTGCCTCGGGAATCTATCTGTCTTCGATGATCAGCCGAATACGGCGGAGAAAACCGTAATTGGAGAAAAGCAAGTCGGCAGCCGCTCATTACAGAGATCAAACGACGTAGTGCCTGGCTATATCTGTTCAATTTAGGAGAGGGCGGCACTATTTCTGTCTCAGGATTTGGATAAAGCTACACAGAACCTGCTGCTTAGAGGAGCTCTACGAGCTAGGGTTTTTGACTCTGAACAGTCATTTGCCAGCCAGGAAAGAGGAGATACATCTCGACAAGTTTGAAATCGGTTGAAGAAAGGAAATGAGCCGTAAGAGACAAGCGGTAAATCGAGATCATGGGTAGGTTTTGGAGTCATCGAGTGAAATCGCCCGACCCTCAGATAACTGAATCACACCAACTCTAAGAAGACAGCGATGTCCCCGGATGGGTATAAGACAAGTCCTACGAGGAGGTGGTGGTCAGTGATAGCCCCCGAAATGCTACTTTTCCGAATATTCAGCTGCAATTGTCGTCAGGGCAAGCCAGAGAATATTTCAGGCTCGCACTCGTACTATGTTTCATAGACAAAATTGCTGCGATGAATTAGAAGAGTCTCGAAATATGACCTGCAATCGTGTTGCTGCAGTCGATAAGGGCGGTTACTGTAAATTAACGGTTACCGCCAGTGGCTATGACGTCATTTCAACCCCGCAACGTTTCCCTTTGGTTTCCCATCATCCAACATACTCTCCACCTTTAAGCTACATCGCTCCCATCATCCGGATACGTTATTAACGGAGCAGAATCTCAATTTAGCACCCAAACATGGGAAGTACTGTCACTGGAAAACGAAACCAAGGATGCGAGGAAATGTTCCCGATTGGGAATCTTTTCTTTGCCGCCGCCGCATTGTGAGAAGATATTCCGGCCGTCGTACGTGTAGAGCCAGTTGATGAAGCGGGAGGAAGGATAGACGCAACAGGCCAGGATGCAAAGTATGCCAGAGGGGATTGTCGCCTGCAAGAAAGGAAAAGTTCATGATAACCACTGGCATCGTGTCTGTGCCAGGCGTTAACCAGGAGCGTTCGACGAAGGAATCGTGATGGGCCATGACCGTGCAGCGCTGACTGTCTAGAGACGCAGATGTCTTCGGGGATGCATGGGTATAATGGAAGACCTTGTATCCTTAGTATGCGATAGTTAGAAGCCAGTCATGGCCTTTCCATGGCAACCACCCGGATTGTTATCGTGAGGTCCTCGACGAGTAGACGATGTTGACGTATCAATCACAGGCGATTGTGAGGCACTACTGTCCCCCAATTGTTTCCGCAAGGAGAAAATCAGACAGAAACGATTCGCCGAACTGAAAAAGTTCCCTTTAGAGGTAGGCACAGATATCATTGGCTTGAGTTCCACACTGCCTGAAACGGCGTGCATCAAGCATTTCCTCAGTGTTGGACTCGTATGGGTGGAAATCCCTAATAACCCCAACGTGGGGCAGGAAACTTAGGCATGACGGGAGTGAGGCCGAGGGAAAACAGCGCAAGCAGGGGGGTAAAGAAGCAAGGACTGGAACCCTGCGACGAACCTGGAATGACGATGGCCCTTTTCTTCGCAATTCCACGGTGCTCGAGATAGAACTCGGGGCAGGACTCCGGCCATCGTGTCCCTTCGAACATGAAGGGAATGACCAAGTAAAGAAACTGAAGGGAACGTTGTATGGGCAGATGCTCTCCGAAAAAAGCCGTAGATCATGAAGACTAGGTTCCTACTACAACAATGTGATTGCAGGTACTGATCATGAACAAACGAGGCAGGAAGACGGCGCCGAAGTCATGATCGCCCTAGGGCTTCCTACACCATTGCTGTGAATCGGTTTCGCAAGTTGAGGATGGAACAAGTCAGGGTCAAGGGAGGCGTCGGAGGCCAGTGCGAAGCAGAGGATGGACGAGCGGGATGTGGAGCACCAGAGTCGAAGACTGGGTCCGTGATTCGTTGTATGAGACCCGCATCGGCTAATAAAAACTATCATTGTTCGTCGCCTGATCTTCATCTAAGTAGAGAATTAAGTCGGAGTCAGGAGACTGGAACAAAAAGACCGACCTCAATTCAGCGTCCTTTCCTCTTCGACCCATCCGCACTTCCGCTCACCAGCTGTGCAATGATAAATCGTTCCTTCATCCTCCCATCCTGAACCAACATGCACCTCCGCTGTCGCCACAACGATTCTTTGATCATTGCATACCAAAATATTACCGCGGTGAGGGATAAACGTCACGTCGTCGTCTTCAAGCAGAACCTTGATTCTTTTCCAACAGAATCTAAACCAAGCGCAGAATGTTTTCGAGCGCCGATATCAGTGCTCCATGCAGCGCATTCCCTCTGCGGTCCAGTTAGCTCTCTTGATCGCGTATCGTCACCAGCTCGTTCAATGTCGAATCGGCGAGGTAACATCCCTTGGACGAAGTAAATCGATCCTGTTCAAGTACTAGCCAGTGGCGCGAGCGCGGCCAGGGTTGCGCTATTGCCGACTTGAGGAAGCGGAGGGGGAAAGGGGCTGCACGATGACGGTGGACGACTTGAGGACTGGCGAGGTTTAACACTGAAATAGCATTCGTCGATATAGGGATGGATGTATGTGTCTTCAGTTGCGATCTATTACCATCTTAGTCGATGCCTTGAAATCGAAAGATACGCACCTCGGATAAGAATCACCCTTCATCGTCTTTTTCCTGGAGGCAAGGCATGGTCAGGTTGACCCTGTCCACGATGTCACGAATCCTGACATGGAAGCTCAAGCGCTCAATGCTTTGCGTGTCGACAGGCCCAGATGCTCGTCAAATTAATCCTTCAAGCTTGTTGCTTTGTTCCGGCTGCATTACATTTGTCGCGTAGTCTTCCTGTTGGTTCGTGTGACTGCTTCCCTGGTTGTTCAGAAGGTTAATCACAACTCTTCCCAACAATGCTCTAAAAGCTTGGCGACGCCTGTGTCGTAGTGCACCATGGTAGCCGAAAGTTAGGCCAAACGACCTGCAAATCCAAAGGTCAGATCAATGAAACTGAGCTAACAGCATATACTTACGGTATTGAACCTACTGTGCTACAGTCAGACAATTTTAGGACTTCCTTACGACGCTGCACGAACAAAGCGATGGTATCCGTGTCATAGAAGTATAGACTCTGCAAGCATCTGTTGTTGTCGTTGGCAAGAAATGGCGGGACCAGGGTAAAGACCGACCTCAATGAAACACCTTCAGCGTCCTTTGGTCTTCGGTCCATTCGTACTTTTACTCGCCACCTGTGCAATGATAAATCATTCCTTCATCCTTCCATCCTAGACCAATATGCGCTCCCGCTGTCAACGCAACAATTCCTTGATTATTGCATATCAAGATATTACCATGGTAAGGGATAGCCGTCACGTCGTCTTCAGGCAAAATCTTGATTCCCTTTCAACAGGGTGTAAACCAGGTGCACGAGTATCTTCAAGCGTCGGTACCAGCGTTCCATGTAGCGTATTCCTTCCGTGGTACAGCTGGCTCTCTCGAAGGACGGAGGAAATGGATCTTGTTCAAGTACACGCCAGTGGTACGAGCGCCGTCAGCGGTGTGATGCTGCCAATTTGACGAAGTGGAAAGAGAAAAGGACTGCGTGATGACGGTTGTTCGCAGAGGTGGTACTCATCAGGTATAGGGTATGCATGTGTCATTGACGTCAGTCGCAATCTACCGCCACCTTAGTCGGCGGCAATACCTTGAGAGAAAGACATGCACCTCAGGTAATGATCATTTCCTCCCTCTTTTCCCCTTGAAATATAGTCTTCTCAGATTCTCTTTCACGACGTCGCAAACCAGACGGAGAAAACCTTACCTCCGAACGCGTGTTATGTTGAACTCCTGGTCGGTTTCCTATTGCTGTCTTACGTCTGTCGTGTAATATCGTGTGGTTGGTTTGTGCGACTTGCTTCCTCAGAAGGTTAACCCTTTTCTATCAGCGGTCGAAGAGATGGGCGACGTCGGCGTCACAGTGCGCCGTGGTAGCCGAAGCTGTAAACGAGCTGTAAATCCGAAAATCAGATAAATGAAATTGAGTTATAGCCACAAAAGTTTGGTATTGGACCTACTGTTCTATAGTAAGAGGATGTCGGGGCTTCCCTGCAGCGCTACAAGAGCAAAGTGGTGGTATCCGTGCCATAAAACTTGAGGTGTAGGCTCTGCAATTGTCCGTGGTCACTGGCAAGAATTTTGAGAACCAGAGTAAGTGGATACACGTGGGAGGGTAAAATCGGCCCGACCCACGCTTATCGCGGTTTCTTTCTGATATAAGTACCTACCATTTGGCGTTGGCTACCAATGAGTAAACGACATCCCAAGATCATGTAGTAGGGAGTGAATTCAATGCAAGAAGCCAGAGAGATGAGGTACACAGAAAAGGACTCGTAAAAAGTGATGACGATGGAATTAGAAATGTGCTATTCCTAAGTGTCACGGAGTAGTTCTTCGAGCGGAGAGAAAGCTGGAAGCTTCGGCTGCCGGCTCATGTACTCATGAAGCCTTTTGCGAATGAGAGTGGGGTTAGTACCATGCATCCCAATTGGTGAGGCGCCAAAGCTTTCATCTAGGTCATCCTGTAGTACAGGGTCAACCGTCAGAAAGGACTCAGCCAGATGCATGGACGAACCTTGAAGGATGGACCAGCCCTGTGCACACTATCCAGGGATTGCCGCACTACAGTGAGACCCTTCAGAACATCCTTAGTATAATGTCGGACAACGTCAATATCCTCGTTTTTTGATGTCAAAATACCCAGCGCTACGAAGTGTCTTTTGAAAACAGACCATCCTGAGTTGAGCGTAACCTTGGTGTCCATTATATAATCTTCCAAATGCTTCATGTCGAGGTCCAACGACTCTCCTAGCCTCATCGCGGGTCCAACAACCTCCACAACATACCAAAGTTTCTTGTCGATGATGGCCTGAGATTTATCCCATTGCATGATCCATATGTCGTAAGCGGACTGCGAGGGAACTGTTAACATGGGCTCAATGGCTCCTTCCAGAGCATCCAACTTCAGGATGATGTTAGCTAGTTCGTAATGATAGTGTAAGACCACATACCTGTCTCTTAAACCCTAGCAAGAAATCATATGCAGCGTTGTGGACAACTACCAAATGACTCCAAAATGACAGCATCTTATTGCTCAAAGTATTCAACTGCCTAGACAGTTCAGCACGAACCTCGACGGGAAGACCATCATAATCCGCTGAGCTGATGGACAGACCACCTAAGATATCTGCCCTGCTGAGGACAGACTCAAGGACTAGACCACCGGTGAAGGCGGCAAGATGTTCCTCCATTGTAGCAGCACCCATGGCCTGAGCTTCGATCCTGAGCGTCATATTCGTGGTAGCATAGAACAGCTCTCTGGATAGATCTGTAGGGAATGTGGGGACACCAGGAAGATGGCTAGGAGAATCGGATGAGATAGCGGTCACGATGCTGCTAACAATGCCAACAGAGCCCACCCATAAGCTATTGAGGACAATTTCGACAGCTAAGGCTGTCTTGGAAGCAGCAATTCCAATGCCAGAGCTAGCATCGGAAATAATATCGCTGATGGGCTTCAGAAGAAGATAGATCAAAGTTGCAATGAATATGGGGATGAATGCGAGTCCGAGCACCATAGTCGGCGGAACCGAATCTAGGTTGAAGAGAGTGTATGTGTATCCGAGAAGGACAGGTCGGGTGGAGGGACTAGGTTTGGAGGGGGTGAGAGAAGAGTCTGAATCCTGGTCTTTAGCGACCAAGCGCATCAGATTTAGAGAACGTTGATCCTGAGCCATGATGGAATGAGAAATAAAATTGTAGATAGAAACTTTTATATGCCATGCCCAGGCGCCTACATGATCACATCACAGCCAGCACAGAAACAAGAGTTATTGTCAAGGCCGTGTGGGAATGAAGACAAGGACCTTGTTCTGCGTCGATAACATGGGAAAGAAAGGCCATGATGACTACCAACTTTCCCTACGAGTACACAGTCCCCGGATAGGAAGAGGTTGATACATGAGCTAAGGTGAAATGTCTTGTTCCACTTTGCGATTATGTGGCTATTGAGCCGTAGCATATATTTCGTCCGTGATGGTGGGCGTCGGGCGATGCTGATGGTTGACTGCGACTGCCACATGGTCCAGACTGGCGTAATCATGTGATACTTGCTAATACAAATGAACCTTGTAGTTGAACTACAACCGTCGTTCTTCACCGTCTGCTGTATCTTGTCCTTCTTCACTACTTGTAGCATCGTCAACATCTCTACTCCCACCTCAGAAACTCTCCTTCCATGATATGGTTCGGGCCATCATACAGATCTGTCTTTTCGCAGTACTTGGAGGATTCTGTGCCTTAACGTTGATATTCAGTCTTTGTGGCACGGCAAAATACTCAGGTTCCAGTTACTGCATGTCTGTAGCTGGACTCATTCATACGCATATCAGGTCGGACAGTCAGCCGACGTCAGGATCAATTCATACGAGTCCCAGCTGTACATCTAAAGGAAACTGTCTGAACGCCACTGTCGCGTCTCGGGTTGTCCAAACGCACCTTTTGCATGTCCACTTGCTTATGGATCTAGTTGAGGGCACAGGATTGCCTCCCGGGAAATTCTTTGATGTAAACGACACGTACGCTCTTTTTGCCCCTTATCCCCTTGATCACCACATAGTAACTCCAGGCTGATTTAATAGAATCTTCTACCATATCGGAAGCAGTGGCCTTCGTGGATTTTCTGAATATGATAAAGAGCGACAGCCATTTGTGGACAACATCAGGGCTTTTTGCCGCAAGCAATCCAAAATACAGCTACATTATGGCAGTTTCCTGGGGGCCCATTTCCTCAGGTACTTCCGACCGAGCGCTTTAGCTCCTGTTTATGCTACTGTGAGTCTCGTCAACCACCGGAATCAAAATTCACTTAATAAATCGTCACCTGTCAGTTTAAGAGCACGATAGAATCATTATGGGCTGCTGAAGAGCTGGAAAAGTCGACATCCGGTTCGCAGCAGTATACTATTCAAATAGATGGCATTCTGCGGCAATCTCTTACCCAATTCTTCGACAAGCTTCAGGAAGTCTTCGCCAAACTTGCAGTTGAAACTCCTGCGATGCTAGACTTCTTCGCCGAGATTCTCTCATTAGGTCAACGCGTTTCTGAGCAGTTGGACTCAGAACTTCCCCGGGTGCAGACTATCTACCACAAAATCCCTTGGTGGGACAGTATACCACGTCCCAATTTTTTGCGACGGTATTCACAACGTACTATCTACGAAAAATATTACGAATTCCTAACCGAGGAAGCCCCAAATATTCGGGATCTTGTTGAACAAGTTTCCATTATTCTCGACCATCTCACAGCTCTCAACGACTACTTCAGATGGTACTCAGCACGGCCGGTAAGCGCTTTCTTTATTGTCTATTCTATAATTCCAGACTAATCAAAACTTACCAGGATACACTGAACGTCGGTTCGCTGGAAGGAACACCTAGTGCTATCGAACTTTTTCGTCTTCTGGAGGAATTTCAGGAGCGTGTCAGGTCGGATTGGGATCTTCATAGCTGTAATATCCCACCCCGCCGAATGATTGGTCGGAATCAACGTCTTCCCTTGGGGAACGGTGATCCGTCATGACGGGAATGATTTCTCAGTCGCGCTTGGTAGTGATGCCTTCAATTTTAACGAGGTTCATTGCATGTTGCCGCGGCGACCGAGCCGTTCTCAATGCAGTGGCATGCACCGCGCTACTTTGAAGAAAACGTAGCACGGTATGAGCCAAAGTGGATAATTTATTAGATTCTTCATTTTATTGACTAGTATGATGTACCTACATATGCTTCCAATGAGCAGTGCACTCAACATTGTAAAATATGATAATTGCGTGAATAACTGGTGAATCCACGTAAGTAAATACCCGAACGGCCCGGTCGTTTACAGACTCCCTTTTTAGACCTTTACCGCCACCACCAACACCACCATGTCCTTTGTATCTTGTGATGCAGCGGTGCACCTAGACGTGGTTTCTCTATAAACTTCTGGTGAGCTGTATCTGAGCAGGAGCAGTCGACGGATGTGGGATGGTATCACACTGTTTGGAGGCTTGCTCCATATTTGTCGCAGATATCTCCCAGTGGTGCATTTTGCTCCAAACACTTTTCCCACGCTTTATTGAACATTCCATCCAGACATCGAAAGAAAGGTCAAGGTGCCGAAACCTATCCACGAAATAATAGGTCTCCGGAATACCAAAAAGACGGCCGATCCACAGCCTTTGCATCGCTTCTCTGTTACAAAATGGCCAGTTTCTCACGGTTTCTAGTGTTTTGTTATTCTCTTGCAACTCATTGGCCCTAATTCTACAATCAACTGAGCTCCGTAACAGAAATTTTCCAGCGTACCCCTCTTTTTTGAGAGGGAAACTTTGGAACAGCCGCGACACCCACCTGACGTTTTTGTGGCAAAATATCACTCGGGTTGTCGCATTGCCCTAGTGCACATTTGTTTCACTTTGCTGTGTCGAGACAACTTGTGCCACAGAAAGACATATAATGGGACTGACGTGATTAGGGAACAATATCTCTTTGCTTCAGGCTTTCATTCTTTCACTTCCTTACACATGGCCGATTGTACCACCCAAATCCAGTTCCTTGACCAAACCAAACATACCATACACGAAGACCCTTACCCTCTGCCGGCCGCCGCGTCGGAGGCGCCGTCCATCTCCTCGGTCTCCCTTTCGTTCATCGCCGCTCTCTCCTCATTGGAAACCGTATGTTTTATCTCCAGCTTGTGCAGGTCCGCGGGTATTCATCATCAAAATAGACTTCCGAGAGCATCCGAGGACTGCTTTGAGCGACTGGAAGAGATACTATCGCGCTTCAGGGAACGGACATGTATCCTTACCACCAACCGCGCTCTTTCTCATGAGATTGGCCCCAACTGATGAGCCTGAAGGGAAAGCAGGGATTGGAATTTGGCCGCGTTTCAGAGATATCGACTTTCTCATTCTTGATGGACTCTTGCTCTTTTTTCGAGGACTTCACACGACGAAGAAGAACTACCCAAGAGCCGGCGAGTATATGCACGTCCATACGTAATAATTATTTCGCTGCGACCCAGTCCTTGCTACTCCGCGAGTCGCATCTCACGACTCTCGCAAAATTGGACATATATAAGAATTATCGTTGGATTAGTTTTCTATCGTATCAGGTTGCTATCCAATACGTGTTGACATCATTCCAACACCTACGATATGTGGCCCGTAGATGTTGCGCTAAGATGACTACTGCGCCACTTCTTTTCTTGTGGTGTCAGCCGTATCCGCAATGAACTTGCTCAAGCCAGGAAGAAGAAACCGAAAGCATAAAAACAAGAAGCAGGGTCACCAGGATATCTAAGCAACGTCGGACTCGAGAAAAGCTTCTTTGTGTAAAGCGGATTGGTCTCAGCCAAAAGCAGGGTCATGACTGCCACAAGGACCATGGCATCATTCTCGTCGATGCTGCAATGGCAAGCCATTCCATGTTACTCTGTTCCTCAGACCGACGTGAAAGGTATCAGTGCCTTCTCAGACTTGACGCGTTCTGAAAGCGATCTTGAAGGGTTGACCCCACTGAAACAGCGTCCCGCTTCGACGACCTCGAGGTGTTAGGAAAACCCCTGTTTGATGTGTCTTACAACCTCAACTACTATTTCCGACGAGTCGGAAGCAGCTAACATCATGCCCGAGTTCAGGCGCCGGGACTCGGAGAAATTCAGACTCCTATTCGCGTACCAGGTACATTCTGACAAGCGCGCGCCCAGTCCGACAAAATTTGATCCGCCAAAATTCATAACAACCGGATTATCAGATTCAGCGGCGGTGTAGATCTAGATCTCAGCATCGAAACACGGATATTGATATGATAAATTATACAGTGTGGTCATATACTACAAGTAGCACCAGGAGAATTGGGACGAGTCGGGATATGCCCTTCAAACCCGAGAAGGTCGGTACCGACTTTAATGTTCATGGGTATCCTTACTCTAATAACCACCGATACCTAACGATGCCAGATGTGGGCCACGCTCAGAGAAGAATCAATAAAGTTCAAGGAAAAAACAAAAAGGCGCACAAGCCAAAAAGAATACCTTACACGAAGCTATGGGACAAGTGGAGTCCAAGCACAAAATACTTTAATGATGAAGAGACGAACCCAGCCGACGAAAAATAGACGTTGGGACTGGTCATTGGCATGAACAAAGAGTGGCGATTCTGAACGTATAAAGGTAATTCACACATAGGTACTATGCACTCAGCGTCCGTTTGGCCAAGTCTGCAACTTCGAGTCCAGATTCTCAGGAGCCAGACTCGTCATCGCTGCTGGAATCACCGCCCGTTGGGTGTGGTGGCCCTACGACACTGGATCCAGGACATGTTGCCGCCACGGTAGGAGATGAGGAGGCGGTCCTTCCGAGAAACGGATGTAAGCCAGCAGGCGATTGTCTAGCTGTAAGCTGTTCAGGTGGGAAACAGTCGGTAATGAATGACGAATCACGGATCCTACCTACATTTATGTGACAAAGCAAGTCAAGGAGGCTGTTAGGACACGTTCTGACATTTGTCGACGGGGTATAGAGTAAGCATAGTAAGACGGATGGAAATCCAAATAACCTTGTTTTGATCTGGAAGGACGCTCTTAAGATACATCATATTCGCCTCCCAGCGCGATTACTATTTGGATTCATCTATTAATTTACAGCTGTCAGTAGCAAGGTGGCGTCCAGAGTTGTTGAGCAATCACCTATCTCGGTAAAGGCTATGCTGTATATTTGGCACCCCCAACGATCGTGAATATCGCTACACACAACATAAATCAACAAAAGTACGCGTGTTGTTCAGATGCCCTCACTGATAATCTGTACTGTTACATGACAAGGCGGTCGATTCAAGGTCCAATCTCCGAGGATCAAACATGAGAATAAGGCCCCACAGTTGTCTAAATTCGGCAAAAATACGCACCCGTGGGTGTGTCGCCCACGGTCCATTTTCGCGTTTTCTTTCATGCGTACAACACCTTTATGATGAACAGAAACTCCGATTCACGATGGGGTTTCGCCTGCGGATACCATCGTTCCCCGCCTCCACGTGGTTGTCGCAAGTCATTTTAGCAACCGAGCTGAGAAAGAGGCTGCTTCGAGATGCGGTATACCGGTTCCCAAAGAAGTTTCAACGGGCGGTGTGCCCGTCCCCCGAGATATCTGATGACACAGAACCTAATAGCATTTTGAGCATAGATTTCACGTCGAAAACAAGACCTGCAGAATAGAGCAACATATGTGCGTAGCAATGTCAAGTTTGAAATCATAAGCACAGGACAACGAGGATGATCGACGATATACAATATAGGCTACAAAATAGGAAGTAATATGATACAAACCTATCTATGCAAAGAAAGAACATACGAAGAAGCCAGTGTAAGATCATGAAGTCATGAAGTGGGCAAGGACGTCGGATCCTCCATGTAAGGAGTCATCCTCAGATATTGATGTAGCGTCGCTGGAATCAGACCACCCCAACGAATAACGTGTATTCGAAAGCCGATAAGGCTCGTACTGGCGTTCTTGTCGGTGCCGGGAAATACGGGCAAGTGTCACTGAGTTGATAGATACATTAGCCACGTCTTTATCTCTGCCACGCTCAGTATCCCGATGCTCCTCGCCTTTACTAGGGAGGGGTAACCGCGTCTTTCGGGTGATTGCTCGACGGTGCCGGTTCCAAATAGTGCCTGAGTGATGATTGATACTGAAATGGATATCAAGGAGGAATGGTCGCTCGGGAAAGGGAATGTAAGCCAATAAACGACCGTCAACCCTTTCTCGGATGGCGTTCGCAATTGTCTGAGGATTTTGTACTCGCGGTAAAGACTCGAGTGTATCCATCATCGAGTCTAGAGAATCCCAGTGATTTTTTCTGGCGCGCGCTAATCGCTCTGGATCACGTTCGTAAGAGACGTCTCTCAGTAACTGAAGAGTTCTGGTCTCAAAGCGCACTTTGCCGTCAGCAATCTTCATATTGCAGAAGCTGAATTGAGGGAAGTCCAAGAGTAAATTGTGCTTCTGTAGCTCCTGAAATGCGTTGTATGCCTTGAATAAACTCTTCATCAATATGCATTGCAATGCTGACAAGCGCATGCATACCAATGCACGGTCACTGAACTCGACATAACGGCCACCATTTGGTTCCATGACAATTCCAACAACTTCGTCATCACGAACCAGATGGCCTAGTACCTTGAAATGTAGGTCCAAGTTGCGTTGCCGCAAAGCGTCAAGGGAGACCATGGTCCTCTGCACGAACCGCAGATAGCGATCTTCGCACCCATACCAGATTTCTACAAGGAGCCTTCAGCAGTTGTAGTCACAAAATAATGTCCAACTGACCGACGTCCGTGTTGTTCCACCTTCCTCTCCGATTCATGTCATATATCCAGTCGGTAATTTCAATTTCGCGCTCATCGATAAGGCGCTCCCAGGTCGGATGAGTGACTTTAAAGGTTGTGGGTCGTAACGGTGTCGGTACCAGACAATGTCCATTCCTTTGACGGACCAAGAAAGCCGTTGAGCTTTGCTCGAAATCAATAGTGCCGATAAGAGTTTCCTGTGATATCGTCAGGATACAAGGCACATCTTTGATCTTTGATCATTGACTTACGATTAGGCCGACAAAGTGGTCAACTTCAAGCTCATGTTCTGACTCATGTTGCCCCACTCGGATGTGCCATTTTGGAGTGAATACGCGCAGAACATGCCCGTCTCGAACAAGGACATGTTCATTATCAGTATCGCCATCCCCTGCTAAAAGCGCTACACAACATCAGGCAAAGATAAACGCTGGAGCTGTACACTCACAAATGTGTGCTGTCGCATGCAGAGGAACTTTCATCGTGGGTCCACGTTCTCAGAGTCAGTGGGATGGCCAGGGGCGTGACGTGACATGGCTGTCCGCTACCCGGTCCGCGGGCCGGCCTGACCTTCCCGCCACATCACCGGTACTAATAGCCGACTTCACAGATATTGTTACTGTCTCGCGTCCAGGCGAACAAATCTATCTATGTTCCTGAATATATACAGCATCCTACTTCATAGACAGCGCCGGGCTGAGATGAACCACCCTTTGAATGTCCTTGTGGGTCCTTGTTTGAGCTTTACATCAACCGATTATTGCCTTTCCAGGTCGTGGTGTATGTTGGGTGTATGTGTTCTTCCACTTCGTGATTTACGGACTAGCATCGTGTTCTCAAACCTCATTTTTCCCTTCGCCCCTACAACAGATTGCCGTTTCCAATGCTGTCTAGCTATTGCATTTTCTCCTTTTCTGTTGCTTTGGCGTCAAGCTAGGTAGAACGGGGCGCTTTATATCTGTGAGTCCAATGATCTTAGTCCTCGTTAAAAAGTAGATTTTTAGGTAGTAGCGATGCTTCACCTCCGTACCATCGAACGGTATTCTTCTATGTGCACTACCCATGTTTATCAGTGTCCGAAGTGCACCTGCATATGGAGTATGTTGTATCGCTGTCCCGCAAATTGTGTCGATAATGGAGGACAAGCATCCATCGTTAAGGGTGCAAGATCTCTGTGTCACAGTTGCACTGGAAAATAATGATTCTGGCACTCGGTAAGGCATCCCTTGCTGCCGATACTCACAGCTCCTTACTGTTCCACTTCAGAGCAATCTTCTCTTTCTTCCTGTTTCATGATCTCTCGCGGCTTTTTACATCTCTGACACTCTATTTCTGTGTTCGGTTCTCCTCTGTCTCTCTTCAAGTCTGGATCTCTTTGCTGTCACTGCTTCCTTCGCGTATCTCTTTATGGTTAATGACCGCCAGCCCTCCTGGAAATGCTGACAACGATTCTGTAATGGCAAGTGAATTTTATTATCGCGGATCGCCTCTCATTTATAAATAAAATGACAGACTCACCACACTGAACATCAACCTCTACATCCCTTAGGCATTTTTACCAGCCAACTACTCTAAAGACATCTTGAATCTAAACTCCCGACAATATAGAATCATACACCTCACTGCTAACCCTTAATGGTCTGTGAATGAGGCATCTTTTGCCTTGTCTCTTGGCTGCTAGTGTAAACCTGATGGTTGCTGCTTAATCTAACATCATATGTCAACTAAGCTATTGCATAGAAGGTGTAGAATATCGTTTACCACTAGATTCTAGACCCTTTTTTAGTATACTAATTTTGTTAAAAGACACGTATAATTATCATTAATTCTTTTCCATGGGCTGCTCAAAGATGATGTCGGTAGTCTCGGGCCCCGAAGCGCTGTGAACGCTCATTTTGTAATGAGCTACAACTCGAGCGATCTACACAACCAGCACTATTTTTAGACCCGATCGCTCGATCGTTTCGGTTCCTCCCGTATTCAGTTCATAATGACAACATTACATGTCTGCATTTTGACTAGAATCAAAACCTATCTCTTCGTCAAAGTTCATTAAGGTACTATAAGCGAGGTCCGAGTGTCGCCGGTCGTGCATGAGATCAAGTTGCCACATTGAAACGGACTGGCGAGAGCGGTGATTTTGGGCTTCGACGGAGCGAGAGTGACAAAATGATAGGTCCTTTAGCCTATTGACAGTCGGAGTTTGCTCAGTTTTCGCTACTGGCTGTTCTACTCACTCCGCCGCTCTTCATCAAAATTGAATACCATTACATGCGATGCGCTTAGTAGTGTTGCCGCCGCTCGGGCTAAAACTGCCGAGCTGATGGAACTGAGCCGGAGAAAGCCGAGCTGAGCCAGGTTTGGTAGCTTGGCCGCTTCATACAGCTCAGCTCGGCATTGGAGCCGGCTTCATCCAGCTGAAGCCGGTCAAACTCACGGGAGCTCAGAGTGCTATCCCGGTTGGGAAGCCAGCATCGGATATGCTCTTCCTCCCTTAACTTTGACTTAGCGCTGCAATTGGTAGGCTACCAATCATCAAGTTTCCCTTACTACCTGATTCTGACAGGTTTTGAAGGCAGTAAGAGACAAAAGATACACAGAAGGAATCGTGGGAATAAATTCCCCTCTAAAATACCACACAGCCACAAATAATCTTTGAGCTCCTGCAGTTATCCTTGTGTCTTCCCTTGAATATATAAATATGCAGAGGCATGCAGACCACCAAATAAAACATATTTTACAAAGTATCATCCTCTGGAATATTTTCATACTCGGAGGAATAAATGAGAGTCTGTCTTACCCTAATTTGTAAGCCAGCTACAGTTTAACTGGAGCTGAGCTCGAGCCGAGCGGAGCCAAGAATTATTTCCGCAGCTCGGCTCGGAAAAAGCTGTCATTAAGGTACAAGCTGGGAAAAGCTGACTGAAGCCGAGCGGAGCCGAGCGGCGACAACACTAGCGCTTAGTCTTTTTACCAAATTAGGAACGAGAGCGCCCTGTTCACACATCAGCGCTGATCCTCTCATGTCGAAGCGCTACACGCCATTGACACGCTCCTTCATCCACAGAGAAATCGCGCTGTTAAGGATTAAACACCCGCTGTTTATTTCATCGCGATGAGAAAAACGAGGCTGGTCTGTAGGTCCGAAGAAAATTTCTGGCATTTGCCACCGTATAACCCGATGACCAATATGGACAAAATACCACTATATTTGTGGGGCAGATAGCACACCGCTCGCAATAAAGTGACTCATCGACGCCGTGACATCGTGAAGCAACCCTCGTAGCCGGGCACAGCGACAGGGCTCAAAGTGTCGCGCCACCTTCCGGCCAAATTACCGTCAGCATTCCCGATAAGGTACCCCCGATAGAGCCACTTTCCTCGATCGCCATCAACCTAGATAAGGTATAGATAAATGTTAGCGAATTTGACAAGACCTTGGCAACATACGTAGTCCTTAGAGAGACTGATGAAGCCGTCACATGGGCGAACCCTGCCGACAAGATTGAATTCTCCCCACGCTGAATGTCCCTGGGGAGCAATATCAATATGGAGCAAATAATAGAGTTCATTGACTGTACCTCGCCTGTTATGATGATGTCACAGACGAGTCTCTGTTCGTCTGGCTGAAGACGACGTGCTCTCTGGTAATAAAGAGGCTCCTTTCCACCAGGTTCGCGAACTTCAAGTCCATCGTGATCCTCTTTGATATGAATTCCGGTTGGAAAATACGATCTCAAGGGGTCCCCGGGAGATAAGGGGTCAACGTCATCGATACTAGTCGGCAATAAAGAGCCGGCAACGGGCTCCGTAGCCAGGAGGTGGTGTTCGCGAAGCTTCCATGTTTGACGATGCTTGACCACAAGACTTTTCTGCAAAACAGGAGGTGGTGCTCCAGACAAAAGCGCCGCGTATGCAGTAAATTCGGTATACTGTCCCTCTCGTCATTTTCGTAGATTATTACAAGAAACAGGAAGGACATACAGTAAAAATCCCTTCCCAAGCACCTTCAATACTAAGACATGCCTTAGCCTTATGATGACACGACTGAGGCAAGACCCTCACCTTCCTGGTGTAAAAGACATCATTAATACCTTGTCAAACGATGGTTGACTGAGACTAATGCATCGGCCCCATTCACACTCCCACTCCATGCCATTTGTCGATCGTCGCAGCAAAACGGGCCGTGCACGCTCTATCGAAGTAGGAAATTCAGGCGAACCAAGCATCCGATTCACAAGTGTGAGAAAAGACAGTATGGCCGGAGAAGCAAGGGGCGGAGGGTTAATACAATACACCTGCGAGTAATGGATAATTTCATTGGACTCGCGAGGATGAGGTGGAGGAATGAAGTCAAGCCACGATGGCGAAGTCAAAGGATACTACATTTGTGGATTAACGCTCGCCTGACTAAGAGTTACCGATATGACTCACTCGATGTGCACCCAAGGCAAACAACTTCAGAATATTCAGAACGTCCCAAGACGCCTCCACATCGCGAGTGTATTCCTCTGAGGCCCCGTGACTGGTCAACACACGCCGGCGGCAAAGATGACAGAAGAAATGCTCACCTGGTCTGAGAAGAAACCAAAATAGCCACATGGCGACTGCAGAGTGGTCGGTTTGTGAAGGCCATTTGTTGGCTTTGATAGACCGCTTTGCTAGTGACCTCCCATTATCACTGAACCAGTACTCTTGCAGCCACGAATCAATATTCCCATATTCCCGGAGCTGACGTTCATTCCGTCCTTCATTTTCAAGCATAAGAAGATAAGCGTGGAACAAAAGTTCCTGGAGGCTTTGATCATCAGATTCTTGTGAAGGGGGTGATGTCGCATCTATTTGCGAACGAAGACGCTTCAGATAAACGCATCGACGCTGAAGCTCTTGCGCCAATATGGGTGGAGATATTCTATCTGGTCCAAGACGCCGCGTCGCTATCGAAAGGTCAAATTTGGTAGCAAAGATCTTGGCATACACCGTGTGATTCTTCGAGAGCGACAGGCGAGATTCGAGATTGCGATTTGTTATCACCAACGAAGCGAGGTCAGAGGGAGGACCTAGGAATGTGTTGGTACCGAGATGGAAGGCAATATTCTCTAGAATTTCCTGTGGGATGCTCTCTAGGCAAAGCGTCATCGTGGTAGAAGGGGGAACGCAGGTCATAAGACTCGGTTACAAGAACATGCAGGCGGCATCTTGTTTATTGGCCGAAGCCGGCACCGGCTTACAGTTGCCGAGTGCGTGGAAGGTTAGCTGAAAGAGGAAAGGGAGCGGGATGTCGCTCAAATGCCGGCCCCACCCCATCCCCACAACATACGAATGACCACTGTATTCAATGCTGCCTCAACTTTTTTCGATGACATAATTTTTTCTGCGACGGTGAGGGCCCCACCGATAGCCTAGCATTTGTTTTCATCCGACCTCACCTCCACCTTCGACAACCTTTGACGTCTGCCATAGACTTGCAATAGTGAGGGAGAGTTATTGCAAGTGGCTGCCCCGATATACATAGAAGAGTTCTTCTGGCCTTCAAAGGGGCCTAACGCGCTCTGGCCTCATTGGTTGAGCCGTGGGGCGACTGCCACTGGAATCTGGATGATAGATGAAGCGAACGAGGATATCTTTCCGCTTGGATGGACAGGAGGGTCACTCTATTCTTGCTTAACCGATGAGCTATTTCACAAGGTCCTTATGGTCATTGCATCTAATCGAGATAGATAATGCTCACTATTCAAACCGGATACTACAGGTGCCACATCTGGTGCTCTGACGCCCTTGTCAAAACACACCAGTGTCAGAAGGTTGCGTAATATGCTATGTTTATAAACGCACTTCTATCCATGTCTTGTATTCATTACTTTTTCCAGCAACGTATCCTGCATCTCAGCTCCTTGCACGACGACTCGTTGATTCAGTGATGCTTCAGCACATTTTTCGATGGGTGTAACCTCTAGATGAGGCTGCCAGTAGTGGCGCCGTCTTGTCGTTGATATCATAGGACCGTTTACATAGGACGTTTCATGTAGCCCTCCGAAGCTTTGGGTCGAAGACGACGGTTCGCATACCGGGGCAGGCGCCGGATTCAGGCCTAGCCTTCAATTTCTCCGACAGAGGTTCACGAGGACAGATACAAACAGAGTACTGCAGTTCTTGATATGTGGCCTAACTTCGTATAATTTTCATAGCTCCGTCCAGCGGGCATCTTCACCTTAGGGCGTGGGGGGATATCTGGCTGGCAACAGGTTCAACGCCTGGGAGGGAAGGGAAGTACAGGAACCGGATTCAATATGAAGATCACGAAGCATTCCCATGGTGTTGCCGTGTAGATCGCGCTAGCGTTTTTGTTCATAGGGTTATTATATAGCATCGAGCAGCGAATGATAGATTAAACCGTCTGTTACGAAGGCGGAAAGTCCCCAACATCTACAAAGTATTAAGGGACCACCCCGAAATTTACTGCGTTCTGATTGTCCCCATTGATAGCACCTGATAATCTATTGCTTATTTATTGGAAGAGTCGAAGACCTGGCCCCAAGATAGAGTTTGCACTGGCCAAAGCTTAGGTCCCCATCTGTTCACATCATTCTATTAGGGTTGTATCCGCTGAGAAAGATCCAACTACATGGACCTTTAGCTCGAAAGTGGACGGGGAACAGACGGGCATCTCAGGCTGTCAAGATCTAGCCCCTGCACTATTCCGTCTTCTTGCGACGGGGAAGTGTGGCATGAAACATCGCGAGATATCAATACATAAGAACCAAAAAGAAACAAAACGATCGTTGAGCGCCTAAACGGTATAACAGCTACTTTCCCCCCCTCTTTCTCTGCGCGCCGGACACATCCGTTCATGTACCTTTAGCACAATAAAAATACGCAGGGACGGAAAACCAATTGCCATGTTACCTGAGCACATTTTGTGATGGATAGAAGTATGAGAGAAGCCGACATAAGTTGATGGCGACCGGACCCATTGGTTTTCAAATCGGTTCTGTGAGAAAGACTGATACAGTGGGATATATTGAATATCCTGTATAGGATTACGGAGTACAGTGTTTATTGGAGTAATTAGCGGGACGGAATTATGACGACACAAATATCAGGAACATATTACAGACCCAGCGGCGTTAGAGTAGAGGACGTGAATGGATTTTTGACAGACTGAATGGAGCCTCCCAAATAGAAGGCTCAAAGCCCGTGGACACGGGCTTCATTCGACCAACAAAATTGTGCGTGGAAGTTACTGAACTAAACCGTATCAGAACCCCATATCACAACACGAGAACAGGAACCTTTACATTTTCCTCTCAGGATGGTGTCACCGAGATTGGAAACCTAAAAATGAGGTAAGATGTACATACATGAACCGGGAAACGGAAGGTACCGCACCGATATCCGCTTAAGGGTGATCAAGCCGTCGGCTAGGCGTATGCGCCCAATGAAATTGAAATCACCCCAGGCAGCCGCATGACGTGGTTCAGTCTATGATAATGTCCGTTCCCCACATTTTGATCGAAGTGTGGTAGTACTCACTTTACCTGTCACGATAACGTCGACTATCTTCCTTTGGGGCGCGCAACTTGCATCGTACGTTTGGTAAAAGGTCTTGAATGTTTCCGACGTGTCAAACGCCATGATCCCGTTCTGTGAGAAACACTAAAATGAGGCAAATGTAGAAATTCCCACCAGCACCAAGGTTACTCACCACGGTCTCCGTCCATTTAAATCCGCTTGGAAGCCACGCATTCATGTTCCCGTTCTCAGAAGCGTCTTTGGGGATGACTTGATCAATGTTATAGCAAACGTGCTCCTGCAAGGTTACATAGAAAGGTCGTCGACTGACTGCCTCAAGCTCCAAAGGGGATGGTGGGCTAGCCGAGGATTTCCATCTGTCGTATTGCGATCGATCAGGGATCTACATTTTTTTAACAATCGGAGCGCAGGAAGGATAGACATGAACTCATACCAAGCAGGAACCGTTGTACCTCCCCGTCAACGTACCGGGTAGGTAAGGCGGCGCAATGCCGCGAACAGCTACGCAAAATCGAAGTGATTCCAGACCACAGCAATAAGTGCGATGATCTGCAAAGTATTCCAAATCCTCCCGGGTCGGACCCGACAAGCCGAGGCTGTTGGCCTCAAGACGAGTTCGCGGCAACTGGTCGGGGATTACGAGCCTATCAAAGTTCTGTCTGGCGAAGTACGCAAGGGTCGCTAGCAGAGTTATCGGAGGCAGTTGGATCTTCTGGAATTTATCCCCGAAGTATCTCGCTTCTAACAAGCGGAGACCAGGAGGACCATAAGCTCCGCAAGACCAGTGGCTGCGAATGGAACGGGGGGCTGGCGCAGATGCCCACTTCTCTGGAAGGAAAAGCTGTTCTGGAACTGTCGAAATAGAGTACTGAGGAATAACAAATCATTTAAGGGGTTATTTAACAGTCGATTAGGACGTACACGATATGGAGCAAACACTAAGGGTCGAAGACAATTCATCAACGTTCGTCGCGTAGCGGGGTTTTCACCGTCAATCATGACTATGAAGATAGGGGATGTGAGTAATTGATGACACAGAGCGTCGGATAAAGTTGCTCACATCGAGAAGTTGAGACCCACAGCAACAGTACGGCCAAACAGTTTGCTTCATTTTCAATCGGCCAGCCGTCATTGTCCCCGGAAGCATCATAAAGTCGGGAAACGATAAACGATATCAGAAACTCAGATACACCAGCTTGCAACAGGAGCTTGATGTTTTTCTGGCCTACGGCGGAGTAGCCGAACATGGAGAGCGCACACCAGAGCACGTCCAACACGTTTTCGCTATCAACCTGACCCTGGTGGAGTGTTCGAAGAGTAATGTATCTGCGAACCATTTCGCATTTGGCATGCTGTCGAAAAGTGGTCTCATCGACAACTGAAGGAGGTGGAACGTCGAAATGTGTCACGAAAAGCTGCGAGTAAGTTTCTGGTGCGCTGAGGATGGAGTATGTGTAACGGCACGTGAGTAACAGAGGTTGGAAAATAGAAGGAATTCCGAGAGGCGCATCAGCCAAGAAGATGATTTTTCGTATAAGTTCAGGGGGAATATCGAGGAGAGAGGACGCCATGACCAGACCAGCACCAGAGCGCGCTCATATTTGTAGTTTCCGAATAAAAGAGCATTGCGGCTAACGGTCGTAAAAGGGATCACACAAAGGATGCAGTTTCACACGCGCCTTACACTAGAAATCGAAGCCAGGTAAAGAGATCATGATGATTGTAAGTCATTTCGCTCCAACTGCGTAAGGAAAGCTAGGGTCATAAAGTAGCCAATCAACGGGACCTGAGAGACGTCGAGGATCTCAATTAAGTCCTAATCTAGGGCAATTGAAAGGTAAAGCACTTCAAGGGGATTCGGAGGAATTTGCGAACAAAGATATAAAACGAAGGGCCGTGAAGCATCGCGTGATGCCCGAACAAAAGCGCTATCGATCCAGTGGCCAGTGAATAATGCTGATAAATGAGACGAGATTTGAAACAGTTGCTCACACCCAGAATCCAATCCTTGGATAACTCTGGGCCGGCCATCAAAATAGGTACGGCCATTGTTCTTGGATGCCCATAATCGAACAAGGCAAAGGAAGAAACGTAGTGAAATTCCTCCCCGCTTTCGCTACTTCCCGGTTGCAAATACATCATTGAGCAGTAACCGATTACATCCTCTGTAGATCTCTGTAAGGAACATTCGGAAGATTGACAAATATATCCCTAGGGCTGATGTCAGTACAACTGCGTACGGGCGGGGAAAATTCATAAAGGCTCTCAACATGCCCTGGTCTGCGCAATATATTAATAGAATGCCCTGACGGAGCATCGAACGTTTAAAATTAGCGATCTTATGTCCACAAAGGATTTGGCCTTAGTTCTTGGTTCTGTAATCAAAAAAACTGGAAACACTCACCCACTTCTTCGGGTCCTGCCTGTTTTTTTACCCCTTCCAGGGGTTGAACTGAGGCGAGAACCAGTAAAGGGAGGTCCAAGTCCGAGCATGGTTTATCGTTGCCGCGTACTTTGAGAGATGGCTTGGGACGATTTCAAGATCCATGACAACGTAAAGGGCACTAAGGGATACCCCTGAGCACACAAATCTAAGCAGGGCGAGAAGCTAATACGATCGCAGCCCGTTTTTGATGTCAGTACTAACGCTGGTGGCCGATTAAACGGCCGATACGTGATTTACGATGGCCCTGTTGGAGTCTATGTGTATAAACGCGAAACGCGGCTGTAGTGGAATCGCCAATGAACCCAAAAAAACCGAGATACCGTTCGCGGGAAACACGCGTTCGGCCTGAAAAAGAGACGGCTTTGGAGTTCGGTACCACTCGGGTATGCCGCACATTGCGCGACATCATAAAACCCTTTGGAGATGTGTGGTTACGGAAAGCAGATAGCTGATACATGAAAAAGACTGGTATTTCTCCCGGTCGCCAGGTAGCGTTACAGCACATAGACCTACGAGCGACACTCGTGATGTCTTGTTAGTGACCATGAGAACGGAACATTGGTTACTGGCTCTGGGAGAGGGGAGGTCTCGAATGTCGCACTCACACGATCTTCGCAAACGAAGCAGGCGCCCCGCTGTATTCGGAGGCGGGGATTACAGAGTTCATGAGCATGAGACAGTAGATTGGTAGCAGCACCATCCGGCAACTAGATGGCTGAGTAAAGAGACCATGAGACTCCTAAGAGCTGACGGAGATTAAAGAGGAGTGGCCGAGGAAAAAAGGATTCGAGACCACGCGATGCAGCGAGTCTGCCTCCATTTGTGGCCTATAGATAAACGGACTCTCTAGAAGTACTGATTACAGCTGGAGAGCCGGCAAAGGGTAATCCAGAAATATGTTAAGTCTGCGGAAACTTACTACCGTAAATCAAAGTCAATTCGTGTGTAACCGAACAGCACTTGTCGGAGCGGAATTGTGAGAGTTAAACGGGAGTTGAAGACGGAGTCGCGTAAACGCTGCAGCGTGTTTGCCTTGTGTGTGTATGCTTGGCAGCGTCATCTCCACGTGCATGGCCCATGGCCCGAATTTTCTTCCCATCGATGGCAGAGATATTCTTGACATCCACCACCACCACCACCACTCAATCGTTCTTCTGCAGCACCATGTCCATCGATCTCAGTAAGCTTGAGGCTCACTTGGCCACCAGGTCGTACGTTGAAGGGTAAGAAACCGAATCCATATCGATATTTTCATGATGAGCTATCGCCATGGTCCGTGTTTCCAAGAGCGACTAGACATCGCTGCTCCAACCTGCAGATAACTCATTCCTGGATCTCTGAACCTCATTCAAGTCTATCGTTATCCTAGAGATCGGTGCTGAAACGCCTTTTCTTTGACAGATACACTCCTTCTCAGGCCGATGTTCATGTTTACAAGGCCATTTCCTCCCTGCCCGGCGACTCCTACCCAAACGTAACCAGGTGGTACACACACATCAAGTCCTATGCCGCGGAGCATGGTTCTCTCCCCGGATCCAGCACTGCGGGAGAGGCATTCTTCACTTCCGCAGCCGCTCCAGCCGCTGAGGATGATGATGAGGTTGATCTCTTCGGTGACGATGACGAGGAAGAAGATGCGGAAGCAGAGCGTATCAAGGCGGAGCGTGTCGCCGCGTATAACGCCAAGAAGGCCAACAAACCTAAGACTATCGCTAAGGTTAGCTCTCCTTTTGCCATATAATGATGTTGATAATTCATATAACGTATTAACGTATTAAGTCTGTCGTCACTATGGACGTCAAGCCTTGGGATGACGAGACGGATATGAAGGCTCTTGAAGACTCCGTTCGCTCCATCGAGCAAGACGGCCTTGTCTGGGGCGCTAGCAAACTCGTTCCGATCGGTTACGGTATGTCGCCTCGCCTCCTTTGATATGTCCCCCATCTTGATCAATTTCCTACAGGCATCAAAAAATTGCAGGTCTGCTTCTTATCTTCTTATCTTTTTCGCGTCTCACATTTTCATGTTTGATTAGATCACTCTTGTCGTCGGTCAGTGTCTCTCTTTTCATTCCGATCATTTTATGCTCAATTAGTTACAGAGGACGAAAAGGTCTCTACTGACGAGCTCCAGGAAAAGGTTCAAGAATTCGAAGACTACGTCCAGAGCACTGACGTTGCCGCCATGCAGAGTACGTCTATGTCGCCCCTCTTTGGAACTTTTTCTGACATGGTTTATCCTAGAATTGTAAATAGGACATCGACGTGAGAATGTGTGCAATAGAGCATTACAAAATTGTGTTTTTAGTCATCCTGCAATAAGATAAGCAAAAGTTACCTGTACTATTGTCCCTGTCCTTTCAAGCGTTGAGTGCAATGTACGGAATCATCTGTTTGTCCAGGTACCGAAAGCTGATAATGCATTCATTTCGGACTATTGTCTTTTTTCTTGGCCAAGGGCCAGATGCCGGAGGCGAGCTTCCGGCGACCGGAAATGAATTCTCATTCTCAAGAGATCCCGAGCTAATGCAGTCAGCTCCTGGATAGGATCTGATGTCGTACTGGTTGCAGTCGTGGACATTAAACAGCGCTTCCATCCCCCGTGATCAACCTTGTTACTGTTGACTGGTACAACCGGTAATAACGTGATGGCCCCGTCCAATATCGACTGGATGCGATCTTATTCCTGAAACATCTACATTTTCTCAACTTGGAATATATCGCGGTTACACACACTGCTCCCTGACGCGTGGGTCCATTGAATGACGCGGTCTGTCACTGGCGCAACCCTTATCCCCGTAAAGCGTTAGAAATCACCCGTGGCGCATCCGTCTTCGGTAACTCTATTATGCAGGTATCCGTCGTGACGAGACCATATCGTACACGTTCTCCTGCCTCTGCTCACAACGTGTCCGGCTGTACTAAAAGCCTTGTAGAAACTTTCAATAAAGCCCTTTGCGACCGGAAACCAGTATGACATGCCCCAAGTGTTTGAGCAAGGGGGATTGATGCCGAACCTGCTACACAGACTCTTCAGCACGCACGCTAGGAACCCCGGATTACCTACTGATTCCATGAACTTGGTGCTGCCCGCTCAACTGATCCAATTTCCAAATGTATGTCTGCGGTGCGGTGATCAATAAACGATCTGTATTTTTTTGGACTCACTGGCTCTCGCAATTTCCGTTTTGACGCTGGTCCTCTACTATAAATGAAGGCGCGTCCAGGTATGCAGACCAGTTATTCACGATGGCCCCCTCCTTTGAGACCCTCCCCCGCGACGTCCTGGAGCATGTCGCCCTCCTCACTACTTCCTCATTATCCCTTTCATCTTTATCCAACATCCTTTACCTCCTTCTCACCAGCCGAGCCATACATCACCAACTCTGCATTCGCTGCAATCCGCACCTCTATGCTCGAATTTTCCGCGCTATCTTTGACGTTCCATTCCACCGTTCATGCATCCCTCCCGACTCTGCCGTGGCTGCGGAACTGTCGCAGCGATTCCGTTTAATACGGCGGATCCAACGTAGCGACTACTCCACCAAGGCCTTAAGGCAGGATTTATGGACTGCATATGGGATGGTTCTAGAAAACGAAGGCTTGAATGTGTCTCATCTTAGAGGCGTTGGCTTTCTCGGGTTCCTTGACGGGCTTGTTCGCAAGTCAATAACGGAAGGCACTGCGAACAATGATGCCATCGAATGCATGGGTCTAGCCATCTGGCTGCTTGCTTTGACGATAACGAGACGTGGGCAGCTATCTACTATACCGAATCTACCGATGAAAGCTAACGTGCTTCTCGCAGGTGACATTAATAGCAGATCCGAAGCCTCGCGAGATGAGCTACTACTTCTCCTTCGGCCCTTCGTACTATCTATGGATAAGGTATCTTGTAATTCACTTCGCCCTGGTTGATGTTCTCACACCATACCTTTTGGGTAGACATCTCGAGCAAATGCCATCAACCACCCAAGAAATACTTCCTCGCACGTGTCAACTCAAAAGAACTCCTTCGATAAGGGGGATATAATTTACTATTCCCACAAGCAGACGCCTGAACCTTCATGCCCAAACCTCTCCTCAGCGGTGATTATCCTGACTTTTGCTCTCAAGCAAGGGGATGGCCCGCGATGTATACCGCCTGACATCCCGGTGAATAGGGCCGCAGCAACAGCGATGCAGTGGACGGGCCCTACACAGGAGGACTACTACGCCGTAGCCAGCTACAAAACACCACTCTTCGCAGACGTTCGCCAGACTTCTATAGCCATAAGGGAGGAGTCCAGGACTACCGCCGCTCTGGATACACTGGCGCACGAATATGGCTATGGAGCCTTTCAGGACGATCCCTGCTTGCATCAGCTCGGTGCGTCGGCCTCCGACACCGTATATCGATACATTCACCAAAGTCTTCCTGGCGTGTGGGAGGGGATGTACTTGGTGAGCTCAGACTTTTTGATTCTTGTGGTATTGTATTCACGTGAGGCAGGTTTCACCGCTTGAGACCAGCTCTTCTTCAACGCTGCCTGATGACACGGATGTGGACTTCATTTGCCAATCGCCTATGCAATGCGCTGTGTCTGTTCACTTTTGTTATAGCCCAAACGTCCCTGTGTCTTCTGAGCACATGGGGGAAGATCCACTCCACTGGAACGTCGACCCACTCAGTCTTTTCCAGTCACCATCTTTCTCAAAAGTAAGTAGGGCGCAGCAAATGATTAATTCACCTGTTACTGATGAATGCTGCTTCCAGAACGGCCGGAAGACTAACGGTCGAAGGGAATATTGCTATGATACGGACTTACCTAGCGGGCTGAATGCTCCATACGACGCATGGCGCGACCCTGGCCAAGCTTTAGACTGTATTATCACGGGAAAGGTTCGCACATATCTCGCGCTGTTGGTTCTTCAATTCATTCAATTGTATACAGACGCTTGAGGGCCACGACGAGGCTTGGGGTGCATACAAATTCTATGGACGCGTTTACAGAGATGGTAGCATCGTCATGAAGCGGGTGCCGGTGGGTCCAGGTTCTCAACGATCTCGAAAGCTAGACTGATCCCTGTCTTTCGTCCTTTTGTTGTAGAAGAACAGCTGGGAGACGGGCCTGGGTACATGGATATTCGAAGGGCATCTCGGGTATGGTGCTTCTTGGGTGGGGAAATGGCGATCAAGTGTTGCGCCAGGGGATGTAGGACCGCAGGGTATATTCAGCATGAGAAAACGCGGTCCGGAGAAGACTTGACCACCAACGTTGAGTGATCGACAGACTAGAAGAATTTTCTGGATCCATGGCCTCGAGCATCATCATCTGTTGTTCTGGTTTGACATATTTTACAGTACTAAACCACGTTAATGTCGGGTTATTGATATATTTAGATGTTTCCGAATCATTGATGTTCGGCAAGCTTCCTTGAGTTTGTGGACGTGTGATCTCCAATCAATACACGTAACATAAGCGAGAGATTTTCCTGAGTGTACGCGCCAAGGGAATTAGAGTGAATGAGACTGTTCCCCGTCGTACATAACCAGATGGATCTAATCAATCAGACTTACGACACGATGTTTAGAGCCGTCACGAACGGCATTGTTGAGCAAGCAAACAACTGAGTACTAGCTACACATCAGGGCGACGAAAAAGAGCCAAGCACTACTACAATTTGACGTCAATGTTTCCAGTCCTATAATTTACAAGTTTACAATTGTAATACCTCGAAAGCTTCCAAATTGTTAGGATAAGTATGGGTACTATATCAAGAAGCGGGAAGCTCCGCGGACAACACCGTGTTTCGCGGCAGAATACAAGCGGAAATAAGTTAGAAAGCGATACCAGAAGTCTCGGGGTTCGTTTATCAAGAATATAGCTTCGCAATCGACGACATTTCATTCGAAGTCACTGAAGGACGGAACGCCGCTCAATCAAACGATCTCATTACCTCATTTCTCCTAACATCTCCGGCGAAATTACTTGGGATGCCTTCCTTCCAATTGGGAACTTCAAAGGAAGATGTATGACACCATGGCTTGAGAGAAAGCTCCTTTTCAACCACGAGGGCAAAATGCTCTGACCAGCCTCTACGTGGAAAGGTCGCCGTCGTGGTTTCAACGAGTTTAGGATGAATGAGGTTTGCACGGCTAGAAGAATATCACTATGGTAAGTGTGGTGCTGAGATAACGATATGAATTCACACACAGGCCCACGTTGTCTACGGGGAGCAAGGCGACGTGTGAGGTGAAAAAGGCGTTCGGGAAGAGAGATTGGACTTACCGAGAATAGTTGAAAGTTGCAGAACTTGCCCGATCATAGTGATATTGCCACTGCCCAGAATAACGGGATTCAAATGGGACCGCAGGAGACATGCCACGGGGATGACGAGACTTACCCTTTGACAAAGATGTCCTGGTGCCGCACGACGGCATCACAGACACTGTCTGCCTGGTCTTCAGCGCCTCCAAGTTGCAAGATAAGATCACGGGCAACAATGGCGCCCTTGAATTCAAAAGACAGCTTCGTGGTGGAGAGAAACCGGTCGGCAGTGCCGATATCATGAAGAAGGCATGCAAGATAATACGTTTCAAGGTCATAAGACCATGCAGGGAAATGGGTGCGAGTCAGGGCAACACCTAGACGCGGTTTGAGGAGGACTTTTTGTTAAAAGTACCGACCGCACATACCATAAACGTAGACTCTGTTGCTGTGGTTAAAAGTCTGTTCGTCTAGATGTTCCTAGAGAGGAAAAAATATGATAACTACATGATAAGAAAGATGAAGTAAATCTTACGCTGACGAAGTCTTTTACTTTCTGAACTAACGGACTATCTGGAAGGGGGAAATCGTTTATGACGAAGAGATCCTGCTTAGGATTGTCACCGCTGGCTGTAGGGTGGTCCCGGAAGAGGACGTCTGGATCCCTGGGAACGGGCTGAAACCCATAGAAAGCAATACTAGGGTCTGACATCGTGGTGAGAGAAAGGATGCGTGTTTCTTCTTTACGGGACTTAATAAACGCCAGACTTCCAACGCGATATGATGTAACATCATGCCAGTCACATCTGCTGAGTCAGAGTTATCCTGATTCACACGCCACAATTCATATTGTCTCTTGTTTACATGTTTTCGATGGAAGGATCCGCCTGTCAAGAAACGCCTCAGCAACGTCCATCGCCCATCACCGTCGTCGTCGTCGACACCGTCCGCTCCTTCAATTTCCTGATCTCTCTCTCTCTCTCCACCACCATGATATCCTCGCTAGCAGTCCTTTCAGTGCTCACGACCGCGGTCTTTGCCCAGTCTTCTTCAGTGAGTCCCTATACGTTTCAGGATCAGGCTTTTTTCTGATTCTTGTCAGTCGTCGGCGGCCTCTGCATCGTCAACGAGCAACCCATTAATTCCATCGGGTATCAGCACCAATTGCAAGAATTTTCTTGAATCTTTGGACAGTGATTCCTCCCTGGCAACATGCACGAAGGCCCTAGCCACTGCGACGTCCGCTTACGCCCCAGGCAATTCATCATCGACCTCCTCGTCCTCCGAAATCACCAAAGTTCTCGACAATGTCTCCTCCAATTCATGCGAAGTGACCATCATGACCTCGATCATTGCGAATTTTGGATCGGCCTGCCAGACCGAGCTTGTCACAACTCCCGTCAAGGATGTCGTCCTGTTGTACGATACCGTCTATATGATGAATCCTTGGCTCGACGTGCTTGTCACCAAGGATGACAGTGGAACATATTGTGTCCTAGAGTCCTACAACGCGGCTACCAACAGTACCTCCAGCTCGGCGTCGGCAAGTGGCTACAGCAATGCTGCTGCTGTTGGAACTACCAGTCTCCAAGAAGTACAAGATACCCTCGTTGTGAATTTAGATTCCAGCAGCACGCTGTCTCGGCGAGCACAAACCGTCATTGCCACCCCCAATGCGACGACTTGGACTACGAACGGCATTCCATTCCTCTTCTTCACCGACACGCTATCTTCCACTACCCTCTGCACCACCTGTTCGCGTAACGTTATGACCACCTGGATTTCATGGGAATCCAAGGTGCCGTATGCCCCCGCTGCCCAAGAGAGCGCCCTCTTAAGTGGCTTGAACAGCCTTTATTCAGCCATTCAGACTAAATGTGGCAAATCGTTCCTTAGCGGTGCTGTCACAGCTGCAGGCGGCCTTGGTACCAGTGGTGCTGCTCGTATGGCGGCCAGCGGAAAGGGTTTGGCCAGCTTCGCTGCAGGGCTGGTGGGTTTGGCGGTTGCATCTGTCTTTCTTTGAGGGGCAAGAGGAAGAGAACGAGGGGGGATCGTTGCTGGTTCTCATCGGACTTTCTCCGATCTGTTTCTCTTTTCCCCTCATACGATTACCATCATCTTTCCTAGCATTGCTTGACTGCCTTGTATACCCATTCCGTAGGAACGTCAAGTATCATTTGATTTGCCATTTGGGTACCACGGGTCTTGGATTATCGTTTCTTCACGGTTATCGGTGATTTATATTTTTCTAGCTTCCATACCGTGACCCATTTATATCCATTCCATATATAGCCTCCAGCACACGAACTAATTATTCTTCATTTGTTGTAAGCTATACGGCCTCGTTTGTTGAAAGCTAGCTCCTCTACATCTTGCTACATAAGGTTTTACAGACTACCATTCTGTATAAAAAGAATCTACCGTGGATCGGAATTGATTGATGCCAAGGCAAGTCTCATGCTAGAGCGTGAGAGGGCACAGCCATAGCGACGCGACAAGACGGCTTGTACGTGCTTCTCTTCTCTTGACAACTCTTCCGCCGTACTGAATAAGCTGTTCCAGGCTTCTTTTTTCGTCCCGTGAGAAATTTGGGTGGATTAAACGTTTTGCATATTCTAGGTAAGACAAGCTATTCCCCAATCTCCATCTCTGACTTTCTCATGAAGGGGACCCGAGGCCGCCCCCCGTCAGACCGGGTATCTCTTTCTTAGAATTTGATGCGGCGCAATGTCCTATAAAATCTCAAGGCGATGATATATCAGACGTAATATTTCTTAGAAACGATGAGTATGTTTAAGGTCACAATTTTCCAATGCGTATTGCTGAACGTAAAGGTTTAATTAGTACGAATGGCATTGAGAAATGACCGACACACATTAATTTTCCTGATTTTTGTCGATAGGAGTTTGCTAGCGCGGCCGGAACACCGACAACAACGACGGAATAATAAACAGAGTAATGTATCCCGCGTTTCTTTCAAAAAAAACCGCCATATAATTCGCAACACAGCCGGATGCTACGTATTTTACCTCCGCATCATGTCCGAGTCTTGTCATGGCGACTTGGTTGTAGACCAGGATTCTGGGGAAGGTTTCATCCTCATCACTACCAGCTTGAGTTCGACAGCACAGTCGGTGCATGTATTAGCCTTTGACGCCTGTACGCCATACGAGAGCTCGCCGATTCGGAGGACGCGAATTTAACAAACCATCGATAAAGTCGAGGAGTTAGCCGAACGTACGTGGAAGGTCCCCGCGGAGCCCATAACTCGTAAACCGACTTACAGAGAACGGTAAAGCATCAAGCTAGGTCTGTGGCCGGTTCCGCCTTGCTGACAAGTCACACCTAGACTCTATGAAGAGGCGGAGTTGGAGCCAGAGACGCGGGAGCACCAGGACGCTCTGGCAGCTGTGAGAACCGTACGACTCTGAGGGTCTATCGACACTTGTGCAGTGCCATGTGTGGGCTACCGTATAATAATGACTTGAAGGAGGAACAGAAGACGTTTTACTGCGCTCCAAAACGAACGTTCTACTTTCTACGACTCCGTGCTCCGAGGACATGTCGTACCGGGTAGGTACTGGTCCGTTGATCAGGCCAAGTATGTGGTAAATGATATTAATATCCGCAGACTCTCCCCAGCAGGCCCCTGCCGGGTTTAGCCAGGGTGCTAAGCCCACGAGAGAAGGCTTTGACTGAAGCAAACTACAGTCGAACGAGGAAATGGCTGACAATGAATCCCAAGCAGCTACCGTTGCGCAGAGTGCGGCATGTTACTGAGGGGATGAAATAATATTATGCAGACGGCCATTGAACTGGGGTACGATTCAAATTTGTGTAAGCTTACTCGTGTTGATCGACTAGTTCTAGATGCCAACGGTATTCAACTGGAGTTATTCTCAAGTATTACTTGAAACTCTATGTCTTATTGGTCCTATAGAGTAGGTGATACGAGTAATCTGGGCAACCTAAAATCGGGAGTGAAAGATTCGATGTCACACGCACGACTCATAGCTCCTCAAGTTCAGGATTGAAGTCTGCACTATTCCTGCCGTGTAAGAATACATACCCAATTTATCTTTCACGTCTACTGAGACTCGAATTAGCACACTCCATAAGGAAATATATTATTTGGACCCTATCGTGCAGGGACTGAAGTACAGTGACTGATCGTACGCGTGCCCCACTGCGGCATGCCTCACAAAACCAATTTAATATCCTACAGGCGCCGTGAAAGAATCCATGGAGCGAGTGGAGCGGGCGGTGTATACTGCACCGAAAGGTGAACTGCGGCCCGCTTCTCAAGATCACTGTCAAGGATTGTTCCCGAATCCCGTTCAACACGCATTCTCAGATGAAAGAAGCACATCAACTCTAGCCTCGACCAACCCAATCGGCGAAAACGGACCTGAAAAAGGCTTGGGAAGCCTTCGAGGATTAATATTCGCACAGTTCCTGAGACGATCGTGTAGTCTCCGGTAATATGATAGAAACTGTAAGCGCCTAGATGCAATACCCCCGAGATGAACATGACTGATGGTAAATCATATTAATAGAGCCCAGCTGGTCAAGATACGAGATAGCAGGGCGTTACATGGCGGCGATAAGGCCTATACTTACCTATTTGCCGCCTCAGATTGGGTCATGTGGATAACATGCCTAGTACACGCCTTCATATGAGATGAGGGTAATTGTATAGATACCGGGTTAACCTTTCTCTAGTTGTGCGCCGCAGCCATTTAGCACCGCCACTCGTCAACCCCGATCAGAACTCCACTGCCGCCGGTAGCGAAAGCGCAAATCCTTTTTGGCTTTCAATTGCGCGGGATTCCGTTGAACACGCGGGGTCGCCTCTCTTCGGCTGGTTCTCGTGGAAACGATTCTATTACTTTAACCGGATGCACGAAACAAGACGAAATAACCATTGAATCGTCGTTTCATACAAATCAAATCCGTGATTTTCTCGTTGCTAGGACAGAGGATGGATTCGCTAACGGTCTTTTTAGTATTTGTGTTATGTCGGCTCTCACTGGAGGAGTTCCTAACAAAGCGCCGCGGCACGCTGAGCTTCTGAAGTCAATCGCGACACTGGATTACGTGCCACCCGTACTAGAGCAGCAGAAGTAGCACCTTTCGGATCTACAATCGCAGGTGAAGAGGTTGACTCAGACCCTCGTAGAGGTATAGCGAACAACGAAGAAGGAGCGCCATGAGTTTCTAGATTTAAAAGACTCTACAGGGAGGAAAATGTGGTCAAAGGTGACCGGAAAAAAGGATGAATTTCAGGCGAGGATCAATAAGGAGGAGAGGTACTATTTTTTTAAATTGAATTCCAGTTTTGAATCGTCGGGCTGATAAAGAGTAGGGAGTACGTCGAAGCGTTGGAGAAAGAAATAGTAGAGAAGAGAAATGTCGAGATGCTTGAGCAAATGATTGCCGAAGCCTTAACAGTGGTATGTTGGATACGCGATGCTTATCATTGACGCGTAAAGATCTGACATTGCCCCACAGAAAGCTGAATTGTCGGAGAATTTGGAGAAATATACGGCAATGAAAAAGGAGTTGCAGGATATGTATAGCTCGTTATTTGATGGACGTGCGGAAGGTGAGTGTACATTGTTCTTTGCATCCGGGGGGCTTAGCGGCGAATGCAGAATTCCCACACGACGATGAATTGGAACAGCAGTTAGCTATGGCCGAATCCACACATGCGCGATTACTGGCGCAACTGAATTCAGATTCACAGGTAGTCAAGTTACTACGTCAGGCAGAAAGCAAAATGCAGGCTGCGCAGACGGCCATGAAGGAGGCGGTGGAAATGTCTTTTTATGGTTTGTCTTCATACCGCGCAGTTTATGAATTTTCTTCCTCTGATTAGACATTAGTTCCAACAGCTAGTGAGTTGATCCTTTCGAGTGGAAATCAGCTATCCTTATGCAACTAGCTCCGTCGAAGTGATGGAACAGTCAGCACTAGGACAGGCCGAGTTTCGCTCGTCCCAAGCAAAGGTATTAATTGAACAGGCGCGGAATATCTCGCCCCTGATACAGCCCATGCCCAAATTCGAGATACCTACTGCGTACGTTGGTTGCTTTTCTTTATAGCCAGACTGTTTACGAACTGGCCTTTTATGCTAGCTCTTTCTGGGACGACGTGTTCTTTGACAATGCAATGTCTGATATAAATAGGCACCGTACGTATTGCTGGAGATGCTGTGAGCGAATATTGCTTTAATGTATATTATTCAGGCGAAACGAAGGCGGCAGCTGAAGCCCTGGATAAGGCCTATAAGCACCTCAAAGACGAGCTCAGGGCCGCTACTTCTCAGGCGGAGATGGGCGGGGCTGACCTGGCTGAAGCTGCTGCAGTTTTGGCTGAAAGTCGTACTAGTCTTGACGCATTTAGGAGGGGAATTTTTGAGAAGATAACAGAGAAAGGGGATCTGCCAGCTTACGGTGAATGCCATTGGAAGAGCAGTATGCCGTCATCTCCCATTTCTAAGGAAGGTACACTGATCACCTGAACGATAGACAATCCATTCGCTGCCGCGCTGTTGCGATCATGATGCGCGCGTCGGTCGGCTTCTCAACTTTCAGGAATGTATATATATGATATTTCGTACAAGGTCTGGAAAGAAGGGGAAAAAAGAAAACGAAAGCTTTAGTTGCGTACAGTGCCTGGTGAATGATATGGTTAAATGATAACGGCAACATGTGCTATTCACGCAGCCTCATATTTGGAGAATAAGAACAAGCAGTCCTATCTCCACCGCAGTGACGACACCAGAGACCGCGAGTACTATCCATCCTGCCGTAATGAACGGGCGTCCAAAGACACGAGTGTTCTCCTGCCCAACGGTTTGTATGGGGACCTTCGACGGAGCATTAAAGTTTTCAGCATTGACACGAGTGTGTACGCTATCCCCATCCGCCTCCGTCTCTGGCGATTCTGTTTGGGGTTCGGGTTCGGGTTCCTGAGGGTCTGCAAAGTCATGCTGTGAATGACGGGACCGCAGAAAGGCGATAATGAAGAGGAGGCATCCCAGGATGGCGAAAAGAAGTCCAACTTTTGATTGTCAGAAGAATTGTCTGAAAAGGAGGGGGGAAGGGGGGACAACGTACCTTTGTAGAATCGATGGTCGAATAGACGGAGAATGGTTAGGGCATACCCAAGGTTACCCATTGCGGATCGACTATACGCCCCGTGAAAAGTTCTTTGGCGAGCTCTGAGCTCGACTAGTTCGCTCATATCGGTTGTGTGAAAGGATCTGGCTCTATGGCCCCTGCAGAATTTGAATGCCACGGTCTGTCACAGATTTCGAGTTTAATACGACATAGTATCATACCTGTATCGACGGTGTGTGTCGCTCATTGTCGACAGAAATCAAAGAAAAAAATGCGACGAAAAAGATTCCTGGAAGAAGATGAAAAGGGATTCGGACCTTGGCGGTGGTGGTGACCAGAGGAACCGAATTATTTCAAATTCTGAAAACAGCAATCACCGCTTTGATCACATGATTTTGGTTTTTTTCTTTTCTGAACACCAAGTCGGCGGTGTCAAGACCTGGTTCCGGCTCGTTACGGCGCTGAAGAACGTCGTTTACTGTGGGAGCGCCTCACTAGTACAATAGTACGGTAATAACGACGCTGGAGCTTGGATATGCAGTGGTCTGTATTTGGCAGAAGCCAATGCTTCAAATTTCCTGTACGAAGGTACGCAAACTCGTGTCTCCTTGAAAGGCATACTTAACTTTGTTATGTTATTATAGAATAAATGGAATACTATGTAATAACGCTTTTACGCAGTTGTCGCCAGTAGGTTATCATCCGTCACGTCTGTTCCTACTGAACAAGATTTGACAGTCAAACAGCGTAAGCCGTCCGAGATATACGCTGCAAGGTTTCCTGGCTTCGCGCAGCTTCTCTAGTACGCCACGGCGGGCGTCTTCAGAATCCAAAATAGCAGACACTCCTGCTGGCTCTGCTACAGCGACATTACCCGATGCATTACCCCCCACCGCACCCTCTCCCGTCGTTATAGAACCCTCATCCATACCAACTGACATTGTCTCTGAAGCAGTCAATACTATCCCCCCTCTCCAGTTCGGCGATCTTGCCTCACTAGGTCTTGTCTCATGGTCACCTCCCTCATTCTTTCGTTTGATGTTCGAGGGTATCAACGTTACCACCGGCCTGCCCTGGTTCTGGACCATCATAATAGGTTCTATCATCGCCCGAGGGATTGTCATACCCTTCGCTATCAGTGCCCTCAGCCAGAACCAGCGCCTTGGGGTAATTTCACCCAAGTTGAAAAATCTGCAAGAGCAGATGACTGTGGCGAAGGAACGAAGGGACACTCTGATGCAGCAGAAGTCTGCATTGCAGATTAGCGCACTGATGTCGTCGGCTCAGGTTAAGCCGATGATGCTCATCCTGGGCCAAGCGGTCACGTTCGCTGTATCTATATCTGCGTTTGTGGGTGTGCAGAAGATGGTTGCTCTCCCTGTCCTTCAGCTCACCCAGAGTGGTTTTTTTCTCATTCCCGATTTGACAACGCCAATGCCCATACCAATGAACCTCTTGATAGGGTCTTTGATATTTCTGCAAGTTCGGGTAGGTCTCTGCGCTTGACGGTTAACGCTCTGAACCATGATTATGCCTTCAGAATCAAATGTCGGAATCGACGCTTGCAACGCCTGAGTATGTGGCCAGGATGAACGTTCTGAGTACGTGCTTCCCCGTGATGTCCACGTTAGCTATCTGGGGAACGGGAACGTCGTCTGTGAGTGCTCCGTATGACAATTATCTCTTGTGCAAACTCTTATTGGATCCTTGTAGGCGGTTGGCCTGTATCTTCTGGTAACGACAGCGATGCTGTCGCTTCAATCCCTTATACTTCGGCACCCTGCGATAAGACAGCGGTTGGGCATACAGGCCTTTAGAGATGTGACCTTCCCCACCCCTGCGCGCTTGCGGTCGGACTTCCATTCCGTCGCTAACGAATTGAAGGAATGGTACCTCAGCAAAACTAGGCCGCAGCCGTCGAAGCGCTCTCTGCGATCGAACGTAAAGCACAAGCGGTAGCACAAACCTTATTAATGTGAAATACATTGTTTCGTTCTGAATAGCCATACTAGTGACCATCAGTACCACCGGTTCATCTTGGAAGCTCCTCCACGTCGAAGTACAGAAGGTTGTCCGGAGAGGAAGTCCCGGGTTTCAATCTCCTCCATTAATCAAACAACTGGCTATTATTAGGCTTTGTTATTCGCGCCAAGCCATGCTACCACCCCGTTACACCTCACCTGCCTTTTGGTGCCTAGCCTCGGTAATCCTCCAGGTGTCCTCCTCTAGCACAATCGGCGGCGTTTGCATATTCCCGCACGCTGAGAAGCCTGAATATACATTCAACGACGACGAGTCATGCGTCTGGCACTATAATACTGCCGGGTGCACTAAGAAGTCGGTGTTCAGGGATGCCTTCATCCCATTTCATGTTCCTGTGTGCGTTTCCACTATGTGAAGGTAGGAAGGATGGTAGTCCTGTTGTTGTGCCTTCTGAATGGACATGTAACTCCGTACCTGTGGAGAGTTATCTGCGAAAGTCCATTAAACTCATAGGAGTAATACTTACTACAAAAATGACTAACTGCTACGGAGCCGAACCCGCCTCAGCTGGTGTGAAATTTAGGACAGGAGACAACCAACATCCAACAAATGGGGAGGCCCTTAGAGCGAACGCATGAGTATCAAAAAGGAGTCGACAAAACAGCTTGGCTCTATAAACACTGCAAATAGTTGTGACTATGTGAAAAGCACCATTAGATATATTGCGACGACGACTAATTACACATACAACTGCGTTTCGAGTCCTGAATGACCGCTCACCACGGAAGACAAAGACCAGATGCTGTCGAGAAAAGAGCGCATTGGACAAGATAGAACCTCGCCACCTCCCCCCCTACTCGATAATCCTGCCAAGATGTTCTATTTTGATGGCCGCAAACGTCAAGAAACTCTAGCCAGTTCCTGAATTTGTTCCCAGCAAACAATGCGGTTCAATTTTTTCCGCAATGAAAACGCGTAGGAATTCAGCTTTGGACTCTATGCAAATGGTCAGCGGGGTTACGGCAGGCGCCTTCCTCCGAGACATCGGGGGACCCGTGGAATGTCGAGGGACTCATGCCTCCGCCAGTCAGACGATATGACATTCATTTAGTTAACCCCGGAGGTTTTCCGGTTTTGAAGGGGACACTTGAGGCTGTTTTTTTTCTACCAAGCCAAACGGTATGGTGATGCATCGCCATTAGAGTACGTGCGACTAGAAAGGATCATTGTAGAATGAAAGGAGAGACGAAGAAATTCTGATGGTGGTGACAAGGATCCAGAAAAATATAGAATTCATCCCAGGTACTGAGGATATAAATGGGATGTAACAGATGATTACGGAGAGCAGGTAATGCTTCGAACGACTAAGAGGTGACACAACAGGTTGTCTTGAGACGACGCATTGCAGAGAAGGCCCGATGTTTGAAGTGAATTATGTATTTTCACCTCCGACGACACTTTGCGTAGCAACAGCACGGTGACACTACCAGCGCCTATGTACCTCACTCATCACATTCCCACCAGATCGAAGCTGAACATTCACCGTACACGTCACCCGGTTTGTCAGGCGCAATACCGGCAGTCGTCAATATCCCTCCATGTCCCAATTGCGGATGCCTCGATCTCCGGCTCAACACATCACCTCCAAATCCTGGCATTCTTCTCGCGCCACACTAAGACGTCTAAGACCTTGACCCTAGGATACCATACGCTGGTCAACACGATAACCTGGAGGAAGACTGGGAAATCTTCCTCCGGCTCGAGATAAAATGCGCAGGTGGGTCAAGGGCGTCACTGATTTCTTAAGAGGAAGGCTGGCTAACTTGAAGAACCAATTCATGCTGCGAGGCCCGAAGGTCTTCCCAGAAACGATCATAGTCACGCAAGGAACGCTGGAGATGTCGAGTAGTTCTTGATCGCGTAGGCTGAGCACTGATTAAAGGATAAATATGGGTAGACGGTACGTATGCGAAAGCACCTATTACCAGTTCAGATATAATTCAAAATGAGTCCCTGAAGGCCACCAGTAGTAGTCAAGATTCGTTGACCTTCTCGTCCGCGTCCCAGCTCGAAGTACTGGAGAGATAGCTTCCTTAGGCAGGCGAAGGAAGCGGGAACCAAGGTGGAAGACTCACAATATCTAACACCTTCAAGGATGGTCTCTCAGTATATACTGTCTTTCTCGCGTCTCGTCCCGCACGCGGACCATTGACCAAGGCGTGAGCACAGGCAAGTTGAAAAGGATACGCCGGAAGCTGTGCTTGTTCACTGTCATGCTGTCAAGAATGAGTGAGGTGTTGATCAGAGGCGGTTCCAGGTTTCCCCGGCTGCCTCATCTTGGGAGTGGGTGAAGCGTCTCTAATCTTGACGTTGAGATTGGCTACCTAGATCATCGTATCAATGAAGTCTTGCCAATGGATCATCAAGAGTGACCACACATTGTTTGTGATGTCGGTGCATACGATGCGTAGTTCTTGCTAGTATTGGATGAGACATAAATTGACGGCGGGATGCACGAAGAGACGTAGAAAAATACGTGTGGTTGTAGATGAGTTATATGTTGAAGATAACAATCGATTCAAAGTAATTTATGAGGCCACGGTGCCAGGAATCAAGGACCGAAGTATCCAGCGGCGGATGTAGCTGGCCGCGCGGATTGTAAGTACAGCCACAAGGATAGGTACTTCCGGACCGAAGAACCGAACTAGAGTTCGAAGAACGCCTGCGTGTCACCAGGTACGAGATAAGAAGCTGCTAATCAGCTTGATGTGCTACCATTACGAATCTATTTGCATGGATCTTAATTCTTGCACCGAGATCACCTTGCTAGCAAACAGATGAATAAGATATGACAAGAAATAGAAACGAAATTGCTATGAAAAAAGTAGCAAAAAACCCTATCACGCATCGGTAGTGGGCACTATGTCACTTTAAGCATGTACCAACAAATGCATGAAGACGGCGCACCCACTTTTCACATCCTCTCCCCTACTCCACTATGACTCGCTTGCTGCACCTCACCATCCCCCTCGCACTTAACACTGGCAACCTCGCCAAAATATCCAGCCGTGTCACATCCCCAAAAGTCTGCATCTCCTCAGGCTCGACATTACTCTTCTGACTTTTCACATCCTTGAGAATCAAGGAGATATTGAGTGCACGAAACCTAGTGAACCGCGGGCCTGTTAGCAGAGCATCGAGCGCCGCCCAGATACGGATGTTGTCAAAAAACTTGGGGAACTCGCTCTCTGGATCGATATGGATGCTTAGCTGGGTTAAGGCTGAAGCCGAGTCGGTGGAAGTAAGGCAGGCCAAGAACCATGTCAAGTTGCGTGGCCCGAAAATGTCGTGCCCGGAAGCGCACATGGTTACGTTGGGAACTGCGAAGATGTCCAGGAGCTTGTCAGCGCGCCAGTTGTCGTCCACTATTATGTCGTCGATTAATAAGGTCCACGATAAGGAGGGCAATTATTCTTACTTCCAACCCAAGTATCACCTAGGACAAGTTCCCGGAGTGTCTTTTGAGCAGCAACAAGAACCTTTTGAGCTGCTGGTGCATGCTCCAGGTTGAGATACTGGACAGAGAGCTTCCTCAGACTGAAGGGCAAACCGGGCCTGCCGATCGAGAAAGAAGTCGAAGATTTGTGAGTTTACGATATCTAGTACCTCCAAAGATGGGCCGGGGTCAACTGGTCCGACAGTTGTATTGTAATAGGCATTCTCTTCTTCAACCGAAAAGGATAGGGGTGGCAGAACCTGCCTTACGTTGGCGCGAGATCCAGAAAGCGACGTGAGAGCGTGCAAGTAGGGAAGGATTTCTCGGAAAGTACGTTGACATATTGCCATGTTGTCAAGGATGAGGGATGTGACAGTAGCTGAACTCCAGGGACCGTTGGGCGAGCGAGTGATGTGAAGAGTTTCGAGGTGGGGAAGAAGGTTCAAGGGGAGCCCTCTAGCGGCCCTGCGACAGTTGTTACGCAGCGTTGCATCATCAATCTTCTGCCTGAAGTCGCCGGTGGTATCTTCAAGTTGTTCGAGCCGGTCATCGCAGCATCCACATCGGTTTTCATTGCCTGGGGGAAGGGTGATGTGGAGGTATTTAACGAAGTTGGATAAGGCCGGGAATTCCTGGAATATGGTTGATAAGCTGTCAAATTGGAATATCGACGATGCGTGGATATAACGGAAGAGATTGAAGGTGGCCCGTTGGTAAAAAGCTTTTGAGACAGTGCGCAGGGCTACCAGAGAAGCCTGGTCATCGCCACATTTATCAACTATCAACTCCTTGAGTTCGGAGGATAGTGTGTCCATAGTGAATTAGAAGGCCCTGTGAAAGGCAATACTAGCTCAAGGTGATAAGGCAGGGCCTTCTACACTGACTCTGCCAGAAGATAATATATCGTTGCTAGCATCGTTTATAAGATAACATGATTACGAAAGGGTTGATGAACACCTACCAGGTTGACGGCCTGTGATAGCAGGAGGAGAGGCTTTGAGCAGGGGACAATTGTGAAGTGCTATTCTTAAAAGTAAGGAAAAGGAAGGAAAGGAGAAGACTTGCTACGCAGTGTGCAGATTTGTATTATATAATTCAGTTAGTAGCCATCGGATACCGTGAAGGTGACATCTTCGCGCCTATATAAGTAAATATAATGATGAGACAGGGTTATTTTCACTTCAATGTAATGTGGGATGTCTCGCGTAGCGGAAGGCGGTATTTTCACTGATGACGACGTGGGAATGTTCAGAGAAGGAAGGAGGTACAAAAACGCTGGAACATCAGCCAGCTACTCGACCTTGGAGTACCTTCGAATTCTCCATGTTTACGGTCTGTGGAGGGAAATATCTATCTAACTGAAGTTGAGGACAGTAAGCACAGTGGTACTGCCACGCACAACTTCATACACAGTTCATCCCTAAATGAGCAGTACCAGTGGGATCCCGAAGAAAAATTTATAACATGTCGTGCTTGTCATTTTTAGAAAGTTGTTGGAAGCTAGGTACATATTACTATATGAGAGGGGGACAGAGGTGTGGATACTTCAAGCTTGCGCTGCAGGCCGCGTCACTGACTGTGACAGATAACACGTGATACGTGACAGGCGAATTCGGAAAGGCGGACAAGTCACTAGTTTACTATTTCTTATGACCACGTCGACAGATCATTCCAAGCGACTCTTCTCATGAGGTCCATACCCAGATTCCTCATCGTCAGCCCGTCTTTGGACTCACGGATCTTAATATTATCGAACTTACGGCTCAATCTATCTCATTGTTACTTCTGCGAATCGGTTTCGGGGTACAGTCTCCATTTCTTTCTCTGCTGACGCATATAACCAACTTTTTCCACCCAGATCACGACCAGGCTCGCGACAATGACCGTATCATTTCGACATTCGACGTCGCACGAGGCTACCAACATTCATGATCTGTCCTACAGAAGGCCTCGCGTCCAGACTGTTGCGAGAAATTTCGTTCCGCGTCGATTATGCCGAAGATGCACTGAATGATTCGTCAAAGTATCTCGTATTTTCTCCCTGGGCAGAAGAATTCTTCTTCTTTCCGTCAGCAGCATGATTCTTGACTAGGGGAGGTGCGATTGCCTTGCGAATGTAAGCGACACCAATGCAGACATGGGCCTTTCTACTACCCAAAGCGGCCTGTCATGGTCGATTCCACTGTGATATGTCGTGTCTTCTTCCAAGTAACGAGACTCTCCCGCGAAAGCTCATCGAAGACCGTTCGGTGAACATCAAGCTGGTCAAGAGATGCAAGCGGATATTTCTCGCGGCGTGGGCATACAGGAGGAGGAGGGCGACCGCGCCGATGAGGTGGGACGATGTGTTCGCCGTGCCTCTCAATGTCAAGCACACGAACCTGTGGATAGCTGGGGGGAAGGTGAAGACAGAGATCGCGTTGGTGACACAGGATTTTTGGTAGGAAAACAACGGGTGCGCGTCTCTATTCCTCTGCCGACAATTTTTATCTGACGATTTGGTGACTAAGTAGCGTACACGCCCGCATTGAATATGATCCAGTCAGCAAAGTGGATCTGGTGAACGTTATAAAGGTCCAGGTGGCGGCAAGGCAGGTTTCGTCGTCCCTGAACCACTGCGCAGGGCATGTAATTCCTTCGTTGGGATCATTGACCATATCGTCGAAAAGTGAGTTCGGATTTCTGATTAAGCTAAGTCTAACTGATCTGGGGTATCAACAGACACCCACAGATGGAAAAGGAACGCCTTCACGGTTTGTGATAGTAGGGAGAGCTCTCTGTTGGTGTCTTCGAAATTGTGAGCCTCTTACGAGTCCAAACCTGCTCAGCGTTGTCACAGTTAATGATCCAGGTGTTCATGATTGCGAACTCCTCCCAGGACTAAGAATGACCTATCCATCAGCTGAACTATGCTTACCCATACGATCAATGCGATCAAGACCCACACAGCGGCAGGGTTGCTGAACAGAGAATATCCTGGTGTCGATGAAATTGTGATATGATCTCTTCCAAGAGCTCGTCTATAACGAGCAGCCGCTGCACGCCAAATCTCGTCTCCTCCACGTCGTTCATGTTACGACTGCACACAACCTTTCAACCATATATACTTCACACAATTCGCGCTGCCCTATTCCAACGTCCCCCACACTGACGTTCACCCTGTGGTGCCTGAAAGATTGCTTCCAGCTACAAATCCAGGCAGAAAGACGTTCCCGCCATATAGCTTCTGTTGCGGCGCTACCTCTCTAAACATTTCCGACTTACCAAACATGACTCCTAGCGGCGCTTTCCTTGCTCATCGTCAGCGTGGACCAACTAGAGACGGACAAAGTCTACCGCACTCCATCCGGTATGAGCTCTCAAAACTGCCGCCGTCGACTTAACGGCCCTGCGCATATAAATCTTCTCCCAGTTCCCCGTATATCTCGATTTCAGGTGTATACTTTCTACTGGCCGCCGTTCAAGCACCGGATGATGACGAGATGATACGCCGCAAGTGGTAGGCCGTAGAGATCACTTCAGGCCTTCCTTTAGCTTCCTGACGATGATGGCGCAATCGCAAGCTTGCTTGTCCCGCGCGCGCCCTTTTCGGTTTGTGGGCTATAACGGCACGCCTGAGCCAAACGTCCAGTGCCTCTCTGGTCCCTTTGGGCCTTGTGAGACCTTCAGGTTTTATCTTAGCGGTTAACGGTGCCATCGACATTCTAAGCGTGCAACATTACGAGTCTTTTAGTGCCCGCACAGCCTTCTTAGCTTGATGGATCTACTCCGCATGCCCATAAAAACATCATCAGATTGGAAGATCTTAGTATTCCACTGCCAGGTCCCCGTGTCGACGGTCCAACACTCCGAGCCTTTCGCCTTCGCGGCTTTTCAGGTCCCTACGTTTTTGGGACAATCCGAATACAAATTCATTTTTTTCCATGCAGGGAACACCACTTCTGTTCCAGCCGTCGGCACTTTTCTCGGCCTGCTTCTCATCGCTCATCATACCGAGTGTATGTATGTCGAATACCGCATGTGGTGCGATATAGGTCGAATCACGATATGGCATTAACTATAGTGCTTTTGTATCGACTGCTCAGAAAGTCTCCCAGCGGCTTCAAGATGATTAGCATTGATCGAGCGTGCTAATCCCGCAATGAATATGTACCTTCTGTCCATGAATTCCATGTGAAGTGCATCCCTGACATTGCCATGGAATCTTAGGAACGAGGAACTTACATAGATGCCAACTGTCTGGCTCGTTCCCCTTTCCCTTCTTCTGTGACTCTGCAGCCGTGAAGAACCCATGGAAGCTTTGCGCACGCACCTCGTTGGTAAGCTCGCCGATTGTACTTCTTGTGATATGTCTGACCGTTCCATGAAATTTTAGCACCCGTATCTCTCGGGAATTAAGCCGATGCAGCGTCATACGTCGCTCATGTGTGACTCTTTGCAACTCTTGCATGACTCTGGCAGCGTCTCCTTCGAGTATGGCCGTGCTAATGCCGCTGCGCTGTCACTAAGACCAAGACCCCAGGAAGCAGCAGTTGGGAGCACTTCTCGGCTGGCGGGCGGGTGTCAGATCCAGGTCATTGACTCGGAAATTTTTTTCTAGGAATGACGAAGTTCATTCCTGTTCAAGCTACCGGCCCTTGATCGGGCCGTAGCCAGACCACGAGGGTACCGTTCTTGATAGAACTTTGGCGGCCCGTGTATAACGGGAGGGATTAACTGCTTTTGGCGCTCTTTCCGAGTCGCCGACAGTGTGCGGATTAACATTCTGAGGACCTTGGATTAGAATAGACTTTCTATGGCCGCGTCAAATCCGCAAATTACCTCCAAAGGTTAAGTTTTCCATCTCTGACGCCTTTGCTATCAAAGGAGCGAGAGGGGTGTCTGAATCTCCAGGGAATCCTTCCTTGTATGGCCTTGAAGAGGCATCCTCAATCGTAGAGAGTGACTCATTGTCTAGTGGAAGACGCTGGTAAGTAATGTATCTCCTGCTTGTAACATATCTGTGACACTATGCCTAGACAGGTGTATGAGTGGCGACGAGAGGAAGGTTCTTAATTTGGTGTTGAATCCTGTCGGTGAGCTCGATTGCACCATTTACCTGTCATCACAACATGACGTTGTATTAGGAAGTAACAAGCAATTTTCATCTTGTGGTGAGCGCGCAACTAGTGGTATCGATGCCCGCCGCCCTTCCGCTCCCGGAAAAGGAATGGACACCAACCTGCTTCATTCTAGGTCAATATGAAGAGAACGCCACGTCGCCTGCTAATACATCTCTACTCCCGCCGGCATCAAGCGTTTCATGTAAACCCCCGACTGTTGTTGGCCCAGGTTGGAGAATCATGCGCGATCTGGCCATCACCATGAAGTTTAAGGAGCAGTTAGCTGTCTATCTGTTCTATATATCAATTCGGCCTTCTCCCTCCCTTCTGCTCCCGCACAGATCTTATTGAGAGCCGCGAATACTACACCACCATGTTTTCATGGCGCCTACCATCCCTCCGGGTACGCTTTCCCCCCTTCTGCTTCCGATGGCGTCAATGTGATAAAGTTTCATTCCTAGCTAAAGATTGAATAGGCCGGCTAGTTCGGTATTCCAACTCACCTCCGGCGCTTGCGCGTGTTCTACTAGATCAGTTGGTATGGTTTCCTTGGTTGTCGGCGTCACCATCAGTTGATTTTCACTGGGCCGTGGCCGGATTCCAGCCCATTTTGGGGCAAGATGATGGTGGATCGAGATGACTCATGTCTTATCATCTTTGGAAGGAGCTGTTTGCTCCGTATATGGACACTGCCATTGATGGTAAACTTGGATGAAGGACCCACTCTAATACCTCAGTTGGTTGGTTGGTTACCTGTGTTCTCGGGTGATGGAGGCCGAGTTGTCGATGTGAGGATTATGCCGTCCGTGTGACCCTAGATGAGATTCCGCGAGCGGGAAGATGAGAAGTTGGATAGAGATAGAGTGGGAATTGGGTTGGGGAAAGGCTGACAGATGGAGGGAGGTCGTTGCTTAGGTCCGACCATCATGGATTTTGGGAGCGCCCGGATGGATCAATTCAGTTGGGGCCGGAGCTCAGATATTAGCTTTGGTGGACAGGGCGCCCTCCACTTGGTCGGCACGTATTGGTGATCCTCTCCTTTTTTTTCTTCTCCTATGCGCCTGCAAAAACACGCAGTGAAGAATGATTCTAACGACCGGCAAGGTGGAGATCACGCACCATGATCATAGCTTACCCCATCCGGCCGACCGAATCCAGGCACGCACGGATGACCCTTTGTGAAAAAACGGCCGTTATGGTGAACTGCCTCCCGTGATTGATTTCGAGCAGAAGGGCTCAATATCAATAAGATGAAAGGCGCCGTATTCGTTTCTGAATCTTGAGCAGCCTTCTTCCTCTTTCCCACTAGTATCCTTTCCCTTGTCTTCCTTCCCTTGATGGCTGTGGCTCCGACTCCTACGAATACGAATACGACGTCGTCGGTAATACCGTATGAGGGGGACGACCCCTTAACACTCGCGTTGGCGCCACCGCCGGACGAGACGGTGGAACAGAAACAGCAGAGAGAGGCAGCAGAGGCAGAGGCTCAGCGACGGAGGTGAGTGGGGCTATATGTTCCAGAGGACAGGTCCGAGACTTTGGGCTGCAGCGATGAAATCGACGAGCAGATTCAAAAAGAACGGGAGCTCGAGAGACGGAAGAAGAGGCCGGTCAAGCTGTTGCTGTTAGGTATGTCTCTCATACTCTCAATACTTGTAATATTCTCATTCCTTTCGTAAGGGCAAAGCGAGAGCGGCAAGACAGCCACACTCAAAAGTACGTGACTCCTTCCTCACCACGAGTCCCGACCCTTACCTACTTCCCACAGATTTCCAACTGACGTACGCCCGCCGAGAATGGACCGAAGAGCGCCTGCTGTGGAAATCCGTCATTTTCTTCAACCTTGTCCGCAATGTCAATGACATCCTCGACATCCTTGCTCAGGAAATGTCTCGGTCTGCTACAGCCCTTGCTGACAACAGCAGTGACGACTCCTCCGCCGACGAGTCACCCACTGTTCCCCTCAAGTTCAAGGAGACCCACCGCCTGCTTAAACTCCGCCTCGGGCCCCTGCGCCGGATCCAGACAGACCTCGAGCGGAGACTGGGAAACGCGGCTATCGAGCTCAAGACGACTGATGTGATGACTGCTGCGCCCTTCAATAAACCCGCCATCAATGAGTTTTCCATAAACGCGACAAACGGCTGGAAAACGGCGTTTGACAAGCTCAAGGCGATGCGCCGTCCGGAGATGGGCGGGCTACAGCAGATGAAGGATGAGGAGGATGAGATTGCAGATGTCGTTGCAGGGTGCAGAGAAGATATGAAAGCGATCTGGGAAGACCCGGTGATCCGAGAGATGCTTGCTAGGAGGAGAGATAGAATCGAGGATTCTCCTGGATTGTGTGTCTCTTTCACTTCATTCAACCTGGGCCTTGCAGTAAACGTTCTCTAGCTTTCTCAACGACGCGGAACGCATCGCTGTCCGGAATTACCAGCCTACCGACGACGATATCATCCGCGCGAGATTGCGGACATTGGGCGTGCAGGAGTACAGATTCATCTTTGATCATGGTACGTCTCTTCGGTTTGGTAAGATGGAGAGATCTGTCCGTAACGTTAATCTTCCTTAGGCCGGACCGTTGGCCAAGAGTGGCGCTTGTATGACGTGGGTGGAACTCGAAGCAGCGTAAGAGCTTCTCTTCTTCGTAGACTGTCGCAGGTTAACTCGTATGCCATCAGCGGGTAGCGTGGTATCCCTACTTTGACGATGGTGAGTTAGAACGATCCCTTTCCTACGCTACAAACAGATCCTGATGACTCTGACCTCGTTGCAGTGGATGCAATCATCTTCCTTGCGTGAGTAGGCATCTCTTAACACCAACTCGGGCCCCATGCTGATTGTGTTTTCATTTCGTGTCGATCAAGTCCAAGTAAGCACAGCCTTTTTGTGGATCAACCGCCTTTGACAGATTGTTGCAGTATCCTGCTTCGACGAGAAGCTAGCAGAAGGTTAGTCGACTACCACTTCTTCGCTATTCGCATTCGTGTGTGGCGCTGAATCATCTTCTACCCCCAGATCGTCGGGTAAACCGGCTGGAAGATAGCTACATGCTATGGAAATCTGTTTGCTCCTGTAAACTCCTTTCGCGAACACAGGTATGGGTCTCCCTCCATTCGCAATCCGATCACAGCCAACTCTGATCATCTCCGCAGCTAATCCTCTTCCTCAACAAATGTGATCTCCTCCAAGCCAAACTAGCACGGGGTGTCAAGATCAGAGATTTCGTCCCGAGTTATGGGGATCGTGCGAATACTCTGGCTATGGCTACTAAATGTGAGTCGTCGTCAATGTTCTGTTTGATGGTACTCGTGTATCAATGTTGCGAAACAGACTTCCAACAGCACTTTCGAGAGATCTCAAGGCAGAATTCCCCTGTGCAGAGACCGTTCTATGTGCATATGACTTCTGTAATTGATACACGGTCGACAGCGGCTACTCTGGGTGCTGGTGCGTACTTCTGTCTTCGTTTCAGTAACGAGGTTCTCATCTCGCCCCCTAGTTGAAGAATCTATCCTACGGGATCACCTCCGTCGTGCTGATCTTATGTGATTGTTCTTCTTTCTCCCTCTCTCTTTCTTCTCGGAGACTTTTCTTCCCTTCCCCTCCTCTGTCTATGTATTATATCCGGTTCGCGATAAGTTATCCTACTGAGCCTTTTATAAGTTCGATGGTTCCTCCTCTCCAATTTACTAGATCCTTGTAGTTTTATCGATATCTAGGCAATCCACTATCTAATAACAAGTGTGATGTTTATCTGGTTTGATGTGTACTAATCTTTAGACTAGTACTAGGAACGCCACAACGCTTTCTCATGCTCGCACCCGGAAATCGGGCCCGGGCGGTAGATGGTTAGTGGTAACGGGGTTGGAAGAAAGGGACATCGTGTCAGGGCTCCCGAAGCGAAGGTTACGTCAACCCCTGCTCCCTGCTCTCCGACAATGAGCTCAGAATCACAAACTCACTCAGTTTGGTGATCATCAGTCCTCGCATATCGAGCTAATTCCGCGTCTCCCCTTGATTCCATCTTTACCACTTGTTTCAGTTCTCTTTTTTAGTTCTAGGGCTAAGGATCGTGAGGCGACTCCCGCTTTCAATAGACCCCGTGAAAGGCCTTGAGACGCAAGGTTGGTAGATATAATAATAGCGTTATTCATTCTCCAGGTACCTACAGGTACCTACACACCTAGCACCCATAGAACACGTAAGTGTAGATAGATATTCGAAGCATCATGCATCGCCAGCCTAAGCCTCTAGTTACGGACGTGTATTATTCAAACCACTCTTGATTATCTCTTAAGTACACCCAATCCAATATCTAATCCAATAAAATACATAAAAAAAAAGCATGCTACGACGCCCTACCCTGTCCTTGATCCCCACTTGAACTTCTAAGCATCGGGCTCCCCAAGCCCCTTTCGATCCGACTCTCACTCTGGCCGGGCAACGGCGACGACGCAGACCCTAGCTCCACCTCCTGCCCGTCCCCGTCGTCCTCGCTATCCCCAGGCGAGCTCACCAGCCCACCAGCAACGCTCCTCCGCGCCCTCCGCGCGTGGAACGTCCGGCTCGCCGTAGCGTTTGAGAATAGTGGTAGCAGGTACCTCTCGTCTAGTGCTTGGAACCACTTCCCGTCTTCGCCTGGCTGGGGGGCGGATGGCGGCTGCTGCTGCTGCTGCTGCTGCTGCTGGTTTGACGTCATCGCCATCGGGAGGACTTCGCCTCCGTCAGATTCCAGAGACTCGCTTGAAGCAGTCGAGAACACGGCCCCGTTGCCGTTTAGTGGTGATAAAGGCGGCGCCTGGGCTTGGTGGTTGTAACTGCGCGCACTATAGTGCATACCAATCCTGCGTGGAGACGTGGGAACCCCGTAGGGTGGTTCGTCGTCCATGTATCGCGCCCAATGTCCTCCATTTCCGGTTCCGGACATTCGGCGGCTGAACCACGGTGTGCGCGTCGTCTCTTCCTCTTCATCACTACTCGCCGCCTCGTCTTCCACGCCCGTGCGAATCCCTAATATCTCAAGCATCCGAGCGGTGGTCCCGCCGAACATGATCACGGTTAAGACGACCACCACGAGGACAGTCGTGCGTAGGATCTCCCGGTTTTCGCCTTTGAACCCAGCAGCGAGGGCAACCCCGACCGCTCCACGCAAGCCAGCCCAGAAGAGCATCATCTGATATGAATGCGGGAGCTCCTCAGTCCTCTGACCGCGCGCGTGTTTGTGGAAAAAGTTGATGGCTTCGGACAGTGGGAACACTGCAGCATAACGCGTGAAGATGACGGCAACTGTGCTGATGACGATGAAGAGCGGTTTGACATAGTTAGTCACACGCTCGGACGTCGGGGCATTGGTAAAGAGGGACATGCCAAGATAGACGAAGATGAAGTTCTCAGAGAGTTGTGCGAGGGTTGAGAATATGTATTTTGAAGAGCGTTGTGTGCGTCTCGACATGGTATGGTAGGCATAGTGCTTGAGGGTAATACCGCAGAAGAGGAGGGATACGATTCCGGACATGGAGAGCCCGTTAGAGAAGAAGTAGCAGGTGTATGCGGATAGGGCGACCAGGCACGATTCGATGCCCGGGTAGAGGTTCAGGGAGGAATGTTTAAGCATCAGCGACATTCCAAGGCCGAAGGCTACACCCAAAGCCATCGAAACACTGAATGAGAGCAAGAATATGCCGATTCCATGGAAGATTGATGAGATGTATATTTCGGTCCCATGGAACTGCGATAGTGTCCTGTAATGAAATGAGCTTCTACTCGGACAACACGTGGAACTACTTACTCATACATGACGATACTGACCGCATCGTTCAACAAACTCTCACCAAAAATGACCGTGTAAAGTTTCGGGTCAACCTTGTACTGGTTAAAGATGGCCAAGATGGTGACCGGGTCAGTTGCGGAGAGCGTGGAGCCAAATATCAGGCACTCGAGAAGGGAGATTTCCAGTGATTCAAGTCCGAGAAAAGAATAAATGTAAACAAGGACACTGTTCTGTAAGTGATCAATTCCGTTGTCACGAGCAGAAATAGCGATGAATCATACCCCACACCGACAGCAGAGATAAACGTTCCAAGAAAAGCAAACGTGAGTATGGATCCAAAGTTACGGAAGAAATTCTCCTGCAAAGGACAGTTGGTGAGATTCTTCCAGGCACGATAGAAGACGTACCTGTTTGAGCTCATAGCCAGAATTCAAAATGATAGGAGGAAGCAGCAGGTTGAAAAAAATTGTATGTTTGAAAGTCTGATCCCAGTCAGCTTCCATTCGTTCTGCTACAAAAAAGACACGTACTAGCATTTCGCGAATCATCGTTCCCGGTGCCAGCCTAACAATCAAGCCTACTGTCATCCCAGCAAATATCGACACCAGTGTCTCATGAACGGCACGTATTCGCTTAATTTGCAGATAATATGACGTCCAGAGCGACAACACGAGGAGCATACAGACAAGGAAAAGAGACCATGATGAGTAGAATTCCTCGTCTTCCGCTGGGGCTGTCGTGGCCGACGGGATTGCGGCTAATACCGTTGACGACCCGAGCTTGAGAGGCATATCGACGGCGATGACGACGAGAATATGGATAGCCTCTAGCACCCTTTAGTTGCCGTGGACGCAGGGCTGAACGATGTCGTGGTAGTGTCTCTACAACCTGTGTTGCTTACGTAACACGTAAGGTGCGAGAAAGTTGAGGCCGTTTACGCGCCGTTTTCCGACGGCCACTGCTAAATTCGTTCTAGCGCGACAGAGGCGACGACGGAGCTGCATGGTGGTGTGAAGAGAGGAGCTGGGCTCTAACGTAACGACGGCTACATTCCCGACGTCCAGGTCGGTATGCTGCAACTCAAAGAAGGGTAATCACCGACGACTCGGAGAGGACGTTGAAAGGGATGATTAAGAATGGGCTCGTATACGTGAGGTCTCTTCTTCACAACAGGACTTAACTTCTTTTAAAACGTAATGACTAGGTTCCACTGACTTGCCGAAGCTAACAACCGGCTGTACCCTTTTCTTCGATTCGTACACATGGAATGATTTGCTTCGTTGCAACCAACTATGTCGATCCGGACTGGCTTCCTAGGGCAAGAATTCCCGTGTCCGGTATCCAGAGATAAGTAACTTGGAAGACGCCATCAAAAGTTCAACTGTACCCGTCATGCGTAATACTTTTGTCAAGCGGTCCTCCGCTCGTTGCACTTCCGGTATGTCAGACAGATGGACTTTGTGCCAGTCCCGATACCACATGCTTTTCTAATCATTACTCTACCACCATCCCTCTGGTCGTCGCTCCATTCGAATTCAGGCCTCTGAAGGTATCGCGTAACGTCACAAGTCGCTCAGAGAACACTTATTTCGATGGATGCCTGGATGTCTGGATGACGCCCATGCAGAAAACAGGGGTTGAAACGCTTCTTCTGAGGACGTCCCTCATACCAATGAGTGACTCGTATCATTCCGTCACAAGGATATCAGGCTACGGTTAAAGGAGGGGGGGAGGTTGAAAGGCTCTCGCGTTACAACACTCTCGCATCCCTTTCCGTCGCACAGCTACCGCGCTACGATGATGAGGGGTGGAATTCGAAAGGCTGCCGCGCCACGCCCCGCTTATTGCCAACAGCGCTCCCCATGACTGGAGGGTTTCTGCACGGCATCCAAAAAATGCTATTGAGGAAAACGTCAGCCCACTGCCGAGGCCATGAGAGAGTACTCATGACGGGACTTTACCATAGCGGCAGAGCGTAGGACTGGTTCAGTACCGTAGCAGCGTTGTTCCTCGTGATTTTAGTGTACATTGATTGGCTAGTGTCATATGTACATACGGGAAGCTGTGGTACGGACCCCGACGCGGTTCTGTTGAGGAGCAAAGTCGGGCAATAAAACATCTATCCATCCATCCATCTAAGTATTATTAATACAACCCCCTAGACTTACAACTGTACCTAAAAATCCTCTATGGGAGTTGTAGGTGAGGACAAGTGAACCGGTGAACCGGTTCCTTAGCTGTCCTAATCGAACTCATCCGATATTCGAGATCCTCCATGACTTCCAAGAGCCTCGCAACAGTAAGAACACGCCCCGCCGTTCTTTTCACAACAACCCTCTGTCCACCCAGTCAGTAATCAGCTTCCACCAAACGAAGGACAAACAGAAAAACACTCACACTGACACTCGGCAGCCCGTTTGTGTACCACGTAAAGTACCCCTGCAGCACCGCGAAATGATCATAGACTATCTCCGCATGCTCAACCTGTTCTCGGATATCCACCGCCTTCGCAGACAGAAATTCATGATAACTGGTGAAGACCCTCCGCTGAGTCCCCTCCCCCAGCATCTCTATCGGCGCAACGGACTGCCACCACGGGATATTCTCGTATGCCTCTTGCACCCTGGGTATCTCAGCCTGCAGTTCCTCGGAAATCCGTTGTCCGTGACTATGCACTTGGGAAATCACGTCGAGGAGAGAGGGGATGCCGAATTTAGCGAGGAGCATGAATCGGAACTCCAGGTGCCTCACAAAATGGTCGAGTGACCGTCGCAAGGCATCGTCAACCATCACGTGGCGATTGGGCATGGGAAAGATAGTACTGGCATCCTGTTCGTATCCAACCGTCGCGTTCAAATCGTCAATGGCATATTTGAACTGGAAGTCGCGTCAGCGCGCGCGCTCAATGCTCAGTCTTATAAAACAAAGGAGACTCACATCTCGAATGATAAATTCTACCCCCACCGCGAAATCTGCACTCAAAAACTTCTCATACTCGCGTTCCACATCCTTTCGAAGGTCCGAAAACGCGGTTAGGTCATCCAATAACGCCCTCCTCTCCGCGTCGCGCGTGACATAATCGAATATACGAGCGTTCAACACCACACTAATGGGACCTTAAGCGAAAAGAAAGGGGGAGAAGCTAATTAACTTACCGGCGATTCTCCTTTAAACCAGCACCTTCAAGCAAATCCATAATGAAATGAACGTGTTGGAGGTGCGAATGGATGATCTCTGCCGCGTTTGCGGTATCCATGCATTCGGACGCGCAGGTTGATGTCCAGGGGCCCATGTCAAGTGACGAGAGGTTTGAAAGAACGCGATCTTGGAGCAGTGGTCGCAGAAGAGCAGTATGTCCGAAGAGGAATATGCAGCCGTCGTGCATAGGTAGGAGATTGCCACTAAGGCTGAGAGGCCGCCTAGGAGGGCGATGAAAGAAAGTCTTGCGATGAACCGGGTGATTGAAACGCGCGGTGGTTCTTCTGATGGTGGTGGCATGCTGGTACAAGGAATTGAGTAGGAAGGGGGGGCTGATTCTACTGCCAGTGAATCGCGTAGCAGTGAAGGTCTTAAGACTCTGACTCGGAGTTCAGAGGGTGATAGAATGTGAAAGAGCACTGAAAGAGCTCATGAGAGGCGCGTTTCTGGCACGTGTATGATCTTACCTTGTGCAGCATATATATCGATGAACAAAGACACTTGGTTTTCCGTAAGCTATCTTGATGACAAGGAGATTATTGTCGCCACTGACAACCTTAATGGGTTACGGCCTCCGGCTGACATAAAGTGCCACTTTACAGTGCAGATAGAGATCGTATCAAGTCATGAACTATCCTGAAAATGTCGTGGCTTTTATGGTCTGCTTGCAACGGTGACAGAGGATCTAGAAAACATAATGAAAGCGCCTCGGTTTTTATACTGTTTTTACGCACCGAAAGAACAAGTTTTTAACAAAGAAATTTCGATCTATTTTCTGCCCCGTTTCGACAATGAAGAAGAAGAAAATTTCGTCTTGTTTGTACTAGAGTTCTTCCCGTCAAATAATCGCGCGGAACATATTTAGGATTACTTTTTCCAACTTAAAAACATACTGGCCCCAGTAGTGATTGTCACAGAGAACTTTAACAACGACTTGATTCGCCGTGCAAGGTTTTGAGCGATGGTCTTCATCTATAATAGCTATCCCGGGGAAAGCAACACCATAGAGTCATGGACAGGAAGCCGCTGGCCGCAAAGAGGCTTTTTGCACATAGATATGCAGCCGCTGATGCCGATACTCGCCCCCTCAACGCGCAAAGTGCAAGGGATCGTGTGAAGAAGCGATACTTATTCGATATTCTGGTGATTCAGATAGCCATCTTGTTTCTATGATTCTGACCGTAAACATTATTTTCGATATCAGAAGAATTAAACGCGTATGGAAATAATGGGGAGTAGCCGCAATACCATTCCAACGCCTCAGATACAGTGTCGGACATCATCGAGTAAAGTGTGTTGAACAATCACAGGCTGGACAGTGGATGAGCTTAGATGAGCTCATGGGAGCTCGAGTCCGAGAACGATCCGCCGTGACAGCCATCATGTGACTATTGTGATAAGTGACAACTGGACCCGCCCGGACCGGTTCGTTCTCTTAGCTGGACCATGAAAATAGTACCCAGGTTCGCTGGCCTCTCCTTGGACGCCAGAGATTTCGTTCTTCGTAAAAATTACCGGTGCCATCTATCTAGGGCGCATTTCTTCGCGCATTGGTTTTGGGGTACAGTCTCCATTTCTTTCTCTTCTTGCACATATTACCAACTTTTTCCAGCCCGAACACCCTCAGACTCGCGACAAGAACCGCTTCGTCTCGACACTCGACGTCAGACACATCCAGACTACTGATATTCACGACCTTTCCTTTTACAAGAAACCTCGTGTTCACACCACCAAAAGTGGAGACTCTTCGTTCCAGATCGACTACGCTACAGATGTACTGAATGTGTCGTCAAAGTATCTCGTCTTTCCTCCACGGACAGAGGGATTTCTATATTACCACCACCAGCGCGACTCCTTACCGGGGGAGGTGCGGTTTTGCCTTGCGAACTCACTCGACACCAACACAGGCATGGACCTTCTTCTGCCCAACGGCCTGCCATGGTCGATTCCACTGTGGTACATCGTATCTGCTCCCAAGTATGAGAATCTCCTGCGAAAGCTCGTCGCAGACGGTTTAGTGAGCACTGAGCAGGTAACGAGATGCAAGTGGATGTTTCCCCTTGCATGGGCTCGCAGGAGGAGAAGGGTAACGGTGCTGATGAGGTGGAATGACGTGTTCGCCGTCCCTCTTGATGCGAAGACCGTGAAAATATGGATAGCCGGAGAGAAGGCTAAGAAAGAGGTCGTGTTATGGACAGAGAGGATTCTGGGGCAGTATGCAGGGAAATCGACGGGTACTTGCCTTTATTTCCTTTGTCGATTAGCTGCTGATCTGGGAGCCAGGCTGCGTACACGCCCGTATAGAACAAGATCCAATTCGCGAAGTGGATGTGGTGAATGTATTCAAGGTGCAAAAGGCAGCAGGGGAGGTTCCTCTTTCCCTGAACAGCCGCGTGAAGCCTTCATTGAGCAGGTCTAATCTATTGGTCGAAAACGTGAGTTTGTTTTGTGTGTACGGGCCACTTGATCTGATCTGAAGCATTCTTAGGCACCCATACGGGCTGTAAGTCTGCGACAGTAGAGCTTCCTGTTAGCATCTTGGAAATTGTGAGCTTCTTGCAAGTCCTGTCTATACGTTGTCTAAGTTGATAGTACAGGTAATCCCATCATTATACGCTCCAAATTACTCGGTCTCAGCGCTAAAAGAGAAGCACACATCAATTCAGCAATGTTGTACAACCGCTCGGATGTTAAAGAAAGCGACGTGATCAAATATGTACAAATTGCTCTCCGTTGCAATCCCTTTCCCGAATTCCTTACCGAGCTGACCACCCTGCGCATCGTCTCCCGCGTCTCCTACCCCGGGGCCAATGTGACCGTCATAGTAGCCCAAAGCTGCACTCCAGATCCAGCGTCTCCTTCCTCCCAGTAATAGCACAATGATCACCATGAGTAATCCGTTTGCAGCACGCCTTCCCCGACATCCACCACTGGCACCTCGTCTATCACTTCTTCCCACAGGTGAAAGTTGCTGGGCATGGACAGCTCTAGGCGCGTACCGTTTGACGGAAACACTGCCCCTGCATACACCAACTTGATGTCTTCAATGGCATTTTCCTTTTCCAGTGCTCCCTTCGGGCCATGATTGGTCTTTGTGACCGACTGTGTCACCCAGATTCTCGGTGTGCGACTCTTGATTCAAAGATCCAGGTTTCCATCACAGTTCCGCGGACAAATGCGAATTCCGTCCCATTGTATTCTGTGGATCCACCAGATTGGCGCGTTCTGTGCTCTTGATTCCATGTCAGATCCCCGTGCAAAACCCCGAGCCTCTTACTCACCCAGGGATGACGGCACGAAGTCATTTACCTCGAACCCCAGATGCAAATAGTCTCTGCTGAATAGATTCAGCAGCGACTGTAGGAGGCCGTCTGCATATCGTTCTTTGTGGTTCGTAGATTGATACGCCTGCATACGCCCAACTTGGGATGTTCAATGGCATTTCCATTTTCCAGTACTTCCCTTGCACCCGCGATTAGTCTCATGGCTGACGGCGTCACTCAAATCCTGAGCATACGAAGGCCTAGGTTTCCCTAATAGTTTCGCAGACAAATGAATACTCCGTACATCACCCTCCCTGGCTCTGTCAAATTGGCGCTTCCTGTGTTCTTGGTTCTCGCGTCAGGTCCCCGTCCAAGAATCCTCACCCCAGGGATCTGTCTCTTTGTCCACCCGAATGCGAAGTCCCCACCCCAGAACCCCAGATGCTAATTAAATCAATCACTGAAACCACCTCATACAGTTAGAAATTTTCTATGCCATAAAGTCAATGAATGACGGGTACCGCTTTCATTGAACTGTCAAGCCATTTCTAGGCCTGACTCATTGATCTTGTGGCTCTTCATACGAATGCATGTACGCCGAGCACCTCTCGCCACTATAATGACTGATGGACATGTCCGATTCGGAGTGCGTGCCGCCCGCCGGCGGCGGTAAGGATTAACGATCCGTGCTAATCCCGCAAAGCGCGTACCTATGAATTACGCATACATGCCAAAAGATATCCCTGACATTACCATGGAACCTTAGGTCTAGGAGCAAGGTACATTCATCTAGGTCACTCTTCTCGTTCTTCATGCCCGCTCGTCCCTCAGGCGTGCGTCGTCCATAGTTACACTTCTCCGTGGAATTCTATCTGAACTTCCGGAAAGTTTTTGAGGAGCTAAGCCGACGCTACGTAGCCGAGAGATCGCGACGTATCAGCATGCGCTCCTTTGCTTCCAAGTTACCATCGGTACTTATGCGTACCGAATGAATGGCGTCCCGAATCCCGATGCAATCTTTGCCCCGTCTACCCAATCGGACTTCCAAACTAGTCAATCAACAAGTATTGACCTAATGATCAAGCAGTTATTTCAGCATAGAGTTCAGATATCCACATTCAGGCCACCGTGTTATCATTAATATCGCAGATGGATAATTCGGACCGCGTACCGGGGGAGTACGTAAGGACCTCTGAACGTGAAGTTTGGGATGAACCTTTCTAACCGCTTGGCTCGCGCGCTTCCGCCAGTAGTGACGGTGATGTGGCGGGAAGGTCAGGCCGGCCCGTAGACCGGGGCAGATGATGTCGTCAAGCTTCCTGAGAATGTGGACCCCTCGTAGACTCAGACCACGATGAAAGTTCCTCCCCATGCGACAGCACACATTTGTGAGTGGACAGCATCCAGCGTTTATCTTTGCCTCATGTTGTGTAGTGTATTTGTCAGGGTCTGTCGATATTGATAGTGAACATGTCCTTGTTCGAGACGGGCATGTTCTGCGCGTATTCACTCCAAAATGGCGCCTCATAGAGCAAAATAACAAGTCAGAGCATGAGCTTGAAGTTGACCACTTCGTCAGCCTAATCGTAAGTCAATGATCAAAGATGTGCCTTGTATCCTGACGACATTACAGGAAACTCTTATCAGCACTATTGATTTCGAGCAAAGTTCAACGGCTTTCTTGGTCCGTCGAAGGGATGGATATGGTCTGGTGCCAACGACATTACGGCACACAGCCTATAAAGTTACTCATCCGACCTGGGAGCGCCTTATCGATGAGCGCGAAATTGAAATTACCGAGTGGATATGACATGAATCGGAGAGGAAGGTGGAACAACACGGACGTCGGTCAGTTGGACATTATTTTGTGACTACAACTGCTGAAGACTCCTTGTAGAAATCTGGTATGGGTGGGAAGATCGCTATCTGCGGTTCGTGCAGAGGACCATGGTCTCTCTTGACGCTTTGCGGCAACGTAACTTGGACTTACATTTCAAGGTACTAGGCCATCTGGTTCGTGATGACAAAGTTGTTGGAATTGTCATGGAACCAAATGGTGGCCGTTATGTCAAGTTCAGTGACCGTGCATTGGTATGCATGCGCTTGTCAGCATTGCAACACATATTGATGAAAAGTTTATTCAAGGCGTACAACGCATTTCAAGAGCTACAGAAGCACAATTTACTCTTGGACTGCCCTCAATTCAGCTTCTTCAATATGAAGATTGCTGACGGCAAAGTGCGCTTTGAGAGCAGGACTCTTCAGATCCTGAGAGACGTCTCTTACGAACGTGATCTAGAGCGATTGGCGTGGGTCAGAAAAAATCATTGGGATTCTCTAGACCCGATGATGGATATACTCGAGTCTTTAGCGCGAGCGCGCAATAAAAATCCTCAGACAATTGCGAACGCCGTCCGAGAAAGGGTTGACTGTCGTTTATTGGCATACATACCCTTTCCCGAGCGACCACTCCTCCTTGCTATCAGCAGCAACCACTACTTCGACATCATTCGGAACCAGCATCATCGAGCAAACACCCAAAAGATGCGGTTACCCCTCCTTAGTAAATGCGGGGAGCATCCACCAGTGTAGTGACACTTTCCCGTACTTCCCGGCGCCAGCGAGAACGCAAGGACAGGCTTTGTCGGCTTTGGAATGCACCTTATTCGTCGGAGTGTTCTGACTTCAGCGACGCGACATTGATATCTGAGGACGACTCACTCCTTACATAGAGGAATCTGATGTCCTTACTCACTTCATGACTTCATGATTTTACGCTTGCTTCTCCGTCGTTTCTTTCTTCGGATAGCTGGGTTTTCGGAATCATATTGTGTATCAATGATCTTCCTTATTGCCATTCTCCTGTGCTTATGATTTCAGACTTGAAATGGCTACGTACATGCTACTCTATTCTGCAGGTCTTGTCACTGATGTGAAACCTATGCTCAGAATGCTATCAAGTTTGTTGATATCAGATATCTCGGGGGATGGGCTCGCCACCCATTAAAGCTTTTTTGGTCACCAAATCTCGAAGCAGCCTCTCTCAGCTCGGTCACTAAAACGATTATGACTCGCGACCACCTCGTGGAGGCGGGGAACGATGGTATTCGCAAGCGGAACCCCATCTTGAATTGGATTTTCTGTTCATCTTTAAAGGGTACTGTGCACACGAAGGAAAACGCGAAAATGGACCGTGGGCGACACACCCACGAGTGTCGGCTGCAACCTGCATTGACATGTATTCAACGGTCTGACAGTAAACACCGAACGATGAACTAGATCGCGACAGCTACGAAAAGTGACCTTCATCCTACAAGTACCCGCCGCGTGCCGGGGCATGGACCTTGCTGATTCTGTACAATCTGCCTACCCTTTTACATAATTCGTCATCTACTTGATAAAAAACCCTGGTCTTCCGAATTGTTTATGTTTGGGCGTATGACTAAGAGCCGTAGAGGTCAACCACTGATTTTCCAAGAAAATAGAGCCAGATTGCAAAATGCGAGCTGGCGGCGAACATTTTTCCCGTAGCTGTCATCAATTTCGCTGCTCAAATGTCAAGAAATAAAGCGATCAATCGTATTGAAAATGTATTTGGTTTGAAGGTTAAGCATCAATAACTCAGTAAGGCCGGCAAGCGGCAAGGCCCGCTACCTTGACCTCACATGATGGATTTACCTGACTTCACAGAGTTCAAACTTGCATTCTGAATGACATGCGCGAATCCAACGCACATACAGCATTGATTGGTTGCGGGGAAAAAGTTCGCTCGGTGGCAGCTATGCTGCCACCAGCTCACATTTTCCCTCGCAACCATTACTCAGGCAGCGACAAAGACCAAGTGACAAGGTAAGTAGTGGGCGTAATTGGGCGCCGCGGTGGAACAAACTGAGTGTCTTCACACGTAAAAAAAACTGCCATATTCTGCAGTCTTGCCAAAGATGTTCACACCAATGAGGCCAACTGTGTGCTGCACCGTTCACGATATGTCAACACTGGAACGTGCGAGTGGTAGCCGTCTGGCACCGTGTCTAAAACACATTGGTTGTGCACAAAATCCTAAGTAATGTGCAGGATATGTCAAGCCAACTTCATAAGCGTACAATTCAGCATTGACGGTGTGCATTCGCTTGACTCAAACTCCACATTCATGATGCGATATCTTGTTGTGAATGGTACATATAATGAACGGGTGCCCAGGACTTACCGTACAAGGGAGGGTCGTTGGTATTGAGTGTTCGTGCTTGAGCTCAACTTGCTCAAGCCGTGACGGCGGTTATCGACAAAAACGGTAGATGACGGCGCAGGGACGATCGTCCCACGCCACAAAAATAATAGGGGGCACAGGAGCTGGCTCGCACACTGCTTTTTTCCGCCAAACGGAAGCACAATAGGGACATACCCATTAACCCACTACCAAGGTAGCGGGAATACAATCACAAACTCCGACTGAACTGGTTCGTTTACCGCCTGGCGAAGCCGGTGGATTGGTACTCATCTTTCATCGTTTCCTACGATGAGCGGTCGAGGCTTGAAGGAGTTTGCTTCTATTTACCTTAGCTGTATAAACGGGGATGGCCAATCAATTCAGTCTTCCAGTCATCATCTTCTACCTCGAGTGACGGACAGTGCCAGCTTCAGGAATCTCCAAGTACGTTCCACTTTGCCTTGTGTAATAAAGAGGATTAACATAAGTAAATTAGAGACACACATGGACGCTACAGATGCGATGTTCCACTTGGATGCAGTAGCACATTCTGTGCCAGAACCTGTATTCCCGCCTGAAAATCTAAACTCTCACGTCTCTGGTATTCTTCGTGCCACACGACCTTTCCTTGATACCGACCATGACTGGATACTCCCCAATATCGAGGACCTCCAACAACAGGTCTCGGTATACGACACCTTGCTAGACCGCATCGATGCAATCAGATCAAAGGTACAAAGTCATCGCGACGCAGTCTATAAATCCAAGGCAGCGTATGCATCGATGTCAGTGCCCATTCGCCGTCTTCCCAGGGACGTTCTTCGATCCGTGTTTCACTGAGATGCAAATCTCGCAGTGGCAGAACGCTAACAAACCTAAGCCGTCATGGTGGCACGAGGAAGATCGCGTGGTGCTGGTTTTTTCACAGGTTCCGTGGGTGCTCTGTCATGTATGCGGTGCTTGGAGAGATATAGTTATATCCTATCCCCAGCTCTGGTCACATATAGCGCTTAACTTTACTGTCCCCTCCCCGTTCAAGGTGCCTGCCCTGGCGAGCACCGTCGTTTCCGTGCTCCTCGTTATACCATCGACGCACTAAAAGCCGCGATTCATCATTCGGAACAGTATCCTCTTGAAATAATGTTCAAACTCGATTACAACAGCGATGAAGATATGGCCGTTCAAGCTCTTTCCGTGATTGTCAAAGAGTCATATCGGTGGAGGACCTTGCGGCTATGTACATCTCTGAAGGTGTTGGAGCGGTTGAATGTGGTTCGCGGAAAGATTCCTTGTCTGGAGTCTTGCACTTTGACCGCTTTGGATATGCCAGAAACCGGCAGACTGGGAGCAGGCGTGCCTGAAGGTACTCGATTCATCTTCGCTGAAGCCCCTCGTCTTCAAAAGGTGACTTTATGCGGTACCCGCGGTCTCAGGGATTTCATATTTCCTCCCCGTATCACTCATCTTGCGGCATATGCGAGGAATATCTCTAACCTTGGAATTTATCTGTCTCTCGTAGAATGCCATCTCATGGTACATCGAACAGACGATCAGGATATCTCCCCCCCCCCCCTTCACATTTCCCTTCCCAATGTCCGGTGCCTTTTTGTGACATCACTGCGAGTACTAGCACACCTGTGCCTACCTTCCTTAAATAATCTCACAGTCCATCGTATCAACTCAGACCCTACCAGCGATGCAAACCCCCGCGATGTTCAGATCGTGAACGATTTCATCCGACGTTCGCGGTGCTCCCTTTCCAGATTAGTCTTCCGTTCTTCGAACACCGATGATCAAATCTTTATCCGAGAGTCATTCTTATTCATGGACACTCTAGTGTTCTTGGAAATTTTTTTCCTTCAGGGCATTCAAGATACCTTCAATGCCCTTGCTCCCGTCGGATTTCTCCCAAATTTGCAGCATCTAAGGCTATATTGTTTCGATATACCTTCATCGCAAGAATCCCTCATTGCAATGGTATCATCGCACAGCCAGAATCTTCGTTCGATCAAAATTTATTGTTCCAAGCCTGAGGATGCGGAGAGCTTCAATCGACATATCGCACGGCTGCAGCAACCCGGACAACACTTTATTGCTACACAAAAAAGACTAGACCAAAACCCTTTTGGAACGCAGTCGCATTTCGGCATTTTCAGTCAACCCGATTTATATGTTCCGGTTGACAAGTGACTTTTTCTCTACAGTACGTCCTCCCTTATTCAGAGATCTCCAGTTGCAGCAACAGACCTTCTAGGTTCGCTGCGAGCACCATGGGATTAAGTTGGATATGTTAACGCGCGATAGCACGACCCGTTTGAAGGTACTATGGCTTCAGTACTGGGTAGTCAATTATCTTGCAATTTATACCTTTGTAGAACTAGCTGTTGTCATCTACCGTCCCAGAGATCTCTTGTGTCCTTTTCCACCTCCCAATTCAGATAGAAAGGATACACTTATTTGTGTAGGGAATATTAAACTTGACAATGGGGAGTTCATATCAGAATGCCCCCAGCTTTTACGCTGTTTAGTATTTTGACTGGTGAGTTTCGCAGTGAATAATTCGCACCGAATGAACAGATAAAGTTGAAGAACGATAACTCGGACTTCAAGCCCTTCGCCGCCAGCTCGTTTTGTCCCAATGTGAATATTTTTCATAGAGGGACCATTTATCTGTGGACAGGTAGCAGAACAATGTAGGTGTTGGTGTTGGTGTTGGTGTTGGTACCGGCACAAGGTCCCAATAAGGAACGGCCGGGCCCACAGCCCAAACATGGCAAGCCTATGCGCTGTGGCCACGAAGGCTCATACCGTTGTGATCACACTGTTGAGTGTGTCGCGCTGGAGTAGAGACACATCGCGGGGTATATAAGGAAGCAATACAAAGGACAATGTAGAGGGACAGCATTAAAGTTTACGGAAAACATCAAATACATATTTTGCTAAAGATCCACAAGTCTTATCTATCTGCTGCGAGGAGTGTACGAGTCCCATCATACCCGGATACAGAGGAATACAGCAATGATGGTGTTGACTCCATCTCAGAATCTCGACGGCAAGGGAATGGGAAGAAGTCAGTAAGTGAATGAGTGCCTTCCTGTGTGCGGGAATAGGCGCATTCAGATAATTATCGAGCGAAAATTCGCAACGGCAGACTTGCAGACAGCACTGTGGCACGAGAGCTAGTATCGGTAGAAAGATAGGACAGACTTGGAGGACGTTTCAATGAAGGAATTGATATCCATTAGACACAACTTCACCGCTGCCATAACATTATCTATATCACCTAGGATCCGTGGTGGAGCTGCTGTAAGACACGTGCAAGGTCAGATAACGAAAGCTCTTCACAGGGTACACAATTAAATCAAAGGGAACATATCTCGCTCAGAAAGAATTGTATCGAAACCGGTGGAACTGACAAGTTGGAAGGACAAGTAGCGGAAGGCGACGAAAGAAGGACATAAATTCAGACCAACAACCATCGAAGGCTGTTGAACACCACGGACGATATTACTGCGATCCAAGTCGTAACGGAACAAATTTCAATAGGAGTACCAAGAGCCAACCAGGAAGCAATTCGAGAGCGCGTCATGGAACCAGGTAAGGGATTGTTCCAAATTCCAAACAATGAGACATGTGCATCAGCGATGACGACAAAAGAACATGTTAATAAACAAGAATACATAACAGACTCAGACATGGCGCACAGGCCATGCGCTGCATGGAGAGGGAGATTACAGGTCAGCAGCGGGCGAATGAAAGATGCTAAACACAATGGCAGCGTCTGACCCATCCACCGACAAACATTGACAAGGAACCAGACAGCGGGAAGGGAACACGAGCATCAGGCGAGCATAACTGACAAGGTCCGCCATTTCCCTGAACAGCATGCCTGTAGCAATGCTCGAGCCTTAGCCCATGAAAACCACAAAGCGGAAACCGAGTACAACCAAACAGGCAAGCTCCTTCGAAAAAGAGACTGCCTGCGGACGGAACACCGAGTACCACCCAACTGATGAGCTCCTTCGTAAAGGAGACCATCAGCGGACGTAACAACCGAGTACCACCAAACTGGTGAGCTCCTTCATAAAGGAGACCACCAGCGGACGTAACAACCGAGCACCAGACAGACCAGATCCTTCGCAAAGGAAACAGCCTGCAGACAAAACAATCGAGTGCCAATGAACAAGGACATGGTGGTCAGTGGTATGAGACAATTCAACATCACCCGTGTACGGCTCTTCATCAAGGTAGCGTCGATGCATTCGTCTCTGCTTGAGAATGATGAGCATGAAAGGAAGGAAGTAGGTTTGTTGGTGATGGCGAATGAGGTTGCCGCGATGCGAATGCTCATGATGGTTGTATTGGAAGTGAAGGTTGGATACCGGGTAGAGTCCAACAAAGATGCTGGGAGAAGGTGCTTGACGCGCTCAGGCTGGTTTCCCCATTTCGGCCGAATCAGCCGACTAATATGTGTTACACTTTGTCACAAAAGTGACACCACGCGACCGGCGCGACGCGTCTTCAAGCATCACGCTTCATCTTCAACTCCAACAACGAACTTACTGATCATATTTTCCCTCCGTCCTTTAACTTTCCGCTCGCTGCTCAGCCAGAAAGTGGAGGTGCCTCTCTCATTTTTGTCACTACTCTCTCTTCACCGACAGATTAGATACGAAGATTTTGCAGAATGACTCTACTATTGCTGTTGCGGAACGTGACGACTGATGATAGTAGCATCGGCAGGACAGGCTACTCACAATGGTGGTGTCTTCAAGTGTCATTTTGTAATGGTAGATAACGTGCAGTACAAGAGCATAATTACACTGGCAGGACTTCGGGTGCCAGCCAGAATATGCAGTCTCCTCAGGCCTCCTCCGCGAATAACGTTATGACACTGGAAAGGTGGCCATAGCTTCAGTCACCAGTCACAATCATCGGGATCCCTAGGTATTTCAATGTCAATTGCAAGGACACGGACATAAGCAGGAACCTTGCTTTCTGGTACCGCAAATGATGAAGGTCCGATTCATCGTTCAATGTCCTGCATCGAATTTCAGGCACTTCAAAAATTCCGTTGCGAAACGACCGACGATAGCTGAGTCTCGATCAGTCTTGGGGTTACGAGGTAACGGAACAGCTCGTATGTCCTGGCCTCACGGCGAACCTCGATTTCACAACAAGTGCTCATGCTGTCGGAAAGCAGTGGCGACTCGATCGCTCCCTGATTTGCCATCTGAATGAAAGTTGCCATAGAGGAGATGTGTCGGACGTGACGCTCATACCGTTTACGACTTATTCGGTGCCTGTCGGAAGTTCCAGCAGATTCCGCCCAGATCCCAATTAAGGGAGCGCACACATTAAAAAATAGTTTGTCTGGACTGGCACTGGGGCTAGATCAACGCGAGATTATAATCACTGATCTAGCGATGTACAGGGCCCGGCTTGGCCTGGCTTTTAGGGCTTGGGCTTGGCTTAAGGCGGGCCTGGCTTTCGAAATCGTAAGCCCGAGCCCTGAGCCCAAGCCCTACCGGGCTCAGGCTTGGCTCGGGCTCAGGCCAGGGCTTGGGTAGTAGGAAGTGATAATCATGTTTTCAGTTCAAATAATAAATTTTTCATTGTCGAGTGCATTATTGACTATAGTCTTGTCTTTCAGGGGATAGTTTACATCGTAAATCTGCTGCTTTACTTACTATATTGACTTCCTTTATTATCTCTTCTTTGAGAATAGCAGCTTTCCCAGAAGCCTCAGGGATTATCAAGCACTAGTCACGGAAATATTGATTGTCATTTTGCGACCGCATATTTCTGAGGGACTATAGAGCTTTGACAAAATTACCATGTAGTCATTTACGAAGCCTAGTTATAGTGCTACAACATCCTCAAAAGCCGGCCTGGGCCTTCTGATCAAGCCTGAGCCAAGCCTCTTCAAGCCCGACACCAGGGCCCGGCTTGGCTTGGCCCGGCTTGGCCTGGCTTTCGGGCTTGAGCCAGGCCCTGTACATCGCTACACTGATCAGTCTAAGCGCCAGATTAGCGCTCAAGCATAGGTCCCAGATGCATTCCTTGCTTGCAGTTTGTTGCACAATGTATCCATGGTGCCAAAAGGTATGTTTCCTGCAGCTTTCAAAACATTTGACCATTATACTTATTGACAGGTTACTAGACGTTCATCCGAGATTGCCGGTCATCTACATCAAAACGAGTTAAACCCCTACAACACGTTACAAGGTACCCTTTATTCAGCGCCCATACAAGCACCAGAATCAAATATAAAATTCCGCCCTTTACGGCACGTCGACGGAATCTTTACTTGATATAAAAACTCAGCGAGTCGATTCCGAATCTCTTCCTAGGACCAATGCCACTCTTCAACCTCTTCAAAGCCAAACCGGCTGTCGAGAAGACCACGACGTCGTTCCTTCAAGAACAAGACCACGCCGGTCTATTAGTAACCGCTGAACTAGAAAAGGCACTAGCTGATTGCAAGACAAAAGTTGAACGGATTGCAAAGGAATGCAAGACGAAGAATCGAAAGTTCCGGTTTGTTATCGATTATTCTTCGCAGCCTACTGTAATCTAACTTTCAATTTCACAGAGATCATGAATTTGATCTACAGAATGACAGATTTCGGTGCCTTCATGGACTTGCAAGCGAGGAAACATACAACCCCTCTGATGTACTCCGCGTCACGCAGATCTTCGACAATCCTCAGTTTTTCATCGATGGCGCATCTTCGAACGATATAGTTCAGGGCGCTATTGGCGATTGTTGGTTTGTGTCCGCATTGGCAACGATGTGCACATCCCCAGGATTAGTGGAAAAATTCTGTGTTGCTGTACGTATCCTTTTCGACACATTCAGTGATATACATCTCACTTGAGGCTGTATCCAGCGAGACGAAAAGATTGGGGTATACGGATTCATCTTCTTCCGCGACAATAAATGGGTTGATGTGGTCATCGATGAGTAAGTTGCTTCCCTAATTCATTCCGCAGTGATCTCAGCCTGTTGTAGCCTGCTCTATACATCCACTCCCAAATTTGAAGAGCTAAGTGGCACAGAAAAGCAACTCTATCACCACGACAAGGCGCTCTACAACAGATCTTCGCGCAAGGGGAGCGCTGCCCTCTACTTTGCCAGGTCCGGCACTGATGGAGAGACGTGGGTGCCACTGATCGAAAAGGCGTACGCGAAACTACATGGGAGTTATGGCGCCTTGAGCGGTGGGTGGGCTTGCGAGGCTATTGAAGACCTCACAGGGTACGTTTTCATTCAAACTTATTTATATAACCGTAAGCTAATTTAGCCACAGCGGTGTAACGTGTTTCATTCCCGCAAACGTGCAGTTGATGTTTTTCTTCTTCACGGCAGTAGCTAACGCAACGTTAATCTCCAGGACATCCTTGATCCAGATCTATTTTGGATTGAGGAGCTGCTGAATGCTAATCATGATCGTCTCTTTGGAGTCGCATTTGATGATCTCGATACCAGTCGTAGCGGGGAGGATTCCATCAAAGTCAGTGGTCTGATGGGTGGGCATGCATACTCGGTTCTCAGAGCCGTTGAATGCAAAGGAAAACGTTTCGTTGTCGTCAGAAATCCTTGGGGTGATTCCGAATGGACTGGCCCTTGGTCGGATGGATCGAAGGAGTGGACACCGGAATGGCTTGAGGTGCTTCCCCAACTTGGACATTCCTTTGGAGATGATGGGCAATTCGTCATGGAGTGTGCGTGTTCCTTTTCCTTCCTTGCCCAGGTTTCGCTCATCCTCACGGCCTTGATGCAGACTCGGACTTTTTGGCATGCTGGGAGCAGATTGACAAGACTATTTTGTTTGATGCGCACTGGGTCATGTCCTCTCAGTGGCTTCAGGTAACAACACGCCCGCTTCCTTCAGCCTGGACGTACGGGGATGTATCATGTACGTTTTATTTTTGCTGCTTGTGTTCGCTGCTGTGCTGAGTCGCTGCTATAGTCACCATCACCTTACCTGCTGCTACCAAGGCTGTGATCGTCCTATCCCAGTTAGACGACCGTTACTTTGCGCCTATATCAGGGCGCTCCCACTGGACCTTTGATTTCGCAGTGTTCAAAAAAGGGGGAAAGGATCTTATTGCGCAATCTTCGACGTCTAGGATCCTGGCGCGGAGCGTGAACGTTGAGCTGGACTTGGAAGCGGGTTCGTATGTCGTACATGTACGTTACGGGTTTGTTCTGGGTGGGTACATCACTCACTCTGATTTCGATTCAGGTTCGTCTGGATCGCTTCGTATATCGTCCATCGGTAAGACGGACAAACATATCTCTGTGTGATGCTTTCTGACTGCTACTAGACATACCTCCAAGAAGGCATCGAGAATTGGAACTCGCGTTTCCTTTCGAGGGTACTCACTGAGCGCGCCAAGAGTCAATCCATTGCTATGAGTGAGTCACGATAATAGTACCTGTCTCATGTATCTAACTAATCCTTCCCTTCTTGTAGACTTCAATGCAAGGTAGTGTCTCTTTCACAGTCGACGGGACGGCTCATGAAAACATTGATAAATAGCTCGCAAGCCCAGAATCTGCCCATTCCTTTGGATATTCTCGCTGGACAGGATCTGTCCGAGTTGGAACAGAAGGCGTTAGCGATCAGGAAAGCGGAGGAGGAGAAATTTGTTGCAGAAATGAAAGTTGCCGCTGGAGAGAAGGTAGTCGAGAAAGAAGAGGACGGAGAGAAGACTGAAAACCCACCTGGGGAAAGTACTGACAAGGAAGACACGAAGGATAGTCCTAGCCTCAGGAAGGATGAGACGACCGAGGAAATACATGAAGAGAAAGTCGAGGGGAAGGAAGAGAAGAAGAAAACGGACGAGGATGGTCCCGTAGAAGCCATCTCCACAGATACCGACAAAACAGTCGACATTGACAAGACTGATGTTGTCTCCCAATTCTCCGACGACGATGACGACAAGGCAAAGATCGCCAGGGATATCAAAAGTGTGTCTGAGGATGACTCGATTTTCCTCGGTTTGCGAGTCTACACGTCCAAGGATGCCCCCGCTGAGATTTGCGGCCAGCTAAGGCATGAGATGGAGCTGTCCGCGGCTCTAGCTTTATAAATTCGTCTAAATTACTGACTCAATGTACTACCATACCAATACCAGCATGTTTTACCACTCTCCATCATCACCAGTCTCGATATCCTCCACAGCCATCGACAGCAGGAAAAGTTTAGGATGGAAAATTCACTCGGCACACTTTAGATACCTAGCTTGGAGTCTAGGAATCTTTCACGTCTTCTCCGCTCCCAAGCCGAGCCCTATGTCGAGCTCTCCCTCTCCACTCGCTGGGCCAAAGATTCTCGTTCGGAATCTTGAGCTCTTGGACAGTCAAAAAAAGTCGGCTGAGATCGGCGAAGGGTAAGCATGATATAATATCAACTCAAATTGGCTCGTAAAATGTCTGAAACTCTCGCAGATGCTTCATGCTGTGTTGGAAGGAAGAAAGGAAGCCTTCAGTAGTGTCGAGGGGTAACATTAGATGTAAAATGACCGGATGGGTTAAGGCGCTTTGTTTGACACGACGACACCGAGCCAAATAGTCTATTTTGATCAACGCCCACCTACTTGTGAGCCGTCTCGATACCGCGTTGCAGTGCGCATCGCACAGGCACTGGTAGACCAACATCATTCAAGCTCTTGAACTACTGTGTGAAGGTGCTTGGACGTTCTTTCGGCTACGACGAACACCCTGGCAACGCGTCCGCTGACGAGCAGCACGAAGAGGACGCCTCCCGCTAGACGATGCATAGGGCAAGCTCTGGAGTGCGAGGGAAGCAGCTGAAGAAGGGAGGAGGTGCATGGGTGCCGGGATGGTAAGTTCCTCCCATTCAGTCTATGTCGTTTGTTGCTCACCTCGTTAGCCGGGTCTTACAGTTTTACTCCGGAATCCCATCTATGTAGAACCCTCGAGCTACGGACGTCCGTGCTATTTTCCAGCAGGGAGCGTTAACCCACGATCCGATAAAGCATCACAAAGACGAAGGCACGCTCGTCGCTACCGTCAACGATGTAGAGGGAGCATAGGTGGTGACAGGATGAGCGGGGGTAAGTGTTCATTAGTCCTCACCCCCATCCATGGTACCCAGCCTTCTCGCAGCACCTTCTATTGCTTCAGAGAGCACAGGAGCCTCGATGACGTCTCCATGCAACACCCGCCCTCTGCTTCGATTACCGGGTATTATTTAACCACCTCACACAGCACGAGGATGGCGTTACTGGAGCGAGCCGTATCGATACCGCGTCACAGGAACCGGTAGTAGAAGAAAAGTAGAGATAAGACGATTTTCTTCTCATTGCTTGCTTATAGCCTCGCGGCCGTCAATATTTGTCCTGGTGGTGGTGAATGCCTCTTTGCTTCGTCAGTAGCATGTGATGTTATTCTTCTTTATTCTACCTCTAAGACGTGTTGACCCATAGCTGTGATTTTACAGATAACGAAATTTGATATAATTGTAAGTACGTTTCTTGTACACTTGGGTAATGCGTGCTAACAAATGACTTCAGTAATTTTTACTATGGAGCCAAGTGCCACAAGGTTGAACGTTGAATGACGACAAAATGGGCCATTCTGTTTGAATGCATTGTTAGAGCTCGTCGTACGGTTCTTGAACAGCGGTTGCGGCAGTGACGTAAATAATGCACATCGGCTTCTCTTCTTGCACCACCCCCATCTTCGCGCTTCGGCTTCATGATCATGGCTATTGAAAATTGCCTGAACAGGAAGACGCCTCTCAGATGTGCATAGTGATCCTCCCTGAGAAGAAAGATAGGATTCGGTCACGTTCGATCTCTGGGACCATCGTCTGCATGCTTCTCCTTCAGAGTATAAATCTCGCCGATTGAGATGTGTTACCATATTTACCATGCAGGCCTCAACCACCCCAAATGACACCTCCGTCACCAGCGTTGACTGCCACGCATCCCTGTTGCTCTCTTGGTCTCGGAAATGCAGATCATCGTACTGGTTTGCAACGTTCGTAGTTTGGCTAGGTGTGGTTCGACACGTCCTCCCGAGACAAACTCACTTATAGCAAAACAGGTCTCGCTACAGATCTTCTCATTTATTCTATGGTCATCCCCGTTGTTCCTTTCCAGCTCGGACGCCTCGGGTGTAACGATGTATCCTCCCTGGCGGGATGGCTTCTCTTCGCATACGTATGGTCACAATCAATTTATCGTAGAATCAGGATCTAACCTAATCATTCTCAGTACGGAGGTCTTATCTCTGGTATATTTATTCTTCGCAATGCGATAAGATTAAGAGCTGACAACTCAGTCGTAGCTGCCATCCCCGTCGCTGTGTGGTCTGAAAAATGCGATTCACGAAAATTACCCCTCGTTCTTGGAGTACTCATACTCATAGGTTCCCAAATCATGTTCATGGAGGCCCCGACTTACTGGCTGATGGTCCTCGCACGAGTTCTCCAGGGCGTTGGATCCTCCATGACGTGGGGAACTGGCTTGGCAGCTTTTGTGAGTCACGTCTCTATGCAGGACCATATTTTGACGCCCTTGGACTTCATCTTCTAGGTGCGATAAAAGTCCCACAGAACTCGCTGGAAGTGCGTACTATCTCAAATGCTCGCATTTGCTCGTCTCATCGCATGTCAGGGGCAGCTCGGGATCGCAATGTCCGGCGCTTCCTTTGGGTAATACATCCTCTTCTTTTGAATTCAGTAAATGATATCTTTTCAGAGAGCTCCTTGGGCTCCCATTAGGCGGGGCGCTTTACACCCGTTTCGGCTTTCGTGGGCCCTTCATTTTCGGGATCATTGTCGCCTTTTTGGATCTTGTGTTCCAGTTTCTCACTATTGAATGCAAGGACTCACAAAAACAGCCCTCTTCTCCCGATAGTCTCGCACTGGAGAGGGACACGTCGGACAATGATAACACCGTACAGCAAAAAAGCATATCTTTTACACAAGTTCTCCGTCTTCTGTTCCAGTCAAAACGTGCTCTAACGGCAACTTGTGTCCTATTCTTCGCCGGGCATGTCCTCCCTACTTTTCTTCCTTCCTCCTTGATGTGACTAGGCCTATATAGCATGGCTTTCGGCATGCAGGAACCTGTTATATCTAGCCATTTGAACAGTGTTTGGGGGCTCAATCCATCGGAGGTTGGTCTCGTCCTCTTGGCCGCTGCCATTCCTACTCTTTTCGGTGGGTAATACTGATTCCCATTCCTGTACCTATCCTTATGAATCACATTAGCTTCGCCTCTCTCAGGTTGGCTGACGGATCGGCAAGGTCCCTCCTCTGGTGATCATAAGCGCATTGATCCCTCTCCATTACCGTGGTATATCGTGAGGACGATAAATGGTCATATGGCTTTGTTCATCGTGGCTTATGCCTCTGCAAGTAAGTGATCGTAAGCATCGAACTTTGTCGATCTTACAGGGTCCTGGTATTCATACACCAGTCTTCTTCACCACTGCAGTCTGGTCTCCTGTTTCAGCAGAGCTTGCGTCAGTGTCACGAAATGTAGACGGTATTGGATGTACGTGCAGGATGATTTTCTTCACTGGCTCCCTCGCCAATGAAATCTATTGGCCTAGATGCTCATGTTTCGGGAATTTTCAGTCTGGCGTATGGGGCAGGAGCAACAGGTATGAATATCTGCCTTACTATAGCTCGTTCGGGATTTTTTCTGACTCGCTTGTGCGTAGTCGGACCTGTTGTAGGCTGGTCAGGTCGGTGCACATCGACCTCAGGCTCAGACATTTGATAAACTGACCTCTCGGTATTGTAGATGTACGATAATCTCAGCAAGGGATGGGCGACTATCTCTTTTTATTACGGTCGGAGCACTTGCCATCGGTATTGTCGTCACGGTTTTATATAGTGGAGAGAAGCCCATAGCCCGACGATACTACTTGTAAATACCGTGGTACAAAGATCCATTTCGGTGCTTCGTACTGGCTCATGTGTCTTGTGCGAGCTCTTCAGGGTCGTCGGGTTGGCTATCCCGTGATAAAATCCCTTCAAGACAAGTCTCAGTCTTGGGCTGCAACTCCTCATTTCCAAGCTGCCCACTAGTACCCAGTACTTAACCCCTGTAGCTTCTCTCAAGAAACTATGGATGACTCTAACCCCCAGCTGCCCTTTGAGCTTGTCGAGATTATCGTCTCCGAGTTTTGGTACTCTGAACATACATCTGACGACCGTATCACCTTTATGACTGCATGCCCACTCATCAGCCGCCTCTGGAGGGACATCTACGCCCATATCACATCCCGGAACATCTACGTCCCAACTGTCCCATATCTATTCTACCTCTGCTCTACTATCCATTCTCAAAAATCATCAATCTACCGCCCTTTTCTTCCCGAATCCACTCGTACCATCACCTGCCATGTCGATCTCCTCAAATCAAACAGTGACTCCGCCATGTTCCCATACGTAGTCCTCTGCGACCTACCCAATTACACCGGCTTTCGCAAATGTTTTCCCAACATCCAGTACATCCACCTCGAAACCAAGTCCCTTCCTGGACCATACTGCAGGCTGTCCCACCGACTCATCCGAACTCGACTTTCCATAAGACTTGATCAAGCGACAACACAACGTGATGACCTACCCGTAGATTGGTGTATCACTGTTGATGATCCTCCAGATATCGGTGAAGTCGATCCCAGTATCCTCGAGAGGTCATGGATGTCCTTCCTTTGCGAAGTGGTGTGTGATATGAATCAGTACAGCTGGAGGTTAAGGTGCATGTTTGATATGTCATCCCATTTCTCTGCGGCGAAGAGCTCGACGTGCTCTGGCAGGGTCCGTAGTTTTCACGGTCGCACCTGCTGCGAAGAACGAAGCAAAGACATGTGGGGTATCAACCATCGTTTCTGGAAGGCGGGCAGAACTTGCACAAGTGAGACTTCGGAGGTGTATTTCCTTTTTGATTTTTCATGCTCAACTTTGTGTGATTTAGGTTTGAAGACATTTTTTTCTGACCTGTACGACGAGTTGTGCTGGGATGATTTCCCGGAGGTTAAGCTTCCCATGTGGAGACGCACATTTGGTGTGGACTGAGGGTTGGGAGTTGATGATCGGCAAAGCTCTTTTACCATAAAACACGGTGCCGTAGTCTTGCTATGAAGGAGAAACATGTATGTGTATGCCTTTCAGCTGCACTCCATCTTTATTCTGGTGACAATTCTGAGTCGACATGGAATATATATCTGAGAAGGTTTTTACTCCGGAAAGCCTCTTCATCTGAACGGATGCTTCTATAGCGTTTGAGACGTCAATGTGACCTTACTACGTACTTCAGGAAAACATGAACAAAAACATATTTCACGACTCCCATCCAGGAAAAAGGCTCGCATTAGGGGTGAGGGCGCTGGTCGTCGTGTTGATAGGAGGATCGGGCTGTGGAAAGAGAGGAAGAGGACCCACCGCTGTTCGAACATTCAAGAGGTTTTCTGCTCACTGTCGCGCGCATGGTAATTGCATGCTTGCTCGCATGGAAAATGGGTCCCTCTGTATGGATGAGGTGATACTGCTCGAGGAAGATGAAAATGTCATGCAGCATGTGAGAGAGAACTCACCAAGGACTGGCTCCTCCAGGCCTAGAGATGGGTGGGAGTGGAGGTCGCGAGAATGAGAGCAAGTCAAGGAGTCGAGGGCTATCGTCGCCTTTGAAGATTGCCGCCTCTACTTTGTCTCCGTCGTTGAGAATGGCGACGAATGTATCTTCGTCTTTTGCAATGCTCCCCTGACGAAAACACGTCGTCTCAGGGGAAATTGGATCGTGGGTTGACGCGCTCCTACTAACGCGGATGTCGTGACTCGGGGCGGGGTGTGCCTCCCTGTGTTGTCGTGACCGAAAGAATAAAGTTGGCACTACAGAGATGGTGAGTATCAGTCAAGGTGAGTGAGAAGACAATACTTACTATTCCTCCTCCGAACGGGGGAGAGGTAAGTCCTTTGTGTTTACCGACTCCACTTGCACGAGGCGCCAGGAGGTGGTACCACCATTGACTTCTAGAGCCATGGTAAGTGCTTAGCTCTTTTCCTTTTCACGTTCGCACACACATGACATCTCCCTCCTTTGCACGACGCTGGCTTTCTTTTGCCTACCCGACACGAAAACGCGTCCTTCTCGCGATGCTGCCTCCATGGAGGGTGATGCGTGATGACTGAGAGGAAAAGTGAAGATGAGAGGAGATGAAAGGCGGTATTGGGGAAGGGACGGACATGAAGGTGATGCGCGCGCGGACGGGGAGGATGACAACAAAGCCCGTGAGAAGGGGTAGCGCGTTCTCCTGACTGGTCAGGGTAGGGAGCGAGTAACGAGAGATCGATGAAACTGAGTTGGGCGAAGAGACGGTCGTCCGGTCAACATTCTTTATTAAGCTTGTCTGTCTCGAGCGAACTACGCAGTGTCAGGAGGAAGCAAGAAAATAAAGTTGTTACGTACTAGAGCAAGACGCTACTGCCTGATGAGGAATGTTTGGCCGTGTCGAGTCAAACAAAACAAGTCATCATCGACATCCTTCTCGTCTCTTACCACCATACTCCTATATTCTACGTCTCTTTTTACTTCTTACCTTGGCTCAAAAAATTGCAAGATGAATTTATTTCTCAAGTCGCTGGGTGCTGTGTTGTGGGGTAAGGATTGGCGTTGATTTCATATAGTAACGGTATTGATCTTTCATTTCAGCCAACTTTCTTTTAACTGCCAAAAGTTCGATATTTTCGCCCCCCCCTACACTAGGCTTGGATGTGGAGGAGATGGCCAAACGCCTATCCTGGGTGCCGGCGATTCTCTCGCATGCCAAACAGTTTGTGTACATCCTCATTGACATCTCACACAGAGTCCATGGATGCATCCTTCGACAACTTTTCGGGATGAGTCACCGCTGACATGCGACGATGAGCTCTCCATTAGCAGCGGGGCCTGATTTTGAATTTTCATCCAGAGGCGAGGCAATAGGAAGCACGACAAATCGGAGTGAGGAAACGATGGAGCAGTGAGAGAAGTGTCGTAGGTTCTCTCCTTCACCCGTATTCAGAGGTCCTCAACCTTTCCACAGCCTGATCCTGATATGCCTCCGAGTAACCTAATGATCCTCCCTTCAACTCCAACGAACGGGGACAGTGCATTCACTGCCTCCTCGCAAAGTCGATGCAAGCCTTTTTTATGGATGGATATCGCACTGAGATGACCTATTATCATCCAGAGAGTGTGTGAGCAAGGATGCGGCAGGGGCGGGAAATATGCGACTCAGAGGGATGGGTAAGCTTTTTCGATTCACTGACTCCACTTGCACTCACCTCTCTGTAGCCTCGTGCCCCATAGCCTGAGTTATGGTGGCATCAACCCCCCCTGGATATCAAGGACTCAACACATGAAGACACGAGAAAACTATATCATTAAAGGTCTGAAAATCCCTCCGTGTACGTACAGTAGCTACTGGGACTGGCTACGAGCAAGCGCTGCCACGTCTCTGTACATAGATTATGGGTTGCGGTTCCGAAATATAGATTTTGTTTTTTTTTAAACAAAAAACCTCTCTGTAGCCTGATCTTGGTCCTATCTACGTGCAACGCTCAAAGGTGATCAGACCATGCACTTTACTGGGTAGGTGTTGTATTGAAAAAGTTGTATCAGAAATTGCTAGGGCCTTGACGTGTCAATGTATACAGCCATCCTTTCAGGGAGAGATGCCGCCATGACCAAATGTATAAAGATGGTGCTACAAGAAGGATAGGTGGATGAGATGACCGTCTTTAGCATCGGGCCAGCTGCTGCCTGCATGAAACCACCTGCAGTCTGTAAGCAGGTATGGGTATGACCAGTATCATCAACTCAGAAATGAGATTAGCCATTTGCAGGCCACGCACCTGAACGTATCACATATGCAAACACTGTTGAACGCGTGCACGCAAGTGTCGAACATAGAGTTCTCATGGCCCAAATAATTTGGCTATCCTCCGGGTGATAAAGGAAAAATCTGGGACTGGCATGAAACTGCTGCTACAGGGATTGAGATTAGATGTAAACCATAATTCAACCGGTATTATTGAAGGAGGACATGGTGCTGTTACTGTGAACATTTGCAAAGAGCCTAGCTCTGAACCTTGATGACAAAATCCAAGTTTTCAAACAAGTAGCCATGTCCAGTAAAGTAAAGGAGCTATTAAATAAATCTGGTACAATGACATCAATGCATTCTTGGATGGTACCAAACCTAGTCACCCATTACTAGACCAGTTCTACTTCCTCAGAAAGAGCTTCTCTAGTGTGGTGCTGCCTGACCCAATGTAATAGAGGGGGCAGTACTTTCACTTTTGACCAAGCACTTTTTATCTGTTCATTGTCTTCCTGAACAGGTCGCATGTCGTGAGTCATGCCAGAGCTATGCACACCTGTTGCGAGTTTTATCCAATTTTGTTCGATGTCAGCTTTGAGATCTGCAATGCACCAGGTAATCCACTCTTTGGGATAGCCGAAAAGCTGTTGAAGATGGTGTTCTTCCTCCTGAAGACTCTGCAAGCATTGGGGCCAAACAGGGTCATTACAATGCAGGAGTGTGAGTTGACGAAGTGCAGTGATGTTATTGTTAACAATTAGAACAGTGCAAGCTGTGTGAAGGGACCCATGCTCATGGAGGTAGTCCAGAGATCTCTGCTGTATCAGAGGATCCAATTCTCCAGATGACAGCCTGGCGACAAAGGTGCCTATGATGGTTGATAGGTCCCAATCAGAGGAGCGGGAGATGGAGAAGGAGCCAAAGAGTTGCTTGTCAACAAAATGAGCAAAGGCCACATTCATGGTGAAAGAATGCTCAAATAGATGGATGACGAGTTCAGCTGCTTCTCCGATGGAAAAACGGCCCATCTCAGGGCCCGATAACCATGCATCATCCTGAAAAGCAATGGACACGAATTTGGCGGTCAACTCGGCAGAAAAGTTATATTCAGGGTGAGGGTATGTGCAGTTGAGAACCCGAAAGAAGATGATCAAGGTGAGACACTGATCTTTAATGCACATTGAATCGTTGCCAACATGGTACTCCTCTGATGAAACTAACATGTAGAGCAGCCTTAGTACAGTAGAGCGATTGTTGTCAAGGGGAACGGGAGACATGCTGCCTTTGGGTTGATTGATTATATCACTTTTGACACCCATGTAAGCCATAATTCCCAGTAGGACAGCTCTGAAAAATGTTTCCGGAGAGGAATCAAGTGCATTCATCCTGTGTATCGAAGAGGAACCTGCCATGCTCAAGAGAAGTTGAACTCGGGAATCATCAGGATCAGAGAGCTGTGATGTGGAATCATGATAGGATACACTATCCTGGTCCTCAAAATCGTCACAGCCTTTGAGCAAGATATTGCCAATGGACATGAAGAGGGATTTGGAGATGGCTTTGAAAAGAGTCTGCAGATGGTCACCTGTGGGTGTCATCAATATTGGTAATCCTGCATTTGGAAAGAAATGGGGAGGACATTTGAAATTGGCATGCCAGTAGATTGTCGGAAGTGCATGGAACAGAAGTTCATACACTTTATGGTCAAAGGGTAGGATCTTGGAAAGAAGACGACCCCACACTAGGGGTTGCAGGCGTAGGCTCTGATGGTATGGCGGGGTTCGTAGATTAGCTACAATGAGGTCTCGGACATTTTGGGAGTTCTCAAAGTCGTCAACAGCGAAAAGCTCTGCACAAAGATCTGGCACCAATTAGTCCTTCTGGTGACTAGACATTTCAATAAAGAAACTATGACACTGAAAGCGAAGGTGTGCACAGATACAGCGGTCCAGTTTGTTTGTGTCAACAGCAGCATCACTTCGTTCGGCATCATCCAGAAGTTCTCTAAGTGTATAGGCGCAGACCCTCGGAAGCCCTTCCGTATAACGTTGTACGGAGGCGACAGATTGTATCGGTAAAGCGCTGGTTGATTCTACAACAATCCTCTGAACACTAGGGTTCGATGACATGGAGAACAGCCAGGACAAGGCCTGCACGTCTGTTTCATCAGCATTCAGCTTAACAGCTTCACGCTCTGCTTCTTGAAGTGTACGAATTGGAGCCTTATTGGGAACTGGTGAGGTCCCACACCAGTGTCTGGAAATCGGAGCGATGACTGAAGTCAAGATGCTGTTATGGGCAATGTGGGAATTGTTACGGTTATTCTTTTTCTTTTTCTTTTTCCTTTTCTTTTCTTTTCCTTTCTTTAGTCAGCCAGATTACGCACGAGCGATCATCACGGACTGACTCCCACAGTACTATTTTTAGCTACCAACGTGTATTTAAGTAGAGCCTCAGCTGGTCTAAACTCCAGCTTCGGCTAAGGTTTAATCTACCTAACATCGAACTCCGTCCTTCGTGACTACTTGTCCCATCGACTTTCATCGCCTTTGACTTGTTAGAGTATCGTCTACCGAAGTGCGAGTAGCGATCCTAGCACGATCTAAGTCGATAGAGTTAGTGGCTAACATTTAGCCGAAGCTCGTCTTCAGTTGCCCAACGACTTATCGTTGCCCAACATTTTTCCTATTATTCTCTTCATCGTTGTGGCACTCTCCGTGCTGCAGTTTCTCCTCAACGACCCGCTTGGATTGGTTATCGTAACCATCCTTCGAGTATTCCTCACCTGCGTATACATCCCATCTCCAGTGTTTGCAGGATTTCTCCTGCTACTCTGGGTCGGATTCCTACGCCATCATTAAAAACACGAAACCCTTTATTCTCGCTCTCCAGCTCGCCTCAATATTAACAATCTTGTTGTTGATATCGACGAGCACCCCTCCCGACGAAAACTGCGAAATTGTGTTGATGAACGGTTCCAATTACGAGACCGACCTCAGCCTGATTATCGCACTCCTTATTGTCCTCACCATACTTGCTGTCTACCAGCTTGCATGGTCAATCGTCGACTTACGCCAAGGATAGATCCACTCACGGATGCCCTGGTCCGACGCCATTCCCGCCGTCTTCGCGACTTTTATACTCTTTTTCTTGTCCATTACTTTGTACCATCTATGCCGCTGTTTTCAGCGACAGGAACGAGTCCGCACGCAGCTGCCGTTCCACTACGTTCCCAGCACTCCGGCGTATCCGCCACCAATAATTCACATCCCCGTGGCATCTCAACAAACGCTACAAGATGTCGAATCCGCTGCCTCCGGGGAACCTGGAGGATCCCTCTACACCTCGTTGCGACCCAGCTCGCGATCCTCAGAGTCGAGCACCGACTCCTACAGAAGCGCCTCCAGCGCAGCAGTCGACTCAATCGACATCACCGATACCCGGGGGGTACTCCTCGACCGAGGAGACTCGCCCTTACCAGGTCTCTTCGACCAGTCTCCAGTCCAAAACGAGTCTGGCACCGACGGAGGCCGAGGACAAGACACCAGGAATCTGGTCGAGGGCGAAGAAACGCCTGATACCGAGTTCGAAGGGGACGAGCTCTCCGAGTGGGAGAGAACCCGACTCGACGACCTCCTCAACAACCTCTACCCGAACGAGGAGGAAGATGCAACCTATACCGGAGACAAGTACAGCGGCCGGTCAGGGAACAAGTGGACAGACGCAGTCTGGAAGAGTGAGAGTAGGAGATACAGGGTCGCCCAGGAGGACGACTACGACACCGATTCCGGAGAGCTTGGCCTCGGAGCCTCCGCGGCTACCACCGGTACAGCTGTCCCACACCTTATTCCAGAGTCCTGGCCAATTGATCAAGGACCACCCATTGCCTGGTATCCAAGTACCAGTTGGGTCTACCCCGACCCAAGGGAAGAAACTCCTGTGGCCAGGGACTCTCCCAGATCCACCACCGCTAGGACCGAGAGCCCCCTGCTCTCTTCCGCCGTCTCCGAAGACGAGTCGACGAGTGGGGAGCTTTGGAGCGAGTTCTCGGACTACGACACCGAAGAACTTGGAACAATTACCGCTGCCGAACGTCTTGCCGGAGTCTCCAATTGGAGCCCATCCGTACCCTCGAGAGCCTTCGCTGACCCCGTCCCTCTCGCTCAGCGTCCGTGGCCACTCCTATATCACACGTACGTCGAGTCCCTCAGACTCCCTCGAGATGCCAGGGAGTCCCCAGAAATCCAGGCCAGAATGGACAGAGGAAGAGCGCACGATGCACGCATCCGCAGGGCCGAGGAGGATGCCCTCCAAGGACCCAATGGCTGGTGGGACCTTCCCCTCGAGCCCGATGCTACCGAGGCAGAGGTCGAGAACAGAATTCGAGCAGCCGCCGTTCGCTACACCGGCAGAGCAAGACGAGCGGGAACAGACCTCGAAGCCAGGAGCAGAGCATGGAACGACTACCAGGAGGAGATCACCAACGAGGACTCAGACATCGGAAGATTTAGGCGAAACAAGGAGCTTGACCACCTCACCAGAGAGAGGAAGGTGGCAGAGGATGCCCAGTCGACCCCCAAGCTGAACCCTCGAGCCGACAGTAATGGAGGCGGTGAGGCAGGTCCTTCTTAGAGGACCCATTCCACGCCCGGCCATTTTCAACCTCCTTCCATGGCACGGGCTATATGAAATTCTAATGGAAGACATGGAGAAAGATCCACAGTGGATGCTCACGGAAGCAGGAGAGGACTACCGGAGCGCGAAAAGCATGGGGGACATATACCTCATGAAGAATATCCTCGAAGTAGAGACGTGGCACCGGGCGGCTCTCGTCTGGAATATGATGAACCCCGGGGCGCCTCAGCAGGGATGTGAGCCCTATCGGCGACCTCAGCCGATGCCTAACCCACTAGAAATGCAGGCCTTTTGGGCCGGAGCAGGACCAGGCGACGACGACGACGACATGGACGACCCTGGCGCAGGGCCCTCCAACAAAGGAAAGCAGTCTACCGTACCGCCCCGACCGCCATCTCAACCCCCGCGTCGACCCGTGTACCCGGGCGATTACCCTCCACCCGGGGAAAATTATCGTCTCAGGTCGTTGCTGCGACCGCCGAACCCTCCGGTGCCGCCCCACGTACCTTCACCCCTGGACCCAATACCGCCCTGGACGTTGGCAGAGGGAAAAGAGAATAACCCGTGGAATGACATAAAGCCAAAGTTAATTACGCAACCCGAGTATTTCACCGGGGAATCCACGGACATCAACCGTTTCCTCCATCACTGCAAGATGTATTTTCAGGTATTCCCGGTCCACTTTACGATGAACGACCAGGGACAGAACCCCTATCGCATTACGTTCGCGCAGGGGTACTTATGGGAGAAAGCGAAGGAATGGTGGGGCGACCAATACTACAAGTACCGGGACGATCGGGGGCATTGGAGGTTCCCCACATGGGACGAATTCTCCCATGACCTCACGGTAGAATTCCGGGAAGTCGCGGAGCTCGCAATTTGGAAGGCAGAGTGGAAGAAGGTTCAACAGTCGGAATTCAAGTCCGCAGTCGAATTCTTCGCGAAGTTCGAACGATTGGCTCACAAGTGCGGGGAGTTCGGAGATGAGAAACAAATGTTCGAGGCGGTGGAAGCGGCGATTAGGCCGATGGTGCGCAAGACGGTTATGCATGGGGACAACGAGCGCCCCACAACCTACGCACAGTGGAAGGCGTGGGTCCTGAGGATCGACGCCAACTACCGATATGACGTGGCCCAGAGCCTCGCAAGTAAGACCTCCTCGAACCCAAGTGGCTCGGGTCGAGGCAACCAAAACCAGCAGAAGGGAGGTGGGTCTAGCGGCGACAAGAAGGACTCCACGGGAACCACCTATGGAGGGGCCGGGCAGCCGATGGAGATCGACAAGTTGCGATCCGACAAGCGGTGCTTCAAGTGTGGGAATACCGGATGGACCCCGAAGCATAAATGCCCCAACGACAAGTCGAAATGGCTTCCCGTCAAACTCCCCCCTCGCAAGAAACCCAACGTCGCTCGCCTCCGTCAACTACTTGCTGAAGCCGAGAAGGAGGAATTAGGAAAGGACACAAAGATCGAAGAGGTCAAGGAGAAGGAGAAGGAGTCGTCAAAAGACGAGCCGGCGTCGAAATAAGCGATTCGACGGCGTCAGCTAAGGACTTAGTCTCTACTGGTGCGCGCTCATGTAATTCTAGTCGGACTCATACTACGTATGTAGGTACCCCGTATGATCAATATATCAATTTTTTTGCCGTGTTACCAGTCGAAGAAGCTAAGAACGAGGAATCGCACAACGCCAATGGCGTAGGAGGGGATTTCCGCCACTCCGCGCAGCCTGCGCTCAGTACTGAACCCCTAGGGGCCATCCAAGCTCAGGAACCCCCGGCTCACCGCACAGGGAAAGCCCCTCGAGGGCAGAGCCCCCTAGGTCGAGTCCCGACTGCACCCTTGACGAAGGGAGGTCACCCCGGAGAGGGAGAAAGGTCGACAACCCAGCCCGCTGGGCCTGCGTCCCCGCTTGTGGGGCCGTCTGTTCCAGCGGGAGGCGTCGGAAAAGCAGCTGAGGCGGTGAACTCGGAAGACCACCCTCACCCAGTAGCCCTTACATCGGCAAACAGTGAGGACCTTTCGAGGGAGCCAATATGTGTGCGTCCGCGAAGGGTTACCCGAAGTACCGCCGGGTGTAGGAAGAGCAGTAAGCATGGATCTACAGTGGAGGTTACAACGTCGCGCACAAGCGCCCGAGGCCAGGGCTGAACACAGGGCAGCGAGCCCTCCTCCACCACCTCGACTACCAAAGGCGCCCAAGTGCCGCCTCGGGACCTTTCTCGTCCCGGTGACCAAATGCCACTTCGAGGGAAGACGCCATCGGTTTCTTTAGAAGAAGTAGAAGACGAGGAAGCCTACCTACGGTCCGACATACCGGTCCGATTACCGCAAGGGAAGTCTTCTGTGACCCCTATCATGGAGCCGGTACCTACGAAGCGAACTCCTGTCCAAGACACCTACTACGAACCCTTCGGGCCGCACTGGACCCGAAGAGCGTTGCGACTCGCCACCAACGAGGCGGCCGCTTTCGCTGCCCTCCGTCGATGGGTGC